TAGCATCAGGTTGATCAATGTCTGAGAGTCAGCCTAAGTTCCTTTTCGAAAATACCACTTCTACCATGTCACTCTCCTGCTCAACAACCTGTTAATGGCTTTTTACTGTCTATCACATCTAGTCCAAACTCATCTGCCCAACTTTCAGGCCTTCTACAATCTGGATTCTATTCAACCTTATTTTGAAATACCACTTGAGTCTATGTTCTGTTCAGGCCAGGCCAGGCCCTTTATTGTTCTTAATGCAGGTAAAATTATACTTTACCACATTTGTTCCAATCTTAGAATGCCTTCTCCACTTCTTTCTACATACATAAATCTTGCCTATCCTTTATTAAAGGGCCCTCTCCCCAAAAAACCCTTTTGATGAAATTATCTCCAACTAGTCTAAACCTTTACTGTAATCAAAAAAGTCTCTACATAATTTAGTATAATTGTTTCAAATACTGTCAACTTTATAGCAGGTTATGTGTAGGGCTTAATACTTGACTGATATTATACATAAACTATTACCTTTTAAACTTTAAATATAAATATGAACTGATAGTTGCTATCCTGATCAATCAAATTAAAAAGTGCTTAATCATGAATTTATAGATATACTATATTTAAGTCACTGGTAATTCTATAGTAATTCAATGAGTTTGCCCTAGCTATATTCTGGAACTCCTTAAACCAACATTCTATCAGTTCTCCAGCACTGTGGTCATTAGGTTACATACTTCAATAATATGTCATAAACATAATTTATAATGAAAGATCCAGCAAAAATGCTAAAATTTAACTAAGACATTTGTTTCAGATACAAAGTTCACCCCACTAAATCATCTTTCAAGCATATACAACAGGACACTGGGTTTTTGAAATCTGAACAGTTTAACAATAGTTCATCTACCTTAAGGCAGAAGGATTTACAAAATCACTAGCTAAAGAATAAGCCCAGGACATTTGCTCATTTTTTTTCCATAAGCTTTTAATCACAAGAAGTAGTTAAGGTTGAGGTCAAAAACATTAAGCTTTATTTAGTGGTATAATCTAAAAAGAGCCTTATACAGAACAAATTTAGAATCACTAAAAATATAGTAATGATGACATCATCAGACACAATGCATCTCTGTTAAGACTGGGATACGAGATAAATTTTTTTTCATTATTCATTAATTCGTTCAACAAATACTTACTGAGCTCTAATTCTACTCACTGTACTAAATGGTGTGTGTGTGTGAGGGTATTAATAAAGATGTTTTTGCCCTCAAAGAATTTATACTCTAATAATGAGAACCGTCACAGTATATTATTAAGGAATTACTATTTTTCTTCTATTTCTTTTCATTTTGCAATACAGACACAGGGTTATGGGAATATTTTTCCAGAACCCTAAATGAACTGATTGATTGATATGGCAAATAACACAGTCACTTGTGCAGATTTTTCTGAAAGGCAACTAATGGGTTTTATGGGATGTAACTGAGACTGATCCTCAGTTTTGGGGATCTGTTAAATACAAATGTGACCTACTGAGGCCATCTGATCAAGATCTTGGCCAATCAAGGGTACGTATTCTAATTTTCATCAGATAAAATTCTGGATAATATCAGACAAAAATGACAACTAACTTGGTAGTATAGGGGATGGAGTGCAGACCTTGGAGTCAGGAAAACCTGAATTCAAATTCTGCCTCAAACACTCCTTCGCTGTGTCATTCTCGCCCAGTCACTGGACCTCTCTGTTCCTCAGTTTCTTCAATTGTAAAATGGGAATAATATCACCTACCTTAAAGGTTGTTAGGATCAAATGAGTTAACATGTATACAGTACTGTACAAACCTTAAAGTATTATATAAATGCCAGCTATTACTATCATTATCATCATCATCACCACCACCACCATCATCATCAGTTGCCTCATAAAATGCAGAAGAAATTTTAAATAGACATTTGAAAAATCTTACTAAGAACCAATTAGAAAAGATTATACTTATTGGACTATCCTAAAGTAAGTTTCTTAGTCATTACTGTTTCACATGTTTTAGTCTTATATGCCAAAGTTCTATTTTCTTCTGAGTTTTGAGGGCATTAGCTATGCACCAGTACTCTTGCCAGGGTTAAAAGTATAAAATGACATTATAGATATAAAAATACTTCACAAAATATAAAAAAACCCTATCATTATAATAATGAGGAATTAATGTTATAAGATTTTTTAAAAAATTAAAAATTTTTAGTTAGGGACTACCTCCTCAGAGTTACGACACTTTGCAAAGTGATTCTACTGTTTTCTCAGTATAAAGAAAGGCCCAAGAGGATACAGAATAGAAGCATACAAATTTGGGAGACCTTGCAGAGAATTTTCTTCATGCTTAGTGAAAAGTGAAAGACAAATGAACACACTACCTATTTCTACAGTTCCTCAGAGTTAAATCCTATCAGCAGGTCTTTGTTAAATAGAGAGGATTACCACATTTACTTGAGCTCCTTCTCTCCACTCCAAAGAGGAAATATTTTCTTAAAAAAAAAAATAAAAATCTCTGTCAGAGTAAGATTGTTTCTGATTGGCAACAGGACACCCCTGAACGCTTGCTAAGAGAAGCTGAAATACCCCTATTTACTGAAAACAAGAGAATGAGTCCTTTACCACTATTCATACTTCTGGGGGAGAACTTTCAATTCTGGCTATAGTAGCTACTAGTGACACTGATCTAAATATCTACCTCAATGAATGGAGCATCCCTACTTCAAGTCTCCCAAAAGTCTTGAGAGTGCCCTTGGTTCATCCGGTCAGAAGCAGAGAACATTTTATAGGAGGTATCTTTGTGAGCACAGGATAGTGGAAAGCACAATGGCCCTGGAGTCAGAGGACATCTCTGACACTATTGGGTCACAGCAAGTTACTCAGCCCTCTTGAGCCTTGATTCCCTTACCAGTAAAATTAGAGGACTGGACTGGATGACCTCCAGGGCTTCTTGCAGATTTAATTCTGATCCTATGATTGATGGTAAAACTGCTGAAGGCACACAAATACACATGAAATGAAGAGTGGCTGCAAACTTTTTTTTAAAATTACAGAAAAAAATCATTTACTTTTCTTACCAAGCTTTCAGAGAACTCCTTAACGCCTCTTCTATATTGGCCCACTAAAGAGGGAATTATGGGGGGAAAAGAAAAAAATACAAAATTTGTTTCCTCCTCAAAATTGGGAGGTAGATAGGAAGAGGAAAAGAACCAAATTGCATGGTTTGGAATATTTAAAAATCAGAGAAGAAGCAATGCTGTAACAGAAACAGTAGTTTTACATAGTGCTTTCAAGTTTATAAAATACTCTACATATATCACCTCATTTGGCTGGTCTTCATAGTGCCCCTGCGAGTAAGCACTACAGGTATTATCTCTATTTTACAAATGAGGAAACTAAGGAACCAAGAAGTTAAGTGCCTTGCCCATGGAAACACATCAGAGTAAGCGCTCTGAGACAAAATCTAAACCCAAATATGCAGACTTCAAGTCAGAAGGACTGTGTTCAGTCTGCCTGAGGGAACATCTCTACCAAATGACCAACGCTCAGTACTGTCCTTCTACTACACAAGGAGCTAGACTCATAAAGATCAATAGAAAATTGGGAATTTAATTTCCACTCCTATGGACTGTGCCAAACCTGATCCTGAAGGACTAACATTTTAAACTCTAATTCTTTACGTTGGAAACAAGCATCCTGTGGCCCAGAGGCTCAATCTGTCTCGCTCGAAGGAGTAAAGATCTCTAGGGAGAGGGCCCTGTTTACAGGCTAGATTGGCATTATCTGTGTTTTGGCTTAATTTGGGGGTAAAAGGGGAACCACATCCCTGGCACTAGACTTGAACTTCTGTTCTAAGCCTGGGGTCCAGAACATGGTTTAGCCTCTCAGCTAGTGCAGCTTGTGAATTTGGAATCAGAAGGCCTTGAGTTTGCATCCTATCTCTCTGCGTGACCTTGGCATTGTCATATAACTTCTCTGAGCTCTGTAAAATGAAAAGGTCTGGGCCAGAGCACTTCTAACATCCCTTTCAGTTCTAGATTCACAATCCTTTGTGTGTTGCTGCCTCTCATTGCTAAGAAGACAAAGAGACACTCAGGTCGTCTCTTCCCAGTTTTAAATCTTTTTTGGTAAAATATACCAAGGCACAGAAAATCAAATTTAATAAAAGGACAAATATTAAACTTGGGAGGAAAAGGAGGAGGTGAAAAAACTCTGTTGATGCTTTTAGATTGTGTCCTGACCGAGTGGAAATAATTTTTTGGTGATTGTCCAATTCTAACCTGACTCTGAACAAACTGAATGTAATTCAGACTATTCTGGATAGGCCGCAATGACTACCTCTATTATGTTTCAATCAACAAGCATTTATTACATGCCCACTATGTGCCCTCCCCCCAATTTAATATGACAGTTTTATATACACAGCAGTACAAAAGATAGAAAACTATAATTTTTGTAAGGTCATAAGACTGTAAGGTTTGCAAAACCTTAAAGTACAAATGTCTCATTGGGTCACACAACTAGTAAGTATCTGCAGTAGGACGTGAACTCTTAATTTTCCTGACCTCAGTTTTAGCATTCTAGCCACTTCACCAACCTATCTGCCATGAAAGAAAAGAAGGTTGTGGCTTTCCTTTCCACCTATTTTCAGAAAGGAAGAGTCAGAACGTGAGAAACAACTATTTCAATTTCTTGGTTCCTCCCCCCTCCCCCCATTTTAACAAACCTAACAACGTTGCAAGTGTGCTTAAATGGCCAATGATTCCTGGTCTAGAAAAATCAAATTTAATTTTATCAAATGATATCTGATAAAGTTTTGACATCACAACATTTCTGATCTAGAGATACAATCTTAATTTCATTCTTGGACAAGTGATATACCAATCCAAATACAGCAAGGCAATCAAAAAAAAATCATATTTTATCTTCTTGTGTGTGCCCTGGATGAACACCCAAATAAAAAAATAAATCTTCTGTCCATTGCCTACCTGAGCCATCACTGGAAACTGAACTTGCATTGATTCCAGAAAGACCAAACAAAGGACACTCTCTATCAGTGTTGACGTGACCCCATTTGTGACATTTAATGCACCTCACATTCCGCACCTGAGGAACCAGAAGTATTGCTGTGGTTACTGAATACTTTGCAGATTTTCTTGCTATCTTAATTCCTTTATTCCTATGAAGCACTGAATTTAAATTATTTTGGAATGATAGGTTTTAACCTATTTTGAAAGATCTCCAGGAAAAGAGATGTTATACCCTCCTTTAGCAACTCCAATCCAGTCATTAACAGCTTTTTTTTAAAACTAAGGAAATTCTAATATCTAACCTAAATTTCTAAAGGTGAAATTTAAGCCTGTTTCTTTTCACCATCTTAAGTGGTAATAGAATGACTGCCTCTTTAATATGGCAATTATTAAGTTACCCCTCAGCCTTGAATTATCTAGACTCAATTCTTTGTAGCTTTTCTGCATTGTATGTAAGGACTCATTTTGGATGGAGAAGCCAGCCCCCAAGTAGGAGACAGATTATTTTTTTAGTTTTCAAGTCATTAGACAAAACCAAAAACAATATGTTGCTTTAAGGCCGGGATTGGAAACCTATGGCCCATGGGTCAAATCTGGCCTGCTATCTGTTTCTATATAGTTCGTGAGCCAAGGAGCTTTTATATTTTAAAAAATTAGCTCTCAAACTCAGATGAAGAACCAAAACAGGCTCACTGACTGTCTACAGGAGGGTCTGAAGGAATTCTGTGGAAAGCCTCAAGAAAGGAGGGAACCCAACTGTCAGGTCACTTCCAGGGTCCTACGCAGGGCGTGCCGTTAGTCCTTTGCCCTTTCCTACGTGTGTGGAGGGATCAGAGTCCACGCTGCAGCTGGGGCAGGTTTGGCTCCTCTTGTTCTCCACAATGAATGATGCTCTAGACTTCTTTTAGTTATTGGGAGCAAAAAACACCAACACATATGAACAAAATTACAAAGCACACTTCCATAGCTTTGAGTAAGGCTGCATTCAAAATACTAAACACCTAAGGTGACGACAAAATCTTAGATATGCCCTGGTGAGCTAGGGACCCAGACTTGATAAGCCCATTTCTAGATCCTGACCAAAAAATCTCCACAGCTCTCAAGGGACCAAAAGCTTGAAACAACACCTATTGCACACACTTAACTGTCTTGCCCGTGTTTTAACAGTGTCCTCATGTTGTTTTTTAACCTTCAAATTTTCTTTTGTTATCTGATGTTAACAGAAACTGTACTGTGAACACTGTAAAAGTGATCACACTGTACACTTCTGCTGAATGGCATAATTAAAGAACAATTTATAATATAAATAGTATTCTGACAAAATGAAATAGACATCCTTTACCTGAATACCAAATGGCTGGTCTCTGATATTCATGTCATCCTTTGCATATCTATTAAGTACAGAAAACGTACATATTGCAAAAACTTGAAATAATTCAGTCATCAGTAACAGTTAATCTGAAAAAGTTTTATAATTCATAGGTTATCACATTATCTCATCTCAACAAGCAAAGAACTATAAAAACCACAATAAGCAACAATTCTCAATGGAGAAGGCACTTCACAATTATATCTGGTATTGAGTCTGACAGTCCAGAATTTGCAGAATAAGCAGGTAAATTAAATAAAAAATTGCCAAGATCAAGCAGATCTGTCACCTGAAAGCATTTTTTTAAAAATCACCCCCTTTTTTTTTTAGATGAAGGGAAGAGACAACAAAAGAAATAAAAAAGGGGAAAAGAACAAATACATTTTATGATTTATAAATTTTATTTAGAAAAGGCAACAACAGTTCTTACTTTTCTCGTGGGGCTCCTTTCTGCCATTCAAATTTGTATTCAGTCTCTCCTTTTGCATCTTCTTGCTAAAAATATAAATATGAGTCTTTAAAATTTTTCATAAAATATGTTATAATCAATGATACATTTTGTTGATTTTAAAGTAAATGGAAAAACAGAAAATAGTATTTTACCTCTTTGTTTTCTTGATTGAATATCAAACACATGAAAAAGACAGGTTTAAGAACATTAATATAAATCATATACTCTATTAATTCGATATGTAGTCATTTATAATGGCATCATATTGCAATTCACAAAGAACTCAATTTCTTTTTTCCTTGCTTCTTCCTCTCACAGAGTTAAACTTTACAACAATAAATAACTGAAAGCAATTTAAAATAAGACTACTGATAAGCATGTTAAATTCCTCATTTTTAAACTTTCAGCACATCCACCATACTGAAATGGGAATATTATGCTTCTAATTTCTTTATGAGTTGTATTCAGTAATAAAGATATTTGCAAAAATGAAAATATTAAATCTGTGTTCACACTGAATTTTTCTTTTAAGAAAGACAAAATTAAGTATTATTACGCAATAAAAATATTTGTTTTTTTTATCTTCTTTTATCTATTAGTTACTTAATTATCTTCGTAGAAGTACAATACCATTTTAAAAAGCAATTTTCCTTAATACTTGGTATAACACTCCTTAATACTTGGTATAATTAGTTGGACCCCTCCTCACCCCAAGACTTTTCTTTTTTTGTTTTTGTTTTTGTTTTTTTTTGGCTAGGTAATGGGGTTATGTGACTTGCCCAGGGTCACACAGCTAGTAAATGTCAAGTGTCTGCGGCCAAATTTGAACTCAGGTCCTCTTGACTCCAGTGCCAGTGCTCTATCTACTGTGCCACCTAGCTGCCCCTAATCAAGACTTTTCAAAAATAAAGCAACCATGCTTTTACCTTTTTTAGCTCCGGGTGGAGCCTCATACATAAAATTAAGACCGTTCTTTACACGTTCATCACCCATAAGCAACCTAAGTGAGAGAAGACATAGGTCTGAAAATTATATAAAAGAACAAAATGCATTCTAAAGAATAATCCTTCCTAAAAGCAGAACCTATAAATATTGACACAAAATAGTTTTTGAGTGAGACATCTATTACTTTTACTTCACAAATAGCAAGTATACTTTATGTTTCTGCATTTAAATTTAAAGAGCTTTACATAATCACTAGCACAAAATGTTTGACTAACAAATTACATAATGATTACCCCTATACTGAAAGCCCCAGGCACATTTGCTGAAAGAAAAGAGAGGACTACCTTTGCCATCCCCAAAGACTTTTCTTCAACTTAATGAAGTACTAAAGAAAAGCAGTAGGACTTTAAAGATGTCAGTATTGTATATTTTGTATGAAGTAGGACTGAGCTCAATTTACACAATTACTAAATGCCTACTATGCATAAAGCAGCCTGCTAGAGTAAATAATGCTACCACACTCCATTCCTCACTATGTTTTCACTCTACCCCAAATTAGTTGATGACTGCTTAAATCATCATCTAATAACTTGAAATAAATATTGTGAATATGTCTATTCGGTCAAAAAATGAGCAACAGTTTTAAGAATCAAAGCCAAAGTAATGGTATTAAATAATTTTGAGACCTAAGTGTCAAGTTAAAGAGTTTGGTGGACTTTACCTGCATCAGCTATGCTACAAAGACAAGGAAAATGATGTCATGCTAAGGTCTTAATCAGCATTTTTCAAACTGTTCTGTGGAACCCGAGGGTACAGCAAACTGATCCAGGTAGTTCCGAAGAAAAAGCCCTAACAGAGTATAGGCACTCATAGCAAAACTATCCACTTCATTGCTTATATCAGCTATTCACAATGTATGCCTTTATTCAATGTGGAAAACAATCAAAGCTTGAGTGAAATCGGTAAAGAATGGTCTCTTATTGGCCTAGAGTCCACCACTATGTGCATATGCCATGCCATGCAACAGGTTGTCTGTCTAGCTTCGTACTGTAAGTGTGTGTAAAATAATTTTTATACAAGTGGGGAGGTAGCCTGGTATAGTGTAAAGAGCACCAGAGTTACAATCACTTAAGACCTAAGTTGAATTCTGCCTCTGATACTAGTTGAGTGAATACAGACAAATCACTATGCCTCTTAGAGTCTCAGTTTCTCATCGGTAAAATGGTGATGATAAACCTGTAGTACTTATCTCACAAGGTTACTATGACAGTCATATATAATAACGTATGTAAGAATGCTTTGTAAACTTTAAGGTGTATAGAGATTTCAGCTATTAGCATTCATTTATACTGTCAGGATCTAAATACACACACACCCACACCCAGTGCCTATTATAGCACTGAGTTTTTTGGTTGTTTTGGGGTATGGGCTTGCATTGATTTCATAGGTGTAGAGAGTACTCAGCAGCAAGGAAACTACCACCCATTCAGACAAACAACAGTTCTGCAACTTGAGGCCTTGGTTGCCTGGGGTTAAGTGAAGTGACTCCCCTAAAGCAACACGGCAAGTATGGGTCTGAGGCACGACTCAGACCCAGATCATCCAGATTCTGAGGCTGGCCTTCTGTTAACTATGCCACACTTCTTCTCTCACACTGTCCAATATGGATAGTTAGGTAAAATTGAGAAGTCACAACAGGAAAGATCCAATTGTAAAACATTTAAAAAACACAGTTCTAAAGACAAGTTATGATTTGAGGGCTGTTGTGTAATAATTTCATGTAATCAAAAACATTAATTTTTAGTGTAAAGATTGCCTAAAAATGATTCGTTCAAAAAGAACTATCGGACCATTCAGAAAATGTTTTCTGGAACACAGGAATATTTTTCTAACTCCAAGTTCTGAATCAGTCAAGATGCTGGTTTCTAAGGAAAAAATATATTGGAATTGTGGTTTACAACACTGCTTGAATAAAGTTATTAGTAGGTTCCTGGCTCAAAAAGAAAAGATCTGTTACAAGCTATACATACAGTAGATTGGTAGGTGAGTGTTTTAGCTCTTTGCTAACTTAAAAAAAGAAACAAACAAACATCATGCCATTTCTCACCTATTATCATATGATTCTTGTTCCTTAAGGTATTGTTGCATTAATTCCTCTTGTTTCTTCTTATCATATGATATTTTCTGTTCAGCCATCCATACCTTATTAATAAAGTAAAACATTAAACTTAGTATTTAAATTTAAGTTTCCTTTTTGCAAAAAGAAGATTAAATTCTACTATTCATAGTCAGTTTCCTCAAATAAAGACATACCTAGATGTCTCTTTCCACTGCAGCCCCAGATTACCAGCAGAAAGAGTATGCACCAGGCAGGCAACAAACTGTTTATTTATTTGAGAATGAGCCTTGCAAAGTCTGGAGAGTCTTACCAGAAAGTTGGTTACCAAATAATAAATATTTTTTGGCCATAGCCAACTCGTTCCAAGACAGGGAAGTGTTGTGAACTCCACTGCTGGAAGGAGTTTCCACAATGATGAAATTACCAATCTTTTGGAATACTACAGGGGAAAAAACCTTATTCTACAACAGATTTGCATAGCATAACAGGAAACTTTTCATAGTGGATAAAGGGCTGGCCCCAGTTACAAAGATATGGGTTCAGGTACAGGTCACAGATACATACTGGCTTTGACCCAGAGCAAATCACTTAACGTCTTGGTGGCCCTAGGCAGTTCTCTTAAGATTTTTAAGTTGCCAAGAAGGTTCTGATCTTTGGTAGAGGAAATTTCCTCACCAGGAGTTTCCTTTAGCAATGAAATCACAAGTCTAGAACGCTCAAAGTCCAGATTTTGGGGAAAATATTTCCACTTAGTTCTTATGATGGGTAACTATTGGTGAAGAATTACATTATCACCATTCAGTAGGTCTTTAATAGTTAAGCATAGGTCCAAGATCAGAAAATAACTCTGAAATCTGATTAGGATTCTAACAAAGTTTATGTAATTTTCAATTACATCAGAGAGACTGGAATAATTTTTGATCATATACCCATGAGGAAGAGGAGACAACCTCTTGAGAACCCCCCCCCCCACACCCACAGGAACAAGTTAGGGGGTCTACCTATAAAGTGAACTGCAGATCAAAAAGCTGTATGTCATTAATATTTATTCTTACAAGGCAACATTTACAATGAGGTAATACAGAAGGGTTATTTACACTCAAAAAGGTAGCTACAGTGTCAGACCAGGTTGGTACCCTTCCATAAATAAATAAAGTTAAATTTCTCAGGCCTCCCTCTTAGGCTTCTAAAGAAATCTCAGGAATCTTAGAGGACCTTTAGTTAATTTTAACATTCCAAGGGAAAAGGCTTCTGCCATCCAAGTAACCTCCTAAACAAGAGAGGCAGCCCTGGACCCTAAATAAAAAAAGACTTAACAAAAAGGTATCAAGAATTAGTAATTAAAACTAACAAAAGGAACTAAAAAATTATGACAACAGGCCCTATTAAATCCCATTATCATTCAAAATTGTTCACTTTAAGCCAAGATTAGGAAGCCCTAACAATTCTCCCAATCATCCAGGCTCATATCTTTGCAGGTATCTATGACTTCCCTTTTTCTCAATGTCTAATCACCTACCAAGTCCTGTTGATCATACCCATTCCATTTCATTAGTAGCTTCCTATGAAATGGCAGCACAACCACTCCAGTTAAGGCCCTAATCTCTTCAGCCTCCCCATCAGTCTTCCTGGCTCCAGTCTCTTCTATTTCAGACCATATTTCACATCATAATCTGAGTAATCTTCACAAAACTTCACTGGCTCACCACTGCTCACTAAATAAAATCAAAACTCTAGATCCTGGCATACAAAGACCCTAGAAGAAAGAGATTACTTCTGATGATGAGATGCAAAGGTTTCATGCAGGAGGTAGCATGGCCCTTGAAGGAAGAGTAGTATTTCCTAAGGTAGGGAAATGAGGAAGAGAGACAAGAGAACATTAATTTATAAAAAGGAAAACCGACGATCAAAGGAATTCAGGAGACAGAGTAGGGTCCGCAGCATCCAAAACTTAAAGAACGAGGGTACTAAAGTGATTTCCGTGAGGCTTCGAAATGTCAATTAGAAACCCACGGAGAAACACCTTCTATGCCCATTCAAATTTGGGGGTATATAAACCCAAATGATTTTTCCATTACTGCCTCTTCTACTCAAAATATTAAGCCTAACAGTGGCATTATTTCTGTACGCTGTTTCTGTTTCAATTTAGATCTCTTTTCAGCAAAAGCTATCTGTACCGCTCCAGATAAATCTGCACTGAATATAGAACAAAACAAACAATCCAACAAGCACCTTGGACTAAGTTAGGAGGTGGGCTCAGCCTGCTGGATGTTAGCAATCCTAAAATTTATCCTGAGTGTATCTGATAATTCCTGGACAGTGTTCCTGATCCCCTCCAAGCAGGAGAAATCTATTCCAGAAGGCGATGGGGCAAAGGACGAGGAGAACAAGAGGGCACCAATAATGAGTCGTTTAAGCACCTGTAGTCTAGACGGGGGCTCATTTAAATACACCATCAGCCTCCTTGCGCATAGAGTAAATTAATACGTAGGCTCAGGTGACAACCCGGGTTGTCATTAAACCACTCTAAAGAGGTTCCAGAACAATTCAGTAAGCTACTGATCATTGATCACAGCAGGGGGAACAACATCTCCAGGACTTACGGGGGCGGGAGGGAGAATTATCAAGAGCTCCCCGAGGTAATAGCCACCCCGACGGGCCGCGCAGCTTCCGCTGCGTCTCCGGACCCGCTTCCCGGGCGGCGGCATCGCGGGGCGCGCCTGGCCGGCTTAGGGCTGGGGAGGGTCCCGCCTTCGGGACCCCTGCCCACCCCACTGCACTTTCTCTGCGCGGGCCCCTCTTACTTTCTTGATGTTGGACTTGGACGCTGGATGGAAGTCCTTCTTGCACATGAAGTTAGCGAATGATTTCCCCATGTTTGAGCTGGACGCCGAGACCAAGCAGCTCGCAACAACAACCACCTTCCACTATCGAACCGGAACTGCCCCGGCGCACAAAGGTAACTTCCGCGGTCAGAGGGCCCGACTTCCGCCCCACCGAACTTTCCTCCCCTTAACCTGACCCGGTAACTGATACCCCAGCCTCTTTCTCCATCCGCCGCCTGCCCCGCCCTTTGGAATTTGTGGCGCCCCCCCCCGCTCGTAACAGCCTCCAGTGAGGCCTTGGCCCAGGTGAGGGGCGGGCAGTGGGCCCGGCAGGGGGCGTGCGGGGCCTGGGGAGGCTGGGGGGAAGGGGCGCGAGTGTTTAATGGTCACGGGTGGACCGACAGGACTAAGGGAGGGATCCACCCGGCCCCCAAAGCGAGCCCAGCCAGTCGAGACCTCTTTTCTCTGCCCCGGTGCCTCTTCCTCCCTCTAATTGGAGAAGGCGAAGGGTGACATTAAGGACGACATGCTGGGGTGGGCCTCTAGTTAAGAAGACCTGAATTCACATCCAGCCTCAGACATTTTCTAGCTGTGTGATCTTGGGCCAGTCACTTCACCTCTGCCTGCTTCAGTTTCCTCATCCGTAAAATGGGAATAATAATAGCACCTACCTCCCAGGATTGTTGTGAGGTTCAACTGAGATAGTAAATGTAAAGTGCTTAGTTCTGGCACACAGTAGGTGCTTAATAAATGCTTGTGTCTCTGTCCCCAACTCCCCTTCCCTCTCATCGTGGTCTCCAGAAATTTATAACCCTGCAAAAATCTCATCAGCCCAGAAAATCACACCTCCTCAGTACCCCCTTTCCTCTAGGGCCCCTCCTTCCCTCTGATGGAGAGGTGGAGAGTGGACATTGAAGAGGCCCTCCCAGATCTTCCGTTTAAGGAGCTCACGCGGAGCGTCTCTCTTCATTCCCTCCCCTTCTTCCCTCCTGCTTTTCAGCTTCTTTTTATGGGTTGTCAGTCTTCCTTAGAGTGTGAGCTCCTTGAGGGCAGGGGCTGTTTTTTTTTGTTTGCTTGTTGTGCCTTTCTTTGTATTCTCTGAAAGTAGCACTGTGCCTTGCACATAGTAGGCACTTAATAAATGTTTATTGACTGACTGGTGATGGCAAGGGTGCCACCAAAAGCTTGAGGAGAAACAAAGTTTGGAACAGGTACTTTGTTGAGTGGGATAAGAAATCAGTTAGGAAGTTGTAGGATTCCCTTGCTATCAGGGCCCATTTGAAAGTAGATGAAATAAATTTATAATGGACCTGATCAGCATGCTTTGTGACTTTTTACAGTTTTGTTTTGTTTTTTCCAGCAAGCACTTGAGTAGGAGTGAAAGAAGAGGCTGGTGGGAAGTAATTTAGAGTTAGGGTTTTGCAAGGTTTGATTGGCTATAAAACAGAGGGCAAAGGATTCAAGAGTAGAGTTGAATAGGGTCATCAAAGAGTCAATATTGGAAAGGTAGGAAGGCTGTAGACTTAGGAAAATCTTGAGGAGTAGGGGAGATTGGAGGTCCTGATGAGTACAAAGAACAGGGTTAAGGGGCGTAAGGCATAGGGAAAGATGAAATGATAAGATTATGGTTAGATAAAAGCATTTTGGAGTTGTGAACATGGAATTGGAGCATTTGTGGATGAAGACGAGATCGAGATTGTGACCATCAATTTGTAGCTGAGGTAGAAAGGAAAGAGAAGGTCATGGAAAACAGGTAGCTTGAGAGACTAGAAAATTGGAATATCTGAGGGAATATAAATATTGGGATGGAGAAAAAAGACAGCATGGTCCTGAACTCATTGATAAAGGAGGAAGATGGGGTCAGTGGTTAATGACCAGGAGGATCTGATTGGGTGATGAATTTGGATAATAGGAATTTCAAAAGAGTAGAGGTTGCTAAGTGGTGGTGGTAGAGGGAGAGTCTGGAAGTATCAGTGGAAAGTTAGGAGTAATTTGACTCTTGCTCCATGACCAGTGAGCTGGGGGGATAAGAAAAAGGGCAACTAGGACTAGAAAGGTGGCTCGGTAAATAAGCAGTGTCATCAGTGAATGCCAGTAGGGAGAAGGAGTGAGAGAAAGGAACCGGGCTAGGGTCAAGGTGGGAAGAGCAGAAATGAGTCTTAAAAGAGGGACATTGGTGCCCCCTTTCCACCACCAGTTGGTGGAAAATAAAGGGGAAAGAGAAAAATTAAATACACAGAATTTAGAGGTAGAAAGGAACTTAGATAATGCTGTCTTACAGATGATCAAACTAAGGTCTAGAGAGGGGCAGGAGCTTCTTGAATGTCACGTAGCAGGTGGTGAGCCTGGAATTTCCTGTGTTCTTTTTTCTATAGCCATAGTCACAAACCTCATGGTCCTTGTTTAGGCTTTTAAAAATCCACTCAAATGGGTCTGTGATATTCCCAACGTGTTGGTTATCTGCAGATCGCCAGCTATCTGTGTCTGCCCAGCTGCTGTGGGACTTTTGTCAATGTCCTTCCATAAGTTTGCTACAGGAGGTCTCATCAATGTACTAGGCCCTTCCCTGGATTTCTCTTCACAGTGCTAGTATACTAATGCATTAGTGCTATAATGTATGTAATGTTGTGCATATAATATTATTCACCAAATGTCCATTACCTTTGTGTGTTTACAGGATTACAAAATGAGGAAAATACAAGGTATTTGAAAATAATGATGAATTATAAAAATAACATGGCTACTAGAAGGAAAATTAGAAATTAAAGAATAGAACATTGTGAGTTTATTTAGATCAGGATTTCTTAAACTTTTTCTACTTGGGACCCCCTCAGTACTTCTTAAACTTTGGGTCACAACCCCATATGGGGTTGTTGCACTCTGAGAGGTTCAGAGACTCCTCGTGAATCTCCGGATCCTACAGGATAGGGTTGTCTGGAATGAATTTATGGAATGAATGCTTGGACTCAAACATTCTTTAAGTCAAGTTGGCAAAGATTTATTGTTATGCTTTTCAGCGGGCAAAAGTTCTTAAGGAACCTGTGACCTTAGAGAGGGGATCAGCTAAAAGTTTATATAGGATAAACTATAGTAAAACTTGAGCCAAATATGCTAACTAGATGATTCAGGGTGGGTTCAGGGAAGGGTTAAGGAGTGGTCAGTTCTTCAAGGAACATGCACTTTTTGTATCTACTGTGCAGGCATTTTAGCCAGAGTTCACCTGGAAAAGCCCAAGGTCAGCGGGCGGGGGGGGGGGCACATGGAGGTGTGGTTTTAGGTCTGCTATGTCACTAAGTTAACTAGCAGTCAGGGCTTACTGAAGCTTGCCCAGTCTGCCACCAATCAATGACAAGATAGATGTAGGGAGTATACATATGCCTTAAGTCTAGAATACACATAATGAGGAGTCCAGGATGCAAATAATGTGGTAGAGATTGGTATAGATAGTCCAGTGGGTGTGAATATCTTTATGACCCAGTACAAAGCCAGTTCAAACTAATAATTCCTACAGGTGCGGTTTGTAACTGCACCAGGGAGAGAGATAAGTGTTTTGCTGAGGCCTACTCATATGTAATTGCTAGGCGTAGTGTCCTTGGGCTGGAGAGAAACTGCCAGGAATAGTGTTCCTGAGGCTCCTGAAATATGGTCTTGGAATTAGGTCCCAGTAGAAGCACTCAAGCACCCCATCAGGGTCATGTCCCACAAGATCATTAAGAAATACAAGTTTTCCAGATTCATACTTTTTGGTGAAAAGATAAAAAATTTTCTTTTGGATATATTGAATTTGATGGGACATTCAGTTTGAAATGCGCAATGGGCAGTTTTGGACAATTGAGAATTTAAATAGTTGAGAATTTTTGTAAACTTTGACATAATTTTTTGAATTTGCTGGTACAGTAATAACAATAATAACACTCGCTAGCATTTATTGCAAAGTACTTTACAAATATTTGATTGGTATAAATGAGTCTGGTATAAAATTTAGATCTAGTCTGCCTTATATTATTATTCAAAATTATTTTCCAAATTCAAAGACATGAGATTTACTTAAGATTTATAAATTATACAAACACATATATTTGATTTGTATATATATATGTGTATTTTAAAGTATTATTACAAATAAAATGTTGCCTATCCTGCACTATTTTCTTTGATCCACATAATTCATACTTCAAGAATCCATGATTTCATATAGGTACTCTCTCCACTAATGTATATAATTACTTGCTCCCTCCCATAGGAGAGGACCTTCGTGAGCCCTGTGAGTTCTCTGGGGTTGACCTTTCAAGACTTGGCTAGGTTGGTTTTTAGACCACCACTATGTAGTCTATCATCATTCTTTGTACAGTGAAGTCTTTCAAGCTTGTAATGGGACCCTTGGAGCTTTTATTTATTAGATAGCCTTTGGGAGCCCACATTCAAACAGGTGAGGGTGTGATACAGTATATGTAATTTAAAAGTTCTTAGGAACTTTTTTTGTTCCACTAAAATTCTGTCCCACTGCTTGACTGTGGGGTGCAGTGGAGGTGAATTCCCAAAGGCTATGATTGGAGCATAAGTTTTGGAAGGCTGGAAAGATTTAAAGTATAGGCAAACTGCATGTCTGTCACCTGAGGGCCGGCTGAAGTATAGAGTGGCTTTCCCCCAGGTTGACTGCTGGTTGATGGATTTTTTTGGCTACAAACTCTTAAAGACTCTTTCAGGTCATAGAAGGGTCACAGTTTGCATATGTGACACCATCACAATCACAGGCCCTTCAAATATTGCTGAAAATTTGAACTTTACATAATGTAATAATAGCTCTTGATCCTCAAATAAAATTCCTTGTTTGATTTATTTTCCAAATTACTTTCCTTCCTTTAATAATTTTTTACATTTTTTTTTTAAGGATTGACTCAAGAAACATGGAACTTACTTCTTGTGACACATTTGTGGCCTTGCCTCCTGCAACAATTGGCAATAGGATTATTTTTGGAAAAAATTCAGATAGACTTTCTGATGAAGTCCAAGAAATAATTTATTTTCCTGCTTCATTTCATAGCGATGGAAAAAAACTTGAGGTTAAGTAAAATGTTTTGTTCAATATACCATTTTTAAGAATTGTAAATAGCTTTTTTGTGAGTAAGATGTTATTCCAGGGGATAGGTAAGTTAAAAATTCAAGAAATTGAATATGAAAAAATCCAATAAAAATAGATACCCTTTTGTAATATTTTGTTCAAATCAATTTAATAAGCCTTTATTAATTACTTTCTTTTTTTACAAAGTACCACATGAGAGATTACGGATACAAAGACAAAAAATAAGATAGTCCCTGCCCTTTGGGATCTTGTATTCTACTGTCACTTGCATGTAACTTCTTTGGTTAAAACTCTTCAGTGTCTACGTGTTTATTGTTGTTTAGTCATTTTCAGTTGTGTTTGACTCTTCTTGACCCCATTTGGTTTGCCATTTCCTTCCCCAGCTTGTTTTTACAGATGAGGAAACTGAGGCAAACAGGATTAAGTTAAGCCCAGGGTCACACAGCTAGTAAGTGTCTGAGGTCACATTTGAGCTTGGGTCTTCTTGAATCTAGGCCTGGTCTTCTATCCATGTACCTTACTGTATACAGACTAAACTCTTTATCCTTGCATGCAAGGCCTACCATGGTCTGTTATGTTGTTGTCTTTCAAGTTTTATCTCACATTACTCTTTACTATGTAACTTTATATTCTAGCCCAATTGGGAAACCCATTATCCTATACCAATCTTGCATTTTCCTACCTCCATCCCTGTTGTTCCATATGCCTACAGTGTGCTTCACTCCATCTCAAGTTGTTGAAGTCTTTTTTATACTTTAAGCCCAAATGCTGTATTCTCCATGAAGTCTTCCTGGAGCTCTCCCTCCTGTCTCTGTCCTTGCAAAATATTTTTTAAAAAATTCATTTATCCTTATTGAGTTTATTATGGTACCTTTAAAAAATACAAACTATAAAAAGAGATTCACAGTTTTGTGTACAATATGTTGTTCTTTGTATATGGAAATGTTTATATTTGGTGGTATTTATCAAGTTCAGAATAGCAAAAAAAATTTTAATTAAAAATTTATGTTGTTTGAATTACAGCTTTTATGTAGCTTTTCCCTTATAGATTATAAACTAAATGAGGACAAGGACCATTAAATTTTTTTTTTTAAATCTCCTATAGTGCCTAGCATAGTGCTCTGTAGCTAGTAGGAGCTTAGTAAATTGTTTGTCAAATTGAATTGATTAAAGAAAGATAAGGATTGAAAAATCTTATAATCTTGCTTTTCCCAGACTTCAAAGAAGGGTAATTAGACCTAATGGTGTCACTGTCATAGTACCATAGATGTAGAAGGGACCTTAGAAGTCGTCTAGTGGAGACCTCCTAACCCAACCCTCTCATTTTACAGATGAGGAAACCAACCCAGAAAAGTTCCTCCCTAAGTCACATAGATAGTAAGTGGCCAAGCTAAGATTTGAAACCAGGTTCTCTGTTTCCAAGTGTGGGAATCTTTACGATGTACAATGCTTCTTATTGCATCTTTTTTTAGAATATAGAATTAGTTGAAAAATACTTTAGTGTTTTGATGACTCTGTTGTCTCATCAGTGTGGATGCCCCTTCCAAAGGTGTAGATTGTACATCCAGGCTTTCTTCGTGTCAAGTAAATCTTCCCTGGGAGATTGCCCAATATCTTTTGTAGCCTTTTTCTAGATCTCTTGACAATGTGTGAGTACCACTGAGTCCACATGGACTATTCATTGATTATCCCTCACATTTTCTGAGTGACTTGTATTCTTTTCTGGTTATCTCTCTCTCTGATAGTTTGTTTCATGCTACATCTCTTATGTATTTTATTGGTAATATAATGCAAGGGAGCTAAGATGGCAGAGTAAAAGCAGTGACTTGCTTGAGCTCTCCCCTAAACCCCTCTAAATACCTGTGAAAAATAGCTCTAAACAAATTCCAGAGCAGCGGAACCCGCAAAAAGACAGAGTGAAACAAATTTCCAGCCCAAGACAACCTGAATGGTTGATTGGAAAGGTCTGTTGTGCCTGGGAGAAAAGCACAGTTCAATGAGGGCCATGCAAGCAAAGACTGTGCCTCAGCGAACCTGGAGCAGGTCTCAGGGGACTGAATCACAGGCAGCTGTGGTGGTTTCCTGACTTCTCAACTCACAAACGCCAAAGACAACTTAGAAGGTCAGTAGGAAAGGTCTTTTGGACTGTGGTGAGAGAGGCGCTCGGTCAGGCCCCAGTCTCGGCGCAGCCCCCGGTGGTGGCTGCTTCCAGAGCTCTAGGCCCACAGACGGAGGGGGGATTGAGCAACTGATCAGGGGGATTACAGGGATCTCTGCTGGTGCTGAGGCAGGATTCTCTTGCTTTGCCCTGCTTGGATCTGAGTCGCAATTCTGGATGGAGGTCCTGGGGTGAGGAGGACCACTGGTGGAGCTTGTAGTGGTGGTGGAGAGGGAATCCTCCTCATGGTTCCAAGGCAGAATTATACCACTCATAGACCAGAGCACAGGCCACTAAAGGAGTAAACACCTTGCCTTTGATCATACCACCTTGGAAGAACTGAAAATTTACAGGTCCCTAGAAGTATCTCTGAAAACACCTGCACAAAACCCCCATAACTTGGGACAGTACATTCTCCACACTGGAAGCAGATTCCTACCTTAACAAAGAGCTTAAAAGTCAAATAATTGGCTGGGATCATGAACAAACTGTGCAAAAAAGTCAGACCATAGAATTCTACTTAGATGACAAAGAAGATCAAAACATACAACCAGAAGAAGACAACAAAATCAAAGCTCCTACATCCAAAGCTTCCAAGAAAAATATGAATCAGTCCTAGGCCATGGAAGAGCTCAAAAAGGGTCTTGAAAAGCAAGTAAGAGAAGTAGAGGAAAAATTGGAAAGAGAAATGAGAGTAATACAAGAAAATCATGAAAAACAAGTCAGCAGCTTGCTAAAGGAGACCCAAAAAAATACTGAAGAAAATAACAGCTTAAAAAATAGTCTAACCCAAATGGCAAAAGAGGTCCAAAAAGCCAAAGAGGAGAAGAATGCCTTAAAAAGCAGAATTGACCAAATGGAAAAGGAAGTCCAAAAGCTCACTGAAGAAAATACTTCCTTAAAAATTAGGATGGAGCAAATGGTAAGATTATGCAATAAAACTTTTTCATACTCATGTTATCTTTCCATTGTCCTTTGAATTACCCACAGTTTGAAAGCTTAGGAAACCAGTATTGTATGATTTGTATTCATAAGACATCACCAGAAAAATATAGGTATTAAAAAGATGGACCTTTGTTTCAGGGAGAAGTTTGAGATAATTAAAATACCATGTAGTTTTTCAAATACAATCTAACCTCGCCTCCCATTTAGTTCTAGGCCCAGTTCATTGTCTGACAAAGATATATATGTTGATGGAACAACTATACAGTCTGACTATACAGCTCTGCCAGTCTGGACAACAGGCATACTTTTTTCCACTTGGCTTTTCCTATGTGGATAGTTAGGCTAAAATCTTTATTGTTATTGATTTCATTTAGGAGTCATAACAATATTGCAGGATTTGATACAAGCAGCATAATATCATCCGCAAACAGGCACATCTGGAGGACCTCTCATCAATAAAGAATCTCTCATTTCAACTCTGCCCTGGACATTCTCCATGACTATCTAGTTTTATGCCTTACTTTATACTGATAATCAGTGGATAATCAACTAAGTTATCTCCGTTGCATCTTTTAAGAAATCTCATATGACTTTTACGTGTGAGAGATACTTTGTAGAAGGAGATGTCATTTTGCTGAACTGAATCACTTTTTTTTTTGTGGTCAACAAACATTAAGGAAAGCAACATTTTATATTCTCTGAACCTTTAAGTCAATCAAGTGACTGTAAAATGTAGTCTGCTACAGAAAATAATTTGTGAAAGCCTTCTTTCTAATTCTACTTTTCTAATGTTCTCTTCTGATTCCTTGATTAAGTATGCGCTTGATAATTATGTAGGTTATTCTTGTAAAAAATTTATAGCAATGGGAATGTAGGCATATGAATTGGTAGTTATGTATGTTTTCTTCTCTCTTTTTTTTTCTATTGGTGTTTTCTTGATTGCCTTTTTTTCAGTAGTAAAATCTATGATTTTTTTCCCCCCCAAGGTTTTGGTATTCTCTTTCAGATATTTTGAGACTTTGTCTTTCAACACTCTTATAGTTGTAACATCTTCATGTATATTTCCTCATTTATTCTAGCCTGATTGTTCTTCATATCTTTCTTTTCTGTAGTGCCATTTGTAATATTTCACAAAGTATATTAGGGATTGTAATGTTGAAGTCCAGATATTGTGGCAGTATTGTCCTTAATGGGAAAAAATAGTTTTTAACAGTGATGTTAATAGATGTTTTCTACTGTTCATTTGTTTATTATCTTCCATTTTCATCCTTGAAGACATGATCTGGCTTAATTGGATCTCTCACCAATCTTTCTAAAAGCTTATTTTTTACCTCTACTGCTTCTTTCTGTTAAGAGACAATATGGTTTATAATTTTCTACCTTCCTCTTTATTAAGATTTTACAAATGAGTTAACATTCTAAAGTTACTGTTGCCTTGGCTGTCGCCTCTTTGTTTTTGAAAGGGAGATTAAATATTTATTCTCTGAGGCAGCTTCAAGGCACTTTTGGTCTCCTTGTTATGGTGATTGGTTTATGTAAGTTAAACTTCCTTAGGAAATGATGTCCATCCTTTTAAACAATTTTTTTCTGAATCAATAGTTTACTTAAATGGGACAAGTTTGAGTTGTTTTAGTTTAGTTGCTATATCTTCTGATTTTAATTTCTTCTTACTTGGTATTGATTTTGACTTTTTCTCCAATAAGCCAATTCTTTGACTACGTAGCTAATTCAAAAATTATGTCCATGTCAGTAACCAGTTATTTCCCAACCATTAAGATGTAATAAATATAAATATTGTGATCATATTTGATGTAATGTGTAAAGTAATTAATGGAACCTTATATTTCATGCTACATGTTTTTATATGGGGCTTATGTTTAAAGGTTGATACTGTAGGTTTTTTCTTTTTGGTTGTTATGTTGCGAACTTTTTTTTTTATTGGTTCATTTAAATAGAATATTGTATTTTAGATTGTTTTTATGTGGTATGTTGGTTCATTTTTTAGAGCAGTTTGAATATATTTTGTAATATTTTAGTTATTGTTGACATCTGTCCGGTGTTTTTTGTTACTTTTGTAACAGTTTTGTAATAGCTTTGACTTTAAAATTATTGAATTCCAACTTTCACTGAATCATTAACAGATTCTTTTTTAACTATGAATTTCTTTATAGTGTACCTATATACAAATTGAACAAGTGAAAGAAACATACGCTGTTATACTAAGTCGGCCATCTTGGTTATGGGGTGCCGAAATGGGAGCCAATGAACATGGAGTTTGCATTGGTAATGAAGCTGTATGGGGAAGAGAAGCAGTATGCGATGAAGAGGCATTACTTGGCATGGACCTTGTCAGGTTATCAGATATACTTGCGGGTTTAGTAGGAAAAAAAAACAAATAAACCATATTTTGTAGAACTTAATTTTACTTTTTAAATTATAATGCCAGATTGTTTTAAAATGTTCTGATATTAGTGAGTGAAAACATAATTTTTTGGCTAAAATACCACAGAACAGAAAGATGAAATACTAAGAATTCCAAATGTCACAGAGGATAAGTTTAACAATACTTGTCAGCCTGGTTGTTATCTTTAAAGGAATGTTATGTTGAAATTAATATATGATATCTTATAAACAACAATTTTTTTAAAAATGTAAATATTTTATAAAAACTTATTAAATTTTATTTTAGGCTTGGACTTGAAAGAGCTGATACAGCTGAAAAAGCAGTCACTGTCATCGTTGATTTACTAGAAAAATATGGACAGGGTGGAAATTGTTCAGAGAGTATGGTATTTAGCTATCACAATAGTTTTCTGATAGCTGATCGGCATGAAGCATGGATTCTCGAGACCATAGGACAATATTGGGCAGCAGAAAAAGTAGAAGGTATGGACAATATATTATTGAATTCATTTTATGATACATTAAATACTTCCAGTTTCTCACACTTCACTGGTTTGCTCCTCAGGGCTGAAAAGTATTCATTTATCTAAGACATAAATCTGATGTAATGTGAGGATGGTTTGGAAAAGAGGGAGAAATGAACTCCCTCTGGTTGTTTTTCCTTACTTGGCTAATGTGAAATGTAATTTCCTTACTTGGTCAATGTAAAATATCTCTGATATTTTAGTAGATAGCCATTTGTCCTTTTTTGTTTATTATATTTTATTGTTCTTCCCCTCTGTCACTCAGGGCTGAAATTTAGAGGTGTGGGCTTGGAGAGGAATTGTTTGAGCATTTGACCATTAGATTAGATGAAAGGCTTTTATATATGTACATTAAAATATAAAAACTAGTCATTATTTTAAAAAATCCAATTCAATTTTTGGAAAATGCTTTGCATTAGTTTTATTCCTTTCAGCTGGATAGATGGATGTTGAGTTAAATACATGTCTGTTGTGTGCTTAGCAGGCACTCTAGATGATGGAAAAGAACTGTAAGACATGGTTACTTCTCTCAAACAGCTTCTAGTCTCATTGGGAAGGCAAGGCAGACACAAAGGATGACATTAAATAAATAACACAAAATAGTACAGTACTATCTGTAATTGTTCTACAATGAGTGATAGAAACATTACATCCAAAGAGTCTAGAATCATGGGTTAAGATTTTTAAAAGGTTCTTAGAGATCATCACATCAGACCCCCTTATTTTATAGATTAAAAAAAAGGAGGCCAAAGAGGTTAAGTGACCTGCCCAGGGTCACTCAGTTAGGAAGTCAGGCAGCTAGGTGACTCAGCGGTTAAAACATAGGACTGGGGGTCAAGAAGATGAGTTCAAATCTTGCCTCAGATGCTTATTATCCATGTGATAGGCAAATCACTTAATCTCTGGATCTCAGTTTCTTCATGTGGAAAATGAGAATAATAATAACACCTATCTCACAGGGTTGTTATGAGAATCAAATGAGATAATGTATATAAAGCATTTTGCAAACCTCAAAGTGCTGTATAAATGCTAGCCATTATCGTTTTTATCTCTTTAGATAAAATTTTCATTGTCCTTTCCAATAATAGATTTCAGTAGAAGATTTTGTTCTTTAAATTGTCTACTTCTGCATTTTTTTAAAAGGCTGTGCATTTCTGTGAGTAAAAGTAAATCATAAGAAACAATTCACAAAACTCAATTGAGTTTAGCATACATTTATTCAGGCCTTTATCATCTCTCACAAAAGTCTCCTAATTGGTCGTCTTGTCTAAAGTATCTCTCTCCTCCAGTCCGTCCTCTCCGCTTAGGCCAATGCAAGACTCTTAAAACACAAGGTTGACCATGCTCCTGCCCTGCTCCAAAAGCTCTCTTAGCTCTTTTCTCTAGCATTGAAAACTCTTCACAGCCTGACTGTTCCCCTTCGCTCACTCTTTGGAACCTCTATTCTGCTTTTCCATGTCTTTGCATAGGCTGTCTCTCCCTGTCTGGAAGACATGGTATCTCCTCATTGGTTAACTTGTGCCACCTTCTCCCATGAGGCCTTTCATGATATCCTCAGCTGCTAGTGCCTCACACTGAAAATTCCCTTATATTTACTTTGTGTATTTTTTTACATTTGTGCTGTTTCTCCCTATACAGTATAAGCTCCTTGAGGGCAGGAGCCATTCCTTTTATGTCCCTAGTGCCTAGCAAAGTGCACATAGTAGCTGCTTAAGAAATGCTTGTTGATCAGTCTGGCTCTATGTAATTTTTGTTCTTCCTCTTTAATAACAGAGGGAGTTCGTAATATTTCCAATCAACTTTCTATAACAACCAAGATTGACCGAGAGCATCCAAAAATGAGAGAACATGCTAAGGATAAAGGTTGGTGGGATGGTCAAAAGGAATTTAATTTTGCTGCTGTGTATGCCCCTCTTAATTCCTGGATCACCGCTTCATCAGGCAGATACTATGAGGGTTGCCAGCTTCTGAACAAACACAAAGGTAATCTTTTTATTTAAATAATACTATTTGAATGAAATTTTGTAAGCTTTTGTATATTCCTACATAGTAATGATAAAATAGTCATTATGAGGTCTTACACTTATTAACGACTTGATTAAAACTTCATTATTATGTTCTAGCTAATTGCTGCTTCTGATGTAGTAATAATTTCTGATGTGCTGAACTCCAAAATTATGCCAGAAAAATTATCTTTTAGCAAACTGCTAAATGGCAGATATTTTCTTTAAAAAAAAAAAGCCAGTTTCACCAAAAGGAGTCTGTTTTGTTTAGATAATAAAAACCATACTTTCTGTGACCAACATGTTGCTTCACTGGCTGAAGCACAAATGCGTTCTGAAAGTCAATCAGAATGCAGCTTTTCATAAGTGAGACAGTCCAGGGCTATAATTTTCTTCACTAGTGCTTATGTGTTAATTAGTATTAAGTATGAAAGATGTAATATTTTGATGTTCCACAATATTTTCATATTTTCTGCTGTTTTGAAAAGAGATATTATAGCTTTGTTAATATTATCAATAAATGCTTTTCACTTTACCATAGAAACATTCTATGAACAATTTATTCTATAGAAATTATTTTATAAATATGCTACTTAAACAAAATTCATTAGTTTTTTCCCATTTGGAAAGTAAGACTTTTAGAGAATGTTTTAAAATGCATTTTCTTAATTACTGTGTCTGGTACCTGAGTGTTGTTTCATTTCTATATCACCGGATTTATTACTGAAATATTGATGACCTCTTTGAAAAAAATACAAACGGTCACATCTGAAGGAAGAAGGAAAAAATATAGTTAAGGACACTGTCCTGAAGAAGAGATTAGTTTTCCCTTTTTTCCTTTTTGGTGACCCCTGTAAATGTATATATAAGCTGAGATCACCTTTATTTCACTTTATTAAGTTAATGATCTCTCCAGTGGTGGACTGATGGCTTAGACTTTTCCACAGTATCAACAGGTGCCTAAAAAACAGATTGACTAGTTAGTTTTCAGTTTTTCTGGAGTAAGATTTATACATTTTTTGGTTAATGGAAATGTTTTCAAATAATGCCAACACTTTAATTAGAAAATCAGCTCTCAGGTTATCTAGTTTTTTGTTTTGTTTCATTTGTTTTTTTAAGCTCTTCCAAAATTTTTTTTTTTTTTTTTTGGCTTTCTGGTAAGGCAACTGGGGTTAAGTGACTTGCCCTGGGTCACACAGAGGTTATCTAGTTTTTAACCTATTCGATGCAGAGTACATTTAGAAAGATTTCAGAATTCGTTTTTCTTTATTGCTGGTTTTTTATGAGTTTATGCATGTTTCTAGAAACTTAGAGTAATCTTTTGGAGTTGTTGTGTTAAGAGATTGTGCATTCTTATTTATGACAGTAATCTTCTTTGGCTTAGGAATTACAGCCATCAGACACTAATACAAAAAGGTCATTGTTGAAGTGAGAAAGAAGAGGAAATGTAAAGAATCATAAGTTATTACGGCGATTAAAGGAGGAAAGAAAAGGACTTTGAATTCATCATTAACTTTGTAATATGTTAAAATTAAATTGTTTAATTACAAGTTAATTGGAAAGTGAATTTCTTTTAAATTCATAGGTAGTTGTAATAAAAAAAAAGTGGGACCTAAATTTTTTATTTTTCTATGTGGAAAGGGCAATCTGTTTAGCTCACTGTGAATCCTCAAAAGAGGGAAGGCCTTTTTCCTCACACTAACATTCAATTTTCTTGTAATCATTGTAACTTTTTTTTTAGATTTCTGTAGACCAACACTGCTATGTTTCTCTTCCAACTGTACTTCATGGTAGCTATTAACTGTGCTGCATGTATATCCAAATTGCAAATACATTCACTCATGCATTTGAAATAACTAGTTTAAATTGCAATGAAATTGCACCCCTGTGTTTTTTATTCATTTTACTGAACCCTACCACCACAGTCTTACTACTTATTCAATGGTTGCTAGTGGATTACTTATAGCTATCCTACTCTTGGGATCATGTAAATCCTTCTTTCATTTCAAGAATTGCAGGTTTTGAATAGAGGAGACATTTTCGTAATACCTGTATTATAGCAGTCTTATGTTCCTGTCACTGTTTTCGTTATAAATCCTTATTTTCAGGAGTTTAGATCTCAACCATTTTAAAATCACACTAGGTGTTCCTGTTATCTGCCTGATTCATAGGTTTTGTTTGGTGTTTTTGGTAGTTTTTTGGCCTTTTTCTTTCAAAAAAATACTAAGAGCTGCTTTTAGAAGTTGCCCTGTCTTTTTTTGCTTTTTGTTCTTAATTTATTAAAAACTGAGTAGAAAGGTCATTTCTTTTGTAATAGGGTCATTTATAGAGAACAATTAGCTATTTTCTCTGCATTTTAAAGCCACTGATGGCTTACTATATACATATTTAGTGAAATATAAGAAAAATAACTTGGTACAGAGAGAAAGAGGTTGTAGGAACTTCAAATTCTTTAAATTTACTTATTTGATTATATATGTAGGGGATTACCCCAATTTAAAAATAGAGATTTTTATAGTGGAAAAACACTGACAGAAATATTGCTATGATAGAGTTATTCAGAAAATGTATTCAATATGTGAGGCTAGCTGGCCTTTACTCCATCATCAAGGGTTGTCCATACTCGTGATCTTTCCATAACCTCCAAGTGTTGCGTATCCATGTTGATGACCTCTGAAATTCCTTTATCTGATCATAACCTTTTGTCACTCCCCCCTCTCCCTCATGACCTCAAGCCTTGCTTTTCATCGTCACCCTGACATCCTATCCCTCCATCCCCTTCTTTCCCAGGCCATCACCCCTTCACAGGCTATACTTTCTTTCCTTCCCCATTGTGACCTCTTGATGAACCAGTTCAGCTTTATACTGTCATCTTCTCTGGAAGCCCTTCCCCTTTATCCTGTCGAAAATCTTGCCTTGCCAATTGTCAGCCTTGGATTACTCCACCCACCCAACCCCCCTCCCCCCTCTTAACTTGCTTCTACATGCACATTGCTGAACAAAGCTGGAGAAAATCCTGAAACTGTTGACTGCAGTCACTGTTAGTTTATGTTACATAATCTTAACTGGCCCTCATTGGGGCAAAACATTCCTTTTACATCTCTCTAATTGATTCACTATTCCACTCATCACAGTGGCTTTTCCAAGCCTTTTCTTCCTTCTTTAAACCTCCTAGAGTTCTTCTTACCCTCACTGTCTCTGCTGAAAACCTTGCCTCATATTTCACTAAAAAAATTAAGACCGTTCAGTGGAAGCTTCCTCTTCACCTCTCCTCCTCATCTCCCCATCCCCCAGATGCCTTCTGCCATTATCTCCTCCTTCACTTGTTTCATATGAAGAGGTAGCCCTTCTCTTTGCCAAGGTAAACCCCTCTACAAGTATGTGAGCCCCTTCCATCCCGTCTTCCCCAGAAGGTTGCCCCTCTATCATCCCTACACTCTCATTAGTTTTCAATCCCTTCCTATCTACTGGCTGCATTTTTACTGCCTGCAAATAAGCCCATGACTCTGTCTCCCATCCTCAAGAAACCCTCACTTGATCCATCCATCCCTGCTAACTCTTATCCTATATCTTTCTTCCCCTTGGTGGCTCAACTCCTTGAGAAGGCTATCTACAGGAGGTGCCTCCACTTCCTTTCCTCTCTCTTATTTCCTCTGCAGTCGAGCTTCTGACCTCATTGTTCAACCCAAAGTGCTCTGTCCAAAGTTACCAATGATTCATTAATTGCCAAATTTAATGGCCTTTTCTCAATCTTCTTCCTTTTGACCTCTCTGCAGCCTTTGACACTATTGATCATCCTCTTCTCCTTGATTCTCTTTTCTCTGGAGTTTTGTGGCACTGCTTTCTGCCAGTTCTCCTCCTACCTCTCTGATCACTTTTCTATCTCTTTTACTTCATCTTCATCTATGTCGTGATCACTAACTCTCGGAGCTTCCCAAGGCTGTCCTGGACCCTCATCTCCCTCTGAACTGTTTCACCTGGTGATCTCATCAGCTCTCACAGTTTCATTTATCATCTTTATGTAGATGATTCTCAAATCTACTTGTCCATTCCTAACCTCCCTTGGATTTCTTACTGTTTATTAGGCCTGGTATTCTGTGGATATCCTAAACCTAACCTATCCAAAACTGAACTCATTCTCTCCTCTAAAATATCCCACCCTTATGATCTTGCCTATTATTATGGAAGGTACCACCATCCTCCCAGTCACCCAGGCTTGTAACCTAGGTATCATCTTTACTCTTCACACTCCATGTCCACTCAGTGGTCAAGTCCTGTCATCTTCACCTTGTTAACATCCCTTGCATACTCCCCCTTCTCTCCTCTCATACTGAAACCACCTTGGAGCAGATCTTCATCCCTTCAAGACCATTGCGGTCATCTGTTGGTTGGTCTCCTACCTCACATCTCTTCCCCATTCTGATCCATCCTTGACTCAGCTATTAAGTTGATCTTTCTAAAGTGCAAATCTGATCACTTTGCCCCTCTAATCAGTAAACACCAGTGGCTGCTTATTATCTTCAGGATCAAATATAAAATCCTGTTTGTGTTTTAAAGTCCTTCATAACCTTCATAACCACCCTTCCAGTCTTATTACATCTTATTCTCTCTGTTTCCCCACCATGTATTCTGTGATCCAATGATACTAGAAGCTCTGGATTCAAATTAGACACTTCTTAGTTAATCTATATCAACCTCAGTTTTCTCATCTGCAAAGTGGAATAATAATAGCACTTCCCTCTCAGGGCCATGGTGAGGGTTAGAAGAGATATTGTCTGTAAGAGTTTGCAGAATTTTAAAGTGCTATATAAATGTCAGTTATTCTTTTTTAAAAAATTTTTTTATTAAATTATTTTGATTTATCAACAATCACTTCCATAAGCTTTTGAGTTTTAAAATTTTCTCCACCTCCTTCCCCAAGATGGCATGCAATCTGATATAGGCTATACATATAAATTCCTATTAAACATATTTTCATAGTGATGTTGTAAGGAAGAATTAGAACCAATATGCGGAACCACCAGAAAGAGGAAACAAAACATAACAGAAGAAGAAAAAAATAGCAAATAGTATGCTTAGATCTGCATTCAAACTCCATAGTTCTTTCTTTGGATGTGGATAGCATTTTCTATCATGAGGCCTTTGGAGATACCTTAGATCCTTGCATTGATGAGAAGGGCTAAGTCTATCAATGTTAGTCATCGCACAACGTGGCTGTTACTGTGTAAAACGTTCTCCTGGTTCTGCTCACTGCACTCAGTATCTTTTCTTTTTCTTTTTTTTTTTTGCTAGGCAGTGGGGTTAAGTGACTTGCCCAGGGTCACACAGCTAGTAAGTGTTATGCGTCTGAAGCTGAATTTGAACTCAGGTCCTCCTGAATCCAGGGCTGGTGCTCTATCCAATGCACCACCTAGCTGCCCCTATTCTTTTTCTTAATAATGATAATAATCATGCTGTAGTTATCACAGACATAGACTTAACATTTCCCAGTTTGGGGAAGGAAGAGACTTTTGTGATATAACAGTCTCCATGCTTAAATGTAGTGTTCTCTTATTACTTGCCTCGCAAGGGAGACAAATTTGGAAAATAACTAAGTAGTAATCTTAAAATCATTGTTACTGAAATAACTTTCTTCCTAGTCCATGTGGGAAATAGGATTGGTTGCATGTGTTTTGCATTGTTCGCTTTTTGCTTTTTATTTCTTTGGGAGTTCTGTCTTAGCTGTAATAATTTATGTAGCTAATGTTCTCTTAAATTTATTCTTAGTTGGTGATAAGCCTGAGTTTAATATAGTTGATTTGATAACAAGGTTTATACTTTGTTAGTGTCATAGGTGATGTTTTTACTAAGACCAATATTTCATATTATTCATGATGAGCAGAGAAAACATCTTCATTGTAAGAGGGCATTCTCTAAGCAAAAGTGTTTGAGTGTGTGACTTGTTAATTACAGATATCTAACAGGTTTTTGTTGTAGCTTCTATTCTGGTAGGAGGACTTAGGAAAAATGAATCTTATTTATACAGATCTGTAAAGTAAATTGCGGCAATGCCAAACTGCACAAACTGGAGTTAGTACTTGTTAACATAGTTGCATAACTAACTTGATTTTCAAATTTTTCAATAGGAAATATGACCTTTGAAACAATGATGGAAATTCTCCGAGATAAAGAAAGTGGCATTAATATGGAGGGAGAGTTTCAGACTACTGGCAGCATGGTTTCTGTTTTGCCTTCAGATCCCAGCCTTCCATGCATTCATTTCTTTACAGGAACCCCTAATCCTGAAAGGTGAAGTAAGAGATGAATGATAAGTGGGTAGGGAAAAGAAGCTTAACATTTAGTTAAATTAATATCTTTTTAATTTTAATGAGATAACTAGCTTTTAAAAGGTTTAAAATAAAGGATATATCTTCTTGTAAATATTTAGTGTCTCACCTCTCTATGCCAATAGTGAATCCTTTGTTTCTATAAGAAGAGAATGTTAATACGTTTTAATATATTTCAGTTACATAAGTTAAACATAGCTTTATTAATGGAAACTTTCCTAGAGGGAGTAATAGAAGAAAATGAGTGTATTAAATATTCTTTACATCTTGATTACCCCAACAGTAATAAAGACTGTTCTTTTTTACTTCTAGATCTGTTTTTAAGCCATTCATATTTGTACCAAATATAGCTCAGTTACTAGAAACTAACTCACCAACATTTGGACATGAAGATCCAGTTAAAAAGAAGCCACGTTTTCAGAGTAAACCTGACAGAAGACATGCTCTTTACCTCAAACATGAACAGGCAATTGAAATAATAGATTCTAATGAGGTATGAAAATTCAATTTAATTGAACAAACATTTATTAAATGTCTACTATGTGCAAAACCTGTGATAGGTCTAGGCATGGTCATGGTGAGATGCAAAGTTTATATGAGGCAAAGGATCTGCCTTAATAGAGCTTACAGTTTGTTTCAGTGTCATCAAGAGTCAATTAACCTGTGTTTCATCCATAGTCACCAGTTTGAGTTTCAGCTTCTTGAAAGAAAGAGTTTGGTGAAATCACACATGTTCATTTTCTAATATATCTTTGAGGAAAATGGTATATTTGTGACATTCTTTTAGGATATACCTCTTACTTGAAGTCATACCTCAGTGTAAAAGTCATTGAAAGGCAGATAGTTCAGTCTATTATCTAGTATCCCTTGTTGTCACATTAAAAGGTAATATTGGGCAGGATGGATTATCATTCCGATGTGACATTTATTTTCTTTTTTCTGAATATATGAACATTCCAACATGTCACTTATGTTCTTTATGTTTCTTTCTGACATAGCATTTATTTTTAAATTAGCAAACAGTGGTGATAAGAATTAGACTGCACAGTGTCTTATATTTGGGTTCAAAAATCAGCTTCACAAATAAAAGTTGCAGGAAGTATGGCTGGACAGCAGTTTGTCTGAAAGAGATTTTAGGGGTTTAGAGTTAGGGTTAATAAGAATTTTAACAGTGTGGTATGGCAACCAAAAAGACTTCATGAGTCTCAAAGTCTCATGAGAGAGATAGTGTCCAGGAGTAGGTAGGTAAAAGTTCCTCTGTACTATGCCCTGCTCAGAGGGCATGTGGAGTTTTGCATTTAGTTATGGGCACCACATTTTAGAAGGACATTGATAGGCTTTAAAGTATCCAGTGGAAGGCAACCAAGATGGTAAAGGGTTTTAATATCATGCCACAAGAGGATTGGTGGGAGGAAATGAAAATGTTTATCCTGGAGAAAAGAAGACTTATGGGGTCATGATTGTTCTCTTAAAGCATATAAAGAGACTCATGGTGAAGGGGATTAACTTTATTCTGCTTGGCCCCAGAAGATGTGATGAAGATCATTGTATACAGAAGTTGGGGCTTATGTTAGGAAAAAATTCCTACCATAATTAGCATGAGTCTTTAAGTAAAAACCATATGACTACTTGTTGGGTATACTGTAGATAGGATTCTCACTCAAATACAGGATAGACTAGATAGTTTTTGAGATCCCCTTCAAAATCTTAGGATTATGTGGAAACAGGTTGGTCAGTTAAGTGGGGAAAAAAATTCAGAAACCAGTTTTGATCAGAAAAGTTGATTCATAGTTATGTGTTGACTCTGCCTATTTTTTTTTATCACTAGTTCCTCTTTCTCCTATTTTAATTAAAATTTGAAAATGTCTTTCTAGAATCACAGAATTTCAGAGTTGGACAGGACTTTAGAATCCCTACACTCAAACCAGAATTCATTCTATAAAACACCTAACAAGTGGTCACTCAGCCTTTACTTGAGGAGAAAGCCACCATTCTCAAGATATTTCAACTGTTTCTAGATAGCTCTAATTATTAGGAATTTTCCCATTGATTGCTTCAAGTTCTGCTCTCTGAAACTAAGCAGGTTAACCCCCCTTCTGCCTGATGGCTTTTTAAATAATTGATGACAGCTGTCATCTTCCACTGACGTCTTCTCTTCTCCAGGCTAAATAATCCATTCCTTTATTTGATTCTCACATGGCATGAGTTCCAAGGCCCATTGTGGATGCTTTCTAGCTTATTGGTATCCTCTTAACAATATGGCACCGAGAACTGAATTCAGTATCCCAGAAGAAGTCTGAAGTATAGCAGAACTGGGATGGAAATTTATTGAAACAATTTTAGTATATGAGGCAAAAATTAGAATTATATCACTTGCAGGTGATCAATTTTATATATAATTTATATTCATTCATCAGAAGTATTTAAAGGTGCAGGAGCATAGGAGTTCCACTCCAAGGGTAGTCTTTGTAGACTTTAAAAGAGTTTACTGACTAATATGATGTTTTTTGTCAAATAATGTTGAAATACCTTTAAAAATTATGAATTTTTAAAAAATTATTAATATTTCAGGCTACAGGCAGTATGTGTTAATTATAGAATAGCAATGTGGTATATGTGAAAGATGGGTATATGGGCCCTAATCTTGGCTTTGGCACTTACTGGTTGTGGGATTTGGGGCAGGTTACATAACTTTTTTGAATTGCACTTTTGTATACAGTAATGGTGTTGGGCTTTATTCCTAATTAAGTTACTTCCAGTGGAAAATTTGAAAATTAGTTTCTTCCTTGTATATTTCTTTCATTCATTCATTACACATTTGTCAACTATTTTTAAGCAGAACCAAATATTAAATATTATACAGTTACCTATTGTGCAGAATAGAATTAAGAGCACAAGAGTAGTCGTAAGTGTTCTATAATGTCTGAGCATCAATTTCTCATTAAGTATGGTCTACCAAAAAAAACATTTTGTATTAATTTCAGAAAATTTTACTTAAATGGTTTCAGAAACGGGAAGCCACAGACACTTTGAAGGGCTGCGTTAAGAAATTTTCTTGGGGCAGCTAGGTGGCGTAGTGGATAGAGCTCTGGCCTCGGAATCAGAAGGAACTGAGTTAAAATCTGGCCTCAGATACTTGACCCTTACTAGCTGTGTGACCCTGGGCAAGTCACTTAACCACCCCCCCCAAAAAAAAGAAAGAAATTTTTTTCCTTTTCTTCCCAATGTTGGTAAAGAAGTATAGTCTTAAAAACCTATCCCAGATTTCCCTCTAGGGCTATTTCTGTTTTTTTGTTGTTTTTTGTTTGTTTGTTTGTTTGTTTTGGTAAGTCTGAATGGCAGCAATTTAAAAGGTTTTTTTGTTTGTTTGTTTGTTTTTATCATTTCTGCCTTCAAATGATGGAGTGGGAGAGACCCATGAAAATTATTTAGAAATTAAAATGCATCTTGCATGAATGGGTTGATAAGTGAGAGGCTAAATAAATGCATTTGTTGATCTTTTGAAATCTTGTACTGTATTAATATTTTATTTGAAAATTATTCTTTTAGGAAAGAGGCAGAAAAATGCTGGAAAAGATGAAGACACTGGAGAAAGAAATGCTCAAAGAGATGGAATCAGTCCTTCAGAATAAGGATCTTGATGTGAACAGAGCTGTTAAACTTTTTTCTCAATGTGTGAAAAATGAAATGAAAATTTATGAGTCAAAAGTTGGCTCTTAGTGAACATACCACGTTCAGAGGTCTTCTTCAAAGGCAGTCCTAAGCTTATTAAATCTGGTAAATCTGAGTTCAGTAGACTTTATTACTCTTCAGTTATATTCAGGTGACTGAAATTTAATCTTGACTATTATAGTAAAACCATCAAGCCATTATTTTTCTGGGACACTAGAGAAGAAAGTAAGGTTTACATGAATTTTAACTGATATGCTCATTTCATAGAACACTTAAATGTTACTTGAAGGTAGCAGATTAGAATATGATGTCACTGTCAAAGTAATTATTAATTTCAAGCTGATTTTCTAATGCTGTGTGAAAGCATAACATAGGTACAATGAAGTACAGATTCATGTATAATACTGTTATTATGCAGTATCCTAAAATGTCTTTCAATTACAATTAGAAAACAGACTGTTCTTTAGGGATGCAGACTATTATTTTAAAAAATGAGTCATCTGAGACTAAACAGAAATTAACAGAACAGGAACTTTTTTTTTTTTTTTTTGAGATTAGGTCTCTGTATCTCTCCCAGGCTGGAAGTGCACTGGCCTCTTGTGGTCTTGATCCCATTGCGGCTTTGCATGGAAGCTTTGAGCCTGATCCCTTTCTGACCTGCTCTAGGTTTGCTCCTCCCTTTCGCAGCCTGTCCCATCCTTACCTGCCCTCCCTAGGGCCCCCCATTTTAGTGCCACACAGTGTAGACACCTGATTGGCTTTAAGCCTCCTATAGCTCAAAGCTCTTGAGCTCAAGTGACCCACCAGGCTCAGCCTCTCCATCTGTAGGGTTCACAGGCATGTGCCACCATGCCCCATAATAAGAAACTTTTTAAAGATTTGCATATTGCTCTTCTGCTTGATTTCAATGTATTTATTCTGCCAAAGCACTTTATGCAGCACAAATGTGCTGTTTGTAAGACTGTGACTAACCAGTGAATTCTTACAGTTGATTTTCTAGTATATTTTGGGGGAAAAAAAAGATATCTGAGCCTTATTAAATTAGTTTCAGCTGAGTATCTGCATTCCCAGCATCTATGTACTTCCAAACTTTGTACTTGCCTTTCCTGCCTCTGTTAACTTGTGTTCTTCTTTTCTTTATTTCATTCTGTAGGAGGAAACCTTGTCTGGGAGCAAAAAGATGGAGAAATCTAGGCCTTAGATATTTTTTTTGTCTAATGTTCTTTCACTCTCTCGTATTCATTCAGACGAGGGGGAAAAGATTAGTAAAAGCAGAAAATTAAGTGTTTGGGCATATATTTCAAGCAGGTAGTGTTTAAATCTGTTTCTGGGGAGGTGCCAGCCTGCACTGGTATAAGGAATTTCTTCTCCTAGGAGTTCTCTGTATCAGTGAAATTACAAGTTTGATCCCTTTTTCTATCCCTATCAAGGTTAAAAGTACATTGCAGGAGCAGCTAGGTGGCACAGTAGATAGAGCACTGGCCCTGAAGTCAGGAGGACCTGAGTTCAAATGTGGCCTCAAACACTTGATACTTACTAGCTGTGTGACCTTGGGCAAGTCATTTAACCCCCTTGCCTACAAAAAAAAAAAAGAGAAAAGTACATTGCACATCTAATGCACGTTGATCCTTGAGAAACTAAAAGAACAAAGGTCTCAAGAATGTTGAGTGGAGTCCTTTATGGACGATTTATGAACAAATATGAACAAGAGTCATATAGAATGAGAAGGTTTGGAGTTGGGAGGGGATTCTGTTCTGCACTGATCGAGGGAGTCCCTACACTGAAGGAATAACTGACCCATAGAAGTAAGGATACAATACATTCAGATTACCAGGTTTGGCCTATGTAGGTCAAGTGTTTAAAAAAAATACGCTGTTTATTGTGTGGTTGCTTTAAGTACAGATTATTGATATTATATTTGTAATTGTAAATTTGTAAATTTTGTAACTGTAAAATTGTAAATTTGCCATTCTCGTACTAAGCTGATGCTCCCTTTACCATATGAACTTAGAATTTGTGGTTGGTAAAGGCCTCAGACACATCTGGCCCAAACCCCTCATTTTATAGGGGAAACATCTATAAAACATTTAGAGAATTTAAAGCTAGGAAGTATCCTAGGGGATCACTTAGTAATATACAGAAAAGTTCACAGTGCTAGAAGCAGCACATCTGGGAATGGGCTTAAAGAGGCAGTGACTTGTTTAATGTTAGGTTAGTGGCAGTCAGGATTTGAACCTAGGTCTCAACTCTTAGGTTCAATTTTATTTTCACCAAAATGCAATCTCTCATCATAGTGCTTTCTCTGTGTAATTTCTTAGTGAAATCTATCAATCCAGATGAGGCATACTACTTCCCCTTGTGCATTTATATAATTCATTTTTTATGTTGCTATTAACTATATTAAAGTTGACTTGTGAAAATAATAAAGTAGGGCACCAAAACCTTTTTAAGACTGAAGACATGTCAGATTGGGGTGTGTAGCTTGAGCCTTGCAAGTTTGCCTGCTTATATAATGGGTGACCTTTGGAGTTAGCATTAGGGAGATACTTGTAAAATAATTAGAGAATTTAGAGCTAGGAGGCATTCTAGGAGACCACTTAGTAACATATATAAAAGTTCACAGTGCTAGAAGCAAGACATCTGGATTTAAAGTCTGGCTTTTCTGTTTTATTATCTGCGTGATTTAGGCAAGTCACTTCACCTGTCTAGAGTTCAGATTCCTTATCTAAAGTATAAGGTCCATTGATCACGAGTTAGGAACCTAAAATCCAGGAACTTGTTTCTTTAAACATTTTGGTAAATGTATTTCAGTATAATTGGTTTCCTTTGTAATCCTCTGTATTTTATTTTATGCATTTAAAAGACAGTATTCTAGAGAACGGAGTCGAATTTATAAGAATAGAAGTCATTCCTCAATTGATAAATGGTCAAAGGATATAAACAGGCAGTTTTCAGACAAAGAAATCAATCATATAGTCATATGAAAAAATTCTCTAAATCACTACTGATTAGAGAAATGCAAATTAAAACAACTTTGAGGTACCATCTCACACCTATAAGATTGGCTAATGTGACAAAAACGGTAAGTGATAGATATTGGAGGGAAAGTAGGAAAATTGGGACACTAAGGCACTGTTGGTGGAGTTGTGGACTGATCCAACCATTCTGGAGAGCAATTTGGAACTATGCCCAAAGGGCAATCAAAATATACCACTACTAGGTCTGTATCCCAAAGAGATTTAAAAAAAAAAGGAAAAGGACCCATTTGTACAAAAATATTTATAACAGCTCTTTTTGTGGTGGCTAAGAATTGGAAATTGAGGGGATGCCCATCAATTGTGGAATGGCTGAGTAAGTTGTGGTATAACATGAACTGGTGCAGAGTGAAATGAGAAGAACCAGGAGAACACTGTACACAGTAACAGAAATATTGTATGATGATCAACAGTGAATGATCTTAGCTCTTCTCAACAATACAATGATCCAAGACAATTCCAAAAGACTCATGATGAAAAATGCTAACCTCCAGAGAAAAAACTGATGGTATCTGAATACACAATGACGCTTGTCCTCTTTTCCTTTTTTCCTTTCCTTCCTCAAAATGAGTACTATGGAAATGTTTTACATGGTTGCACATGTATAGCCCATATCAGATTGCTTACCATCTCAGATAGGAGGAAGGGGAGGAGGAGAGGGATAGAATTTGGAACTCAAAACTTAAAAAAACCCAAATGTTAAAAATTATTTTTACATGTAATTCAGGGGAAAAAATAAAATATTAAAAAAACAAAAACAGTATTTTGAGAAGGGGTCTATAGACTTCACCAGATTGTACAAGTAGTCTATGATTCAAAAAAAAGTTAAGAACCCCTGGATTAGGTAATTTCTTAAGGTTTCTTCTTAAGTCCTGGAATCTTAGTTCATACCCCACATTTTACATTTGAAAAGTAGAGGAAACTGAGATAAAATAACATGTCAAAGATCTTCCTTGTCAAAAATTGTCTTTGTCTAGTTGAACCTTTTTCTATGGAAACGTGATTCTGTTGTTTTTTAGTTGTTACTGTAATGTACAACTCTTCATATCCCTATTTGGAATTTTCTTGGCAAAGATAGTGAAGTGGTTTGCTAATTCTTTCTCCATCTCGTTTTACAGATGAGGAACTGGGGGAAACAGGATTAAGTGATTTTCCCAGGGTCACACTAGTAACCCCTAGCTAGTAAGTATCTGAGGCCAGATCTGAACTCGGAAAGATAAGTCTTCCTGATTCCAAGTCCAGTGTTCTATCCACTGTGCCATATAGTTGCCCATTTGATTTTATAATATATATCAATGCAAAAATATCTCCTAGACAGTTTGGCAGTTACACATCTTCCCCAGCAAGGGGTGCCACTATTATGTATTTTTCTCATATCTTTTACGACATTAATGTGTATTTTACCCAAAACTTCTTAGTTGGAACTTAAATTCCTTATATTTGTTAAACAAGGCCTTGCTATGGTATATGTTTTATATTTCCAAAATCTTTCACTACTATTGCCATGCACCAGAACTGATACCTTTTATTTAGTCCATTTGGTAGCTTATACCTAAACCTACAGGTTTTAGCTCTTTCCCTTTAGTATTTTAAAAAATCTTATCTCCATTTCATGAATTACAGTAATTTATAATAAACTTTGCTGTCAATTAAAATAATACCATACTACTACAGGATTGTTGCATTTAAATGAGAAAATGTATACAACAAAATCACTTTAACTATAAAGCATTATATGTAATTATTATTGATAATAATGATGGTATATAAGTGTGAGTACTCCCTCCAGTGGTGCTGAGTGCACTCCATGCCTTTTTATTTAGTGCTATTCGTTTTATATTTCTGTTGGTCCTCCATAAAGGATCTAGGCACTCAGGACCTTCCTCTGGTTATTTTTAATATTTCACAAATACCAGCGTAGTATTCAGGATGGCCATTTATTATTGCTACATGACATTGCCCACCTCCTTTTCTAGTTACCAGTATTCTCAATGAAGACTGTCACACTACTTTTAACATATTGTTGGCAAGTTGTTGAAAACTACTTATCATCTACCATGGATGTTTTTTTACATCCTCCGAAGAGCACGGTGTTCCTGTGTTTCACGGCCTTCTAGTATTATTACCTGGATAATTTTATGTTATAGAGCAGATCGTAATCATGGAAAGCATTATAGTTTTTCAAATGTGATCCACCCTGATCCCCAATGGGCCCAGTTTATTTTCCATCTGCAGTGTCTATCCAAGTTATATTTACTCATGGATTAGCTTGATGAACTGCCCATCCAACTACATATTATAAGCCAGGAAAGCCTGACTCAGCCTGATACCCTATTAGTTGAGATTCAACGTTAATACAAAATGAGGCACCTATAGGTCATTCAGCAGTTAACAAAAGGGTTTCTTCTTAGCCACAGCATAAAAGGGATACTCAAACAAGGATACTGCAGCACTTGGCTTGGGTAAACCAGGCCCCCATATCTCCATATGGAATTACATCTCGGCAACATGTGAAGACTCCTGCAATCTTGGGATATCTGCCAAATGTGAACTCCACATTTGGGTGGGCCTTTTTTGTGACTAGGAAACATCAGTATGGTCAGAAAGCTATGTCAAGTGAGGTGTATACAGCTTGAGCCTAAGGCCTTTGGCTCACTCAAATCTGGAGGACACATTCTGTCACCTTTCAGGGAAGAACTAGCCTAAGCCATGTTGCCAGGGGAGCGGCAACTCCTGTAGAAAGTGGTCCTGTCACACATGCATTTTTAGGTATTTCATTGATGCTTTTCTATTTAGTATCACTATCATTTCCCAATGACTCCTCCCCTCCTCCTCCAAGTTTCCTTTGTGAGGAATGAGCAAAACACCTTGGCCACGTTTGAAAGTGTAGACTACATCCCACACCTGTGTTCCCCCAAGCCCTCTGAAGTAGGATTGGTCACTGCATTTCTCAGACTTCTTCAGTCTTCAGCATTATTTTTCTTTACATTACCATAGTCATTGTGAAAATTTTTCTGATTCTGCATACTTCAATATTAGTTCATACAGCTCTAACCCAGAGTTTCATTGAATCTTCATTCTTTTACTTTTTTTTAAAATCTTCATTCTTAAGACACAAAAATGTTCCATTATGTTCATACACTACTGTACGTTCACTCATTTCTTCCGGAGTCAGAGTAGCCACTTTCCTTCTAGTTCTATGCTATTAAAAAGTACATGTTTGTATATATGGAACCTTTTTACTCTGTTTGACCTTCTTAGAGTAGTATGCCTAGTAATGGTATTGCTAGATCAAATGGCCCATGTACATTTGACTTTCTCAGTCTGACTTCAAATTGCTTTCTAGAATGAATGGACTAGGGGGCAGCTGGGTGGCACAGTGGATAGAGCACCAGCCCTGAATTCAGGAGGACTTGAGTTCAAATCCAACCTCAGACACAACACTTACTAGCTGTGTGACCCTGGGCAAGTCACTTAATCCCACTGCCTAGCCAAAAGAAAAAATAGAATGGATGGACTGTTTCATAGCTCCAACAGTGCATTAATGTGCCTGCCTTCCCACAACTCAACAGCTATCATTTTTGTCTTGTGAAGTCTTTTGGCAATCTCATTGACATGAAGTGAAATCTCAGAGTTGCTTCAATTTGTATTTATTATGAGTAATCTGGAGCATCCTTTCATGTGGTTGTTGATAGCTTATGCTTCCTTTTTTCAAAACTGCTCATATTCTTTGACAAGGCTCGTGTGTATATATTCCTTACCTATCTTGGATATCAAATTTTTATCAGAGGCATTTGCTGCAAAGATTTTTTACCAATTAACTCCTTTCTTTTAATTCTACTACATTGACTTTTTTTCCCATGCAAAAGCTTTTCAGCTTTAATGTTCTCTAATCACCTCTATACATTATTAGTTAAGAATTCTTTCTTTGGTCATAGTTGTGCAAGGTATGTCTTCTTTAGTAATCTGTTTTTTACTGTTTGAGTTACTAGTGTAATCTATAATGAACATAAAACAGTGTATTCTATATTTCTATCAAGTTCTAATACAAGTTCTTAAAAGTTTTAATACAAGTAGGATTTTTGAATAAATTATTGGCAACATGAGCATTGTAAAGAACACTGGACTGGTAGATGCAGGTTTTAACTCTAGTTATGCCCACTACTAGGTGACATTATGCAAATCATTTAACCTTTATATAGCCTTGGTTTCCTCATCTATAAGAAGGAGTGGGGTGGGAATACAGAAGGAAGGAGTTAATGAAATTGTCCCTAGTTAAAGTTGTCTTCTATTTAGTAAGATATTTTACCTTTTAAAAAATTAGATTAAAATTTCTAGAGGTAGTTGATGTATAATTAATAGTCTGGTTTTAAGATCACTTTTCAGAATTCCTCATATTATAATAATAGCCAATATTTACATAGATACCACCTATTATATGCCAGGCACTATATTAAGTGCTTTAAAAATACAATTTTATTTGATCTTCATCCTACCCTGGGACGCAGATGCTATTATCACCATTTTACAGATGAGGAAACTAAGGTAAACAGAGGTTGAGTGATTTGTGCAAGGTCACACAGCTTAGTGTCTGAGAATGAATTTGAACTCAGGTTTTCCTCACTCTACGCCCAGTCCTCCGTGCAACTGTGGTGCCACCTAGTACTCTGACATAGAATTTGGTTTTTAAAGTAGACAAACTAAATGGCTGCTACATTAATAATCATTCCAAGCATGTAGTACTAATACTGAGATGTTTCAGTGGGACAAGCTGAAACAAATACCCCAAAGAAACCTTTTTCTCTGCTTCTCTTTATGCTAGAGCATAAAGTTACATGCCTATTGTGCAGAACAAATGCTCACAAATCATCAAATCAGATGTGAGATTCAAGAGACCATTTTGGAGGCTCTGTGGAGGATGGACTAGATCAGGAAGAGGCTTGAGGCAGAAATTAGGAGGTTACTGTAATAGTCCAGATGAGAGGTGATGAGGGCCAGAACACAGGTGATGGCTGCTTGAGTGGAGAAAAGGGGACACAGACAAGTGAAAATTACAGGTTCCCAGATTCATTCATCCAGCACTTATACAATGCCTATAGTGCACCTAACACTGCAGAAATCATATAGTACTATTTAAGAAGAGAAAAATTTGAAGGAATGAAAATAAGATTGGTGTTAAGGAATGACAGAAAAGACCTCTTATGTGTTTTTTGCACTATTCAAATAAGTCAAAGAATTACAAGAAAAACATTTTCTGCAACACAAATTAAAAGAGCTATTTTATTGAGAAACTTGCTATATTATTGAGGTCACTGGTACAAAGATATTTTCATTTGATAAAACTGGCATATCCTTAATTCTAAAAATATTTTAACATAACAAAAGTACTCTGTTAACCAAACTTGCAGATCACAATGATCAACAGTTTTCTGTCAGTACTTTCTGTGCTAAAAGATGCAGTTTTCTGCTTCCCTTTAAGAAAATGTATGCAGTAACTTGTACAAAGATAAAACAACTGATTCTTAATCTAAATTTGAGATGCTTACCAAGCACGTAAGTTAGCATCTCAAATACTGCAGTTATAAATCAGTTGTTCCTGGCATAAGTTATATTTAAGCTTAAAATCAAGATAAACTCCAGAGCATTAGGACAGTCACAATTAGGATGTAAAAAACTAAAGTTTCCTTGCCAAGGTGACTCTAATTGGTAAAACAAACTGCTCTACCCCCAAAACATAATTTAAAACAAATGTCATAGCAAAGTGTTTAGATTTACTCTTATTAAATACACTAGAGTTTTCCTATTTTTTTTAAACATACAGATTTAAAAGTCCTATTCACCTTAAAAAAAAAAAAGGATCCAAGTAGAAAATAGAACTGTATCATTCATGTGGAAGTTAGATGCAATTAAATATAAAGAAACTAAACATTTTAAGTTAAATCAGCAGAGGGGCTAAATATTTAGCATTAAGGGTCTGTTAGTAAACAGGGCTTAAAAAGCAAGACAATACGGGCACAATATATTCTAGACACTTTTAAAAAGTGACTGTTAAAACTTATGAAATAAATAAAGCACACTAAACATCAAGTAACTCAAAGGTAACATGATCACCTTTTTCTCTCCATCTTTCCACCAATTTCAAGCCAGGAATAATATTTTATAACTGCACACAGCATGAATAACTTAAACTTGTAGATGCTTAGAAATCAGCATGCCAAAAATTAAATTCTAAAATTTATAGCAGCATATTAGATTTGGCTTCAAAAATAGTTTGAAATATGTAAAAAACTTTCATTTTTATCTTTGTATCCCCAGTGCATGGCAATGTGCATGGCACGTAAGAGACACATGATAAATAATTGTTGACATGAACCACTTCTTTCCTCTCTTAATTTCTCTAAACAGTGGTTCACATGAGATGTGCAAAAATTTTCTGAGCTGGGATGTGCAAAGTTACATATATGTATATATGTATACATATACACACACACACACATATACATATACATACATATACATATATGTGTATATATATCAATCAACAATTATGGTAGCAATTTTGTTGGTGTGATGTAGGTTAAACTACTCTAATCATAACATGCACAACAGAAGTTAGAGACTAGACTATATTTTAACTTCTGTTATGGATTTGTGGAGATTACCCCTACTTTTTGATGGAAAAGCAAGAATAAGTGTACTTTAAAAACATAAATTCATTGTGTTGCCAGTTTGAATGAGCACCACTTGTCAAGAAACTGTGTGGTGGTGGAGAAATGAAGAATTAGGAAGGCCTCTTAATAAAATGATTTTCAAAGTTTTTCCATGAAGTGCAATTGGTCAGTGCAAAGTATACATAATCATGAGATTCATTTACTGCTCAATATCCAACTGCAAAATTCAGCAATTTAGAGTAGTGGCTTATTTGGTTATTAAAATTATATGAAATAATTACATGCAAATCAATCATTAACAATTTCTGTCCAAACTGATGATTATTATATTCAATAGGAGCTCTCTAATAATAATGATATAGTAGGGGGAAATTGTTCTTCAGTTTGATAAAGATTCCTTCTGTGTTTTATATCCCCATATTTTAGGTTTCAGGGGAAAGTGAGGTAGGGGATGAGTGCTCAATTTCTACCTGTCTCTCCTGTGAGGATGCACCTGAATTAGTGCCTGGAGGACTTTCTGTGGGACTGTCCTGAAGAAATCGGTAAAACAAACATTCATCCCGAAACTCATATTCATTGGTAATGTGCTGGACAACTCCTCCTTGTACCAGCCTGTCTCCATACAGCACTGCTTCACCACGGTCAGAGGCAAGGCCAACTTCAATTAGCCAGTTCACCAGGTCACAGCCACAGAAAGTTCCAGTAGAAGTCTTTGCACCACACCTGTATGTTAAAGGAATGATTCACCCATAGGTTCTGTAAATCTGCTATCAGCACTGCATAACAGGGGACAGGCAAGAAAAAATGGGAAAACAAGGAAAGACAGCATGATAGTTGGTATGTAAAAAAGTATGGTAGAAAAGAAACCATTTTGGATATTAATGGTTTGTTAAACTGTAAAAATCATTTAAAATATGATAATTATGTTCATGAAAATAGTTAAAACTTAATACACAGAAAGCTATACACAAAAGTGACATACTATAATTGTGTGTTTAAATCATCATACAATAGCACCAACTTTTGTAATAGCTTTGTTAAAGACTACTACACTACATAAAGTTTAAATAAAATTTGTCCAATTATAAAAATACCAAATGTTTTAATTAATGCTGTAAACTATAGTAAATCAAGAATTGCTTCTCAGGTAATATATTTAATCAGACTCTTAAAACTTGTCTTACTAAAATAATGAGATGAAAAAAATGTACTTGGTATGACACTTTTGATTATTTCAAATGCATTCCTAATACAAATGCATGGTTCCTCATGTCTCAGCAAACAAATAAAGTGTATGGCAACAAGAGGAAAAGAACCAAATGAACCTGTAAATTTTAATAGAAGCACGTAATGGACATGAAATACACTCAATAAAAGCATCAGTCAAGCAACAGAACTGTTACAGAGCAAAAAAGGAGGCAGCAATCAAGGCTCAAGGTGAGATGAGGAAAGCAGGTAACGAAAAAGAATACATTTAATTACATGAGTAGACTAAGAAGTCGTACAAAAATCACAAAAGGCTAATATGCATTTAATATGCATTTTCTCAAGTAACATCACAATTAACACAAAAATGTTATTTCAGGTACATAAGATGTAATACACCTTAATTTGTAAACAAAATATCAAGCAGTTCAACAGGAGACTAATGCCCCAAACAACATGTGGTTGAACATCCATTCTTATTGTCAATTTTAAATATGCAATTAAAATCTAGTAAGATTCCTGACACTCATTCAATAAAACATATGTCTGCTGATGACTGTGCAATGACACCTCAGGTACCCTTACAACTGGACAAAGGTCACTACTAAATAACGAGGCATGTACCCTGGAAAGGGTACAGTGGAACAGAGAGGGTTTGCCATATAGGCTCAGCAGTCCTAAAAAGCGGCGACAGCACGATGGCTCCCTTTGTGCTTCAGAACTTGTATGAAGGTGTCAAATGAAATTTTCTTCTAAAAATTTCACAAAACCAATTTTCTCAACCTGTTGAATTGCTGAAGGAAACTATTCATAAGTGTTATTTTTAAATGATTTTGCCAGTCTAGATATCTACCTCTCTCAAAGGAAAACTGTCATGTGGTCTGTAATACTGTTCTTTGATTATCTGCTTTTTCACTTTCCCCATTATATAATTTAAAAAATGTTCACAGCAACGTATTTATCCTTTATATTTCAATATCAGAGGCTAAGATCAATTAATTGGTTTCCATGGATATTATTTAGATACCATAGACTAAAAACTAGGACTGGAGGTGCTGAGACTGTCATAGTTTTGAAAATCTTTTTTCAATAAAAAGTCACATCAACAGGAGAATATGAAAAAAAATTGTTTCTAAATTCAAAGTCTTTAAACTTTTCTGAAAAGCAATAATAACTAATGGTCTCTCAATTCTAATATCCTTATGTCTTGGTTCTCAGATCTACTTTATGTGAAAAACCAAAGTCAGCAGCTTTTCAAAACTATCCAAATAAAGATGGTCTAGGTAGGTTACAGAGATTTTGTTTAAGGACTAATCCATCTCTCATGTGCACTGGCCCGTGACATTTTTAGTTAACATGCACAAGTCAATGGTATTATTTAATCTGAAAGGTGTGTCCAACATTTAACATTCTAGTTAACAGGGATCTCCGTATAGGCATTTGCCCACCTTCTTTCCTTGACAATGCTTCGGACACAGAGATCACGATGATAATGAACAAACTGTTGACAGGTCATTCTGATCTCCTCAGGAACAGGTGATAATCCATTTTCTGCTGTTTCTTTATTATTCCACAGGAATTCAAATCTGAAAATCAAAATTGAAGAAGAGACTGCATGTAACGAAAGACAGAAAACGCCACACAGGGGACCTATTTCCCCATTAAAACATGCTTGTTCAATAGCGGTTGTCACCTACCTGCCATATCCACATCATTCTGAAGCCAGAAGCAATGATAAATCTGATCACATTGACATTTTATTCCTTAAGTTCATAAGACAAATTGGGCATATTTGTGATTTGTCAAACTCCACTCTCCTTGGGATATTTTAAAAATAGTCTTTACAGAGAGCAAAGATTTTACTTCAGCATTTTTATGCAATAGGCAGATTTCCTGTGTATCCTGAATGTAGAACTACTGTGTGCAAGTTATTCCAAATTCGTGGTCTATTTATTCTTTAATCTGACTGATAATGAACAGACGACTAAATCTCTTGTTAACGACTAAAGTTCAATGACTAGTTTATTATTCCATTTCTACATCATAGGACCACCCTGACTGTTCTTTAGTTAATACTAAATGGAGATGTCATTGCAGGAGGAGGCAAGATGGTAGAGCAAAGAAGAACTCAGCTGAACTCTTCCAAACTGCCCTCCAAAAAAGTCTAAAATAACACCTTCAAACCAAATTTTGGAGTGGCAGAACCAACAAAAGGCTCGGTGAAACATTTCACAGCCCAAGAGAACTTGGGAGGTCAGCAGGAAAGTCTGTCCCCCTGGAGTAGTGGTTGGGCCTGGAGGGCAGCACAGACCACATACTGCAGGTCAAGCCAGCTTGCCCTCTCAAGGACGGGGGGAGGAAGGAAAGCAGGAAGAGAATTTGGAACTCAAAATCTAAAAAAATTAATGTTAAAAAATTTTGTTTGCATGTAATTGAGGGGAAAAAAAGACTAAATGGGGACTAAGAACCTAATGCTAGATCTTAAAACCTGATCATGGCTTTTCTGGCTTCCTGTATTACTTGGCTCCAATCTCACCTTCTGCAAGGAGCCTCCCTTCCCACTCCTTGTGCCCGCTCTTTGAGATCAGATTACCCTCCACTTATGCTATATGTATCTTGTATGTACATTTCTTCTGCGTGTTGTCTCCCCCATTACAATGTGAGTCGCACAAGGGTAGAGACCATAATTTTGTCTTTCTTTGTGTCCTCAGCACCTAACACAGTGCCTGACAAGGAATGAACGCTTAATGAACACTTGCTGACTGATTAAAGTTGCTGCTCTGAAGCAACTGTGAAGTCTATAGTATGCCCAGAGTCTTGATTATGTAGTGCCTTGGTAAGGGGAGCTCTTAACATTTCTACTTTTTACTAATTTTACTATGGGGAAATCTCCCCATAATGGGAGATTCCAATTTATTAACTTCCAAACAAAAACATGATCTAAACTCAATGCTTATAGTATTTGTAGAAAAGTGTCCATAACTAAAAAGTTGATACTTTAGCAATCTTTGTAGAAAATGGTAGAATCAAAAATTTAGAAAAGCAGAATGAGTTTTTTTCTTGAGGAAAAAAGCCAAATGTGTAAGAATCTAAACTGCTCTTGTCGAGGAAGAGATATGCTATAGAAATAGCTATGACAGATGAGATAAAACCTCTTTGCTACCTTAAGAATGTATCTTTAAGCATATTTTAAAACTGCATTTCTAATTCAGTAATAGTTTTTTTTTTTAAACAATATCCAGTAGTTCTTTTTAAAATGGAAATAATACTACTGGATTTACAATGGTTTCTTCAGTACTTTATCTGTGGTTATTTACTACAAATATATGAAGCAGCAGATGATATTGTTACCATGATAATCAGTTTCTGCCAGTAGGTGTTAGGGGCCTAAAAACAATATCTTAAGGGAATATCTTTACCATTTACCATTAAGTTTACTAAAATAAATTGAGTTTACCGTCTTTTGAAGGGCAGAATGATAAAATGTTTGTCTAATCCAAAGATTCCAAAGGAAATAAAACCCTGTAGAAAAAAAAACATATAGACATGTTACATATTTAGAAGCTAGAAATAAAATTTCAAGCAAAAAAAAAAAAAGTTAAACCAAGCCACTGACATTCACTCCAGTCATCAAAAAACAACACTTAAAAAGTAACCAAAAAGGCAGTCTTTAAAGTTCTAGGCCCTGAAACAAGAACACTTTGCTGCCTGCTTGTTCTAGGTACCTGGTCTTGCCAATTTGGTTAACAGTCTTTGTGTCATTCCTCTAGGAAATTCTTCCCAATAGGAAGAGACTTTAGGCTCTTGTTACTCTTCTCTGTACTGGGGAGCAGAGACTGATGAACAAGCTGAGTCAGATAGAACCGGCAAAATATTCAGTAGTTTTTACCTCAACCTTAGAGCCCGTGCTACCGGGCGGGGGGCGGGTGGTGGTGGTGGTGGACACAGACGTAGTAGAAGTAATTGTTTCAAATCAAAGTCTGGCTTTTGGAATCATGGAAATTTTTACTTTTTCATGGACCTGATCCCTACCTTGCACCTCTATTATGTAATATTGTGCATTTATCCAGGAATTCATGTTTCACCTAAATAATATATGCCATCACAACACATTTTCAGAATTATATGCATGCTGGTATAAAAGCCAGTACACAGAAAATGGTGCTACCAACAACTAAAACATATGGAACATTCCCATGTAGTGCAAACTATAAGTTATGTAAACTTTATGTGGGGTAGAAACTGTTTTATAGACAACTCTTGCTTATTCAGACTAATGGACAGTGGAAATAAGATAATCCAAAACAAAAGGAAAGCAAAAAAATAATTTATATTGAGCCTTGAAGTATATCACTATACTAATTACATCTTAAAATGATCTCAAATAAAACAGTAAAATAATACCATGTATCTCTGACTTATCCAACCTCTCTTTTTGCATGTTTATGAAACATTACTCACCTTCACTAATTCTACAGTCCAGCCAAACTGGTCTTCTTGCTGTTCTTCATGCACAGTATCTGGAAGGCATCCCCTAACTTCTTTTTACCTTATATTTACTTTGTAAAATAAGTGTGTATGCGTGTGTGTGCATAATATACATACATATATGTATATATTATATATACACCTATAGTATATGCACATATATTTATATATATATATATGTATTCTCACACACACACACACACACACACACACACACACACACACACACACACACACACACACACACCCCCATACATATCTATCTGAAAAATGTTTTCCCCTCTACGTCCACATTCTTTCCTTGGGTAGACCATAAGGTCCTTGAGAGGCATTGTTTCATTTTGTCTTTGTATTCTCAGTGCCTGGCACACAGTAGGAGCATAATAAATGCTTGTTGGCTAAGTTCCACTTCTCCTTGAACCTCACTCTTATTAGGTTCCTCCTTCAAAGCATCAGCCTGAAAATACAGCTTCCCTCTCAAACTTTTCATGAAATATGAGATGGGTTCCAAAAAGGGTTTTCCTAATGACTACAGGTTGCATAGAATGTTAAATCAAATAAATAAAAAAGAACATGATGTTTAAAAGTATTAAATCAGAGTATATGTTAATTTCTCCAGTAATAAATGCTTATTGATTAAAATTTCTATTTTGTTATCTCTTTGTTCTTGAAGGCTGTAATAATAGGATACAAGCTCTTGTAGGTTTACCTAAACTTCAAGTATGAGTATAGTGATGGACTTCATGTCTCTTAAATAAAGACAACCCTGGCTAAGTTCAAAAAGGCTCATGACCAAGCTGGCCAAAGATGATTAATTTTTCTAACATAACAATTTATGGAAATTGTCTGCTAAAGCAGAGAAAGGAGCTGGAATGTGTACTTAAGAAGGGAGTACTCACATCAATAAAATCATGGCTCCCTGAAATACTGAAGATGTAATAAATTCTCAATAAATTTTAAAGTAACATTTAACAAATATATACTATATACAGAGTCTCCCCAAGTCTTGGTGTGATTTTAAGCTGTTAAAGCCTAAATATGTATTTAGAACTTTTCTGCTCAGGAATTATTAAGGATACTATTAAATAATTTTCTTTATTTTATGTGTACCTATAAAAGACCTTTTATTTGCCAAAGCTAATCTAATAAAGTTCAAATAGATCATAAGGTTCCTTGCCTCTATTTCCATGACCATTCTTGCTTTCAAAATTAAAAAAGAAGATGAATTCAATATATCTGGTTGAAATATTCAGAACGCAACCTGGTAACTTCAGTCAATATAATAATACATTTTTCTATTTGAAGACAGGCATATCTCTCACAGACATATATAGCACAGCTGATCAAACAGAACACACACACATGCAGGCACACACACATGTGTGCACACCCACATACACACAGAAGTTCCTTTGAAATTCCTGGTAAATACCTGTCCAAAATTGAATACAGCACAAAAAAATTGTAATTCAACATACAGTCTTCCAGGTTCCTGGTTGAATAGCCACCATAAACAACTGGAAAGATTCTACAAAGAAATAATAAAAAATATTTTCAAATAAAGAAAGCTATGTATCTTATCTACCAGAATACAATAACAATTAAACAAATGCCTTAAATCTAAATCTACTTAATGCCTGAAAAGGAAAACTAAAGGGCAAACCACTATGAGAACATATAAACTTTGTCTTTCTAGAAAGAGGTTGACACATTCTTCTGAGAGATGTCATTTATATAGATGTCTATTCTAATTAATTCTGAAGGGGAAGACATAATCTATATTAGAGAGGTTTATATAAGACATTAATACTGCTGCCTGATGTAAAATAGGACAGATTTTTAAAATTAGCACTTCATGATGCAAAAATCAGATTATCAAATCTGTAGCAGTACTCCTTGATCTTTTCTGATTATGCTTAAATGGCAAGCAGAATGGTACCAGTTGCTACCATTTTACATAAAATGAGGCTTTAAAAGTGTTAAAAAGATTCCTCTATGTTCATTCTATTCATTGCCATGTCTGTATCTCAGAAAAGTACCTACGCTGAGAAGAGCTCTTGAAAAGGAGTAGTGGAGTCTATCCATTAAGGTCAGCTAATGATTAGAAATTAGTAGCTCTTAAAAATGGTTAATTTTTACCTATGACGAAGAATGATTAATAGAAAAATTCAGATTTTTTTCAAATTCTAGGTTCAAGGTAAATGGATAAATAATTATCCAAGCAAGATAAAAATATTTTTTTTCAGAAATAGGACAATAACAGTGTAAAATGAGATACTAATTTTTTTTTCCCCCTTTTAAAGAAATTAGAGATTTAGGATTCTAGAGGGCTTATTACCATTAATGCAATTTTTACAAAGCACTTAAGGGAAAGGGCCTCAAATAAAAGTAATATTTACAGCAAGCAAGCCGACAATAAGCAGTAAACACAGCAACACATGTCTAGCCAGTTGTTTGTCTCCAATCTGCAGAAGTTGTTCTTCTTCCTGAGCTAATATGCAGCTCTGAGAATTACACTGACTCACACAATGCTCACCTAGAAAACATTAAGAATAATTTATAATTAGAGCTTTTTAAAGGTATTTAAACTTGTTTAATGGCCAAGCAAACTGTCACATGTACACATACAACCCAGAGTCACAATGGGTTATGTTATAAGAGCCCCGTAGAAGATTCTTTCCTTTATATTGCAAAGCAAGAACAGATTCCTTACTTCCTCCCAACAAATCACATCTGAAAAGTTATAAAATACTTGCCTTACTTATACTACTATTTAACAGTATAATTCTAAGATCATTAAAAAAAAAAGTAGACCTCAAATTGAGGATTCCTAAATTTCACTCTTAATTAATGTAATGTTTTATACACACACACACACACACGTTTTTTGTATGGTCCAAGACCATAATTTTATAGCAGCCAAACTGAGAAGTATGAAAGCTTTCTTGAGAAAGGCTTTATACTACTCAGTTTGGCTGCTATAAAATTAATATAAATTACAATCATCAACAGTATATACATTGAGTGCTTTATAAATTTTGTTCAATCAAAATTCAACTGACAAACTGCATTAAAGATTTTTAAATTTGTCTGAAGAATTGAGGCACCAAATGAAAAAATGATGACAACCACATTTCTGTTAGCTCAGGTTAACTAGAGCTTACCCTCACCAGTAAATCATCAACTTTTGCTGTCTAAATGCTACTCTATGGTAGTTAAAGGAAGAAATTTTCACAAAACAGATTTTTATACTAACATAGTGTGACACTAAAGGTCAATCCTCACGTGGTGAGAGCAATAATATTTGATAAAAGATTCTGGAGAGAGATGACCACCAGTTGATGAATTTTCTGATACAGCAACCCGTGGTAACCATCTACTACAGCCTAGGGAGCTAGGATCCACCCTTAAAACGGAAGCACCAACAATGACAAAACCCCATAGGTTTGAGGTCAGTATTGAACACAACAAAAACAGCAGTTCATACTTAGGTAATGCTGTAAAAGTTGCAAAGAGTTTTCCACATAACAACAGTGCAGATCACCAGGACTCTGGGAGAAGAGGTTACCAGTGAAGGAGAAATTATTAAAGACCAGGCCCTGGAGGCAAAAAAGAGGCAAGCAGGAAACTCAGATGATGTTCTGAGAACATTATCTACCTCATACACATAAAGGACCCGTTTATGTGGAAGAACGTCAAATTAAACTGCTTTAGGGATTGTAAAAAAGAGAATGGCTGCAGAAAAGGTTGGTCCCTTGTTCAGACAGATGCAAGAGGTCCTTGGCATAAAACGTTAATGAATATAATCCCAAAGTCTTAAAAAAGAGGGTGGTGTGTGCCTGTGTGCGCGCACATGTATGTGTGTATGTTTAGCCCTTTGGAAAGATGAGTAGTATTAAATTTTCAGTCTATACCAGCAGGTGGCAGCAGAAAAGAGAGGAAAAAATACCTCAGCATGAGAACATATGGAATATTTTACATGTAAAATTTTTTTTTACAATTGTACATCTGTTTCATGTGTACAGAACACTTTTTTTGGATCCTTTGCCCAAATCATGTTTAAGTCAGCATATGGAGCAGAAAACTTATTCAAAACACATATACATACCAATTCAATGACTTTAAATAATCTGAAATAGGGACATGCGATAAATTCATGGCTGAGTTTTAATCTCTAAGGCAAAGAAGTCAGTCCTTTTAACAACATTCAGCTTAGATGGCAAAAATATTTTTAAAAAGTCATGTACATAATAAAAATCTACGAAATAGCTCCCATTTACCTTCTAAGTCAAAACAACTTTAAAAAATGATCCTTGGGACAAAAATGCCTTGGTTTTTAGTTTGAAGTGAAAGGAAAGAGAATATTTCTTCTGTGCAATACTTGTTATACGGCAGATATTAAAAAAATTAACTAATGAATTCAAGGCAATTTAGCAGGTTATTAAAGGTCCACATTTTGCATTTTTTTGGGGGCGGAAGGGATAGGAAAAGAGAAATAGATCATTAAGCATGATAATAAATAGTAATTAGTCTTCTGAGGTAGCACGATACAGTAGATAGACTCAGAATCATGTAGACCTAGGTTCAAATCCTGTGTCAGACAATAGTTGTATAGTCCTGGGCAAGAGAGTTAACTTCACTGGGCCTTATTTCCCATATCAGTAAAATGAGGGAACTGGATGTTATGATCTCTAAGGTCCCTTCCAGCTTTAAATCTAGATAGCTAAAAAATAAGCCCTTCTTTTCTAATACACAAATCAAAACTGTATTTGGTACTAGGATTATTCTAATAGGAACAATTTTGAAAGTAAAAATTCAGCCTAAAGATATGAACTAACAGTTCTCAAAAGAACTATTAGTTCTCAAAAAGAAACATTAAAGTTATTAATAATTGTATGACCAGATGTTCCCAATTACCAACAAGAGAAATGCAAATCAAAACCATAAGGTTTTATCTCATTCCCTACAAATAAGCAAAGATGGCAAAAGTTAGGAATAGTTAGTGTTGGAAGGGTTGTGAAAAGATAGGCACATTAGTACATTGTTGGTGGAGCTATGAATCAGTATAACCATTTTGGAAATCATTTTGGAATTATGTAAATAAAGTGCTAAAATGTCTATACTCTTTGACCCAAAGATTCCATTACTGGGCTTAAACTCCAAGGAGGTCACTAAAAAGAGGAAAGTTCCCATATACACCAAAATATTTGTAATAATACTTTTTTGGAGCAGCAAAGAATTGTAAACGATTGGGGAAAGGCTTTTAGGGAATAGTTTTCAATTCTTGTTCATTCATATCTTTTGACCACATTTTTATTTATTTTCAAAGCAGTGATACTTTAATGTAATGGAATATTACTGTGCTGTAAGAAATGATGAATGTGACTTGAAACATATGAAGTGATACAAAATGAAGTAAGCAGAGCCAAGAAAACAATATACACAATGACTACAGCGATGCGAATGAAGATAACTACTACAAAAAAAAATCAAAAGTTAATGTTATAAAATTATAAAGAACAAACATAGCTTAAAAGAAGAGATATGAGAAGATACCATCCCTTGGCAGGGGCAGGAGATCTGCAATTGTTGAATGTTGCACATATTTTCAGATTTTTTGAAGTATTGATCTGTTATGCTGTTTTTTTCCCTCCTCTCTTTTGCCTTTAATAAACATTATTTGTTTAAGTGAAATGATGGCTCTTAGAGTTGAGGCGCAGGGATACTGAGCACATGGTGATGTTTAAAAAAGCCATCAACAACTTATCTTTTTAAGACAAAAAAACAAATATATATATATATAAAATGTATGATTAGTGATCTGATAAAAATTCCATACAAGCTCCATTGTAGCATAGTGGATAGAGAGTCAGCTTTGGGATCAGGAAGTTGTTGTTTATTTGTTTCAGTCGTGTCTGACTCTCCATGACCCATTTTGGGGTTTTCTTGGCAAAGATACTGGAGTGATTAGCCATTTACTTCTCCCGCTCATTACAGATGAGGAAACTGAGGCAAACAAGGTTATGTGACTTGCCCAGGGTCACACAGTGTATGAGGCCAGATTTATTTTTGTTTTTTAATTTTTAAAAAAATTTCTAAACTTAAGAAATAAAACAAGTATTTCCATAACAAAGTAGAATAGGAAAAAAAAGGATTGCACCGCAGATCTATTAGGTACAACTTGCTATTCTTTTTAAATATACAACAAAGTTAGTATATGTCAGTTCTTTCTCTGGATGGACATAGAATCTTTCTTCATAGGACCTCTGTAATTAATTTGGCTATTTATAATATTCAGAATGACTTGGTATGTCAAGGTTGTTCTTAAAATAATATCGCTGTAACCGTATACAATGTTTTCTTGGTTCTGCTCATTTCACTCTTCATTATTTCATGCAAATCTTTCCATGTTTTTCTAAAATCACTGAGCTCATCATTTCTTATAGCAAAGTAGTATTCTATCACAAACATATATACCACAACTTGTTTAGCCATTCCCCAACTGATGGGCATCCCTGCAATTTCCAGTTCTTTGACACCACAAAGAGAGCTGCTATAAATAAATATATATACATATATGTATATATATACGTGTCTGTGTATGTGTATATATATGTGTGTGTATATGTGTGTGTGTACATATATACATACATACACACACACACACACATACATATATATATACACACACACACACACACACACACATATACATTTTAGCGAGGGCAATCGGGGTTAAGTGACTTGCCCAGGGTCATACCGCTTAGTATGTGTTATGTGTCTGAGGCCAGACTTGAACTCAGGTCCTCCTGACTCCAGGATTGGTGCTCGATCTCTACTGCACCACCTAGCTGCCCCAATATTTTAAAACATGTAAGTTCTTTTCCTTTTTCCCTAATCATCATAGGAAACAAACAGACCTAATAGTGGTATTGCTGGGTCAAAGGATATAGGCAGTTTAATAATTCTTTGGGCATAATTCAAGGTTGCTCTCCAAAATAGCTGGATTGGCTCACAGATCCAACAACAAGGAATTGTTCCCAATTTTTCCACATTCCCTCCAACATCTGTCACTTTTCTATCATTTTAGCCAATCTGATAAGTGTAAAATGATACCTCAAGGTTGCTTTAATTTACATTTCTCTAATCAACAATGATTTAGAGCATTTTTATATGGCTATAAATTGTTTTGATTTCTTCATTGGAAAACTGCCTGTTCATATTCTTTGACACCATTTATCAATTAGGGAATGAGGCCAGATTTGAACTCATGATAATGAGTCTGATTCCAAGACCAGTGCTCTACCCATTGCACTGGCACTAAAGCTGTTTGACCATGGGAAATTAATTTAACCATAAAGATCCCCAAACTACTCTTTAAGATTATGGACTAGATGCTGATTTGCATTAGTAGAGAGAGTAGACATATACAGAAGATTCTTACCACTGATAAAAAGAATAAATCTACTTCATACATTTAGGGGTTTTTTTTAATGCCTTCTGATTATCCTAGTAAGATTTTTTTTTTCTCATTCATATCTGAAAAACCGAATTTAGAAACTTTTTTTTTGTTTTGTTTTAGTTAGGCAATGGGATTACGTGACTTGCCCAGGGTCACATGGCTAGTAAGTGTTATGTGTCTGAAGCCGGATTTGAACTCAGGTCTTCCTGAATCCAGGGCTGGTGCTCTATCCACTGCACCACCTAGCTGCCCCTACTAGAAACTTTCTTTTGCTAATACCAACAGAAATTTTATATAGTTACTTTGAATCATAACAATATGAAACTATCTCCTCTGGAAATCCTTAGCCTAATTTACCTGTCCCCAAGGAAGGAGTTAGGGTTTCACCCGGACTGGTATCTGCTATTGGGTCTACTGCAGAATGGCACAATTCACCATTGCCTACTGAACAAGAACAGGAGCCTGGGGGGAAAAAAAAAGTCAGATCAGAGGTCTAATACTTCAAACTCCAAAGTTCATGAGGTGACAACTTTTCATGGAAGATTTTTCTATGTTGTGTCAAAATGGTCTTGAACCATCTTTTCTAAAAAGTATCCAAACATAGATAAAGATGTATAAATAAATTTTATGTTTTCAAAGAGCTCTCCCACTGCATTTAATTTGTCAAATTAACTAGTATAGAAATTTCAGAATTTGCTCCATATCTCTCTCAAATATAATTTTCATTCTGCCACTCTTCTCAGAAATCTATAATAATGTTCTTTTTCCTTAAGAATTAAAATCAGGGGGTCTTAAATCTGTTTTATCATGGATCCCTTTGTAGACTGGTAAAGCCTAGAGACTGCTTAGGATAATATTTTTAAATAAATGAAGGACCTGTTAGGTTTCTGTTAGAGATTAGTGGGGAAAAAAGGCCATTTTTTCCCATCTAAGTTCACAAACCCTCTGAAATTTGCTGACTCTAGATTAAGAAGCCCTATTTGGCTTTCAAAACTCCTAAAACCCGACCTATTCTTATCTGCCCACCCTTATTTTTCACTCTTCAACACAAACTCTTCATTCCAGGAAGGGTGGTCTTTTTAATGTCCTTCTATATGGCATGCTCAGTACAGGGTCATGTAAAAAAAACAGTGAGCTTGAAATCAAATCTAAATTCATGTTTTACGTCATATATTTATTAGCTGTGTGATCAAAAGCAATCATAAGCTTTCTGAACTCTCAGTTTTCTCATCTGTTAAATGAAACAAAAGAAATGCATACTACCTATATCTCTCATGGTTTTTGTGAGAAAAGAGCTTTATAAACCTATTCTATGATATAAATAATTGTTATTTGAAAAGCAGCATGGCGTAGTGGGAAAAATACCAAACTTGGAGTCTGGAGACCTAGGTTTCATTGAATCCTGGCCCCACCACTTGTGTGATTGTGGGCAAAATCACTCAACTTGTCTCAGCCTTAGTTTCATCTGTAAAGATAATTTTTGCAATGAAGTAATTCAGAGTCACTGTGAGACAGACACTTGGAAAACTCAGTTCTATATAAATGTGAGTTTGTGGGGTTTGTGTTTTTTCCCTCGCTTAAAACACCTGAAACTTTGCCCCTCTACTCCAGGATTCATTTATTTCCACATTTTCAGAACACATATAGTATAGACTATATATCATTTTGTACTTGACTGTTCTCCAATTATTCCCTAAATTCAAATTCTGTCTCTCTAACCAGACTCACTAAAAGGGATTTTAGTTGATATTTCTCTTCTATCTTCCACAGCACTTGGCAGTGATAGCCTTCAATAAAACACTTATTTGCTTTCTATGTCTAAAATATGAATGATAAAATCAATGAGTGGTAGCGAATGTTAAATGATTTCCTTTAAATTAGGTTTTACAGAAAAATTATACAGTTTTGAAAATGATCCTGAAGGTGGCATAAAGAAGTCAACACTGAAACAGGTAATGCATAACAACTTTTGTTCCTCCAAATGGTCTACTGAGCAGCACGCTATATATCTCCTTTGTGAGAATTTGAACATTTCCAGATGTGATTCTTATTGGCATTAAAAATTTACCACAGCATTACCTTAGCAACAAATCACGTAAATGTCAATGTTCAAATACCAAACAGACTGTATCCTAAAATTCAGGGTCCACGGCATTCAAAGGAGCTTTTGACAATGGCTACTATAATGTTCATAAACTATGACCCTAAGGGGAAAAAAGATTCCAGAGTATTGTTGTTTTATTTAATGTCCAAATTTAATAGAAAAAAAAGTTAAATTAGCAATCCTAACCCTGTCCTCTGCCTCAAAGCAAACAAAGTAATAAATAATTAAAGGTAAATAATTTTGAAATTATCTCCAAAGGTATCCCTTTCAGTGCTTTGTTTACCCTGGCATAATAATAATGATATTAACTAGTATCCGCACAGTGCTTTAAAGTTTTCAAAGAATTTTATAACTATTATCTCACTTAAGTTTTTTCCTACTGCCAACATATACAATTTATTCTAATTTGTATCATATTCATTTAGATCTTAACTTCCTCTAGTAGATTGTAAATTCATTAAGGGCAAGTCTCATTTTATTCATCTGTAAACCTTCCTTAGCACCTATTGAACCATGCTCAATATAAACGCCTGCTGACAGCAGCTCTCTAGAGTTTTAAGTTCACTGCTTCAGCGCTGGTTTACAAGCCAACTTGTCAGCACTTTCTCCAATAACAAAATTCTTATTATGCTTGAAGACAGTAATCAAATCACCCATTAGCCTCCTCTTCTTTGACTTCAGCCTGGAATTTAAGGGTTTTCTTAGCTTTAAATTATCTTAAACGCTTTCCTTAGGCTTAAATTATCTTTTCCAGCATTATTTTATACTGCTTCTTCCTTTGTTACATACTTCCTGCCAAAGTATACTATTAGTTGTTTCTCAGTTTCATCCCAAACTCTTCTGCCTCTGCTCATACTTAAAATACATCCCTTCTTCTTCATCTCTACTTATTGAAACCCCACTTTTCACTCCAGGTTTGGCCCAAGTGCCACCTTCACCAAGGGTCCTTGCCTCAGCTAAAAGGGATTTCTCACTCCTCAAATCTTCTCAGAGCTCTCTGTCTTATCTCTCCTCTACTTCTATCATCTTTTGCCTGATCAAGGCAAAGAGGGGTTTTGTACCTCCTGACTTGGACTAAGAAATCCTATGTCACGCTATCCTGATTAAGAGATCCTAAAATTTAGGAGGTCTCAGATTCATGCTTTTACCTCAGTTATTTTCAGACCCACACTACTTTCTACCAACACTAATCAAAACAATAACTGACCCATCATTCTACTCACCAAAACACTCTGGCTACCACTTTACCTATAAGTGCTGTCTCCAACCCTACCCCACTTTAGATGTAAGCCGCTAGAGGGCAGAGAATTTTCTACTTTTATATTTATATTCCTAGTTTGGTTTAGTATCCAGCAAATAGTAAGCATTTAATAAATGCCTTTTCATTCATCCATTTGCCCCTCTTAGAAGGTGAACTCTTAGAGGAAAAGGACAGTTATCTTGCACCTCTGTACTCCCAGGGCCTAGCACGCAGCCTTTTGTATATAGTAGACATAACAAAAGTTGCTGAACTGAATTTAGTTTTTGTCAGAGCTCTCAATTTAACGTCACACTTGTAATAAACATCGACACGGAAATGAGACAATCCTGTTGGCTTACCTACAGTAAAGGGACTGGGAAACAGTGAATGAAATGTTTGGGAATACCTCTTGTGGGTGTTCAATCAAGGAATCCAGGTTGGATACCTAAGTGACACAAATTCATGCTAGTTACTAATACTTACCAGATCAGCCTAGATTAGAGGTGAAGAGGAAAGAAATCATAGAATCTCAGAATTAGCAGAGAGAGAAATCACAGGCCAACACAGCTGCCTTTTTTGGGGGAAGGAACTAATATTTATATAGAACCTACTATGAGCCAGGCACCATGCTAAGAGCTTTACAAATATTATCTCATTTGTATAACCTGCAAGTCTGCAAATATTATTTCATTTGATCATCACAATATTGGGGGGTAGGTACTATTATTAATCTCATTTTACAGTTGAGGAAAATGAGGCAGACAGAGGTTTACAGCCAGTAACTATCTGATGCCAGATCTGAACTCAGGTCTTCCTGACTCTAGGTCTAATGCTCTATACACTACACCACCTAGTTGCCTTCTAAAAAAGGGAGGAAGAAAACAAGCATTTATTAAGCGCCTACTCTGTGTCAGGCACTACACCAAACACTTTACAAATATTATATCATTTATATAATTTGCAAGTATGCAAAACTATACATTATTTCACTTGATCCCTAAGATAATCCTGGAAGGTACAGCAACTATCAGCTCTACTTTACAGATGAAGAAACTGAGGCTGATGTGGATTTGCCCGGGATCTGACAGCTAATGCATGATTTTAGGAAAGGCATCATGGTAGCCTTTCAGACATGCAAGGTTGTCATGAAGAAGAGAGTGGGACAGAAGAACCACTGGTTTGGGGCTGAGGCTCCGGCTCTGAATCCTAGGCCTGTATCTACTGCCTGTATGACCACTGGTGAGTCACGTCACTCCTTGGGGCTTCGATCTCCAGCTCTGTAAAGTGAAGAAGGTCAGACGGAATCACTGTGATGGCCTCTTTCATTGTGAAATTCCATAAAGAAGTTCTTGATAGAGGAATAAGTGCCGCCACCAGGTGGTTTTCACAAGAGGGCTGCCTTCCTCCTCAGCATCACTATTTGGCCCATTGCCAGAAGTACACAAGCAAGCAGGAACTCAACCACCTGGGAGAGATTCTATAGAGAGGAAGCAGCTTCCCGTAGAAAAATAGACTACACAATCCCCTGGTCCCTGGCAGGTAAAAAATTATGTATGGTTCAACACTATGTTTAAATAAACTTATATTTACTTACAATGGCACACATTATATGCAATGCTACATTTTTTTTAGTGGACCCAGGATGGTACACTTTGCTCCTAAAATTAGTTGAATTTTATTTTATCAGCAATGTTCAGTCATTTCAGTTGTTCTGACCCTCTGTGACCCCATTTGGGGTTTTCTTGGCAAAGATACTGAAGTGGTTTGCTATTTTCTTTTCCAGTTCATTTTACAGATGAGAAAAATGAGGCAAAAAGGGTTAAATGCCTTGCCCAAGATCACACAGCTAGTAAGTGTCAGAGGCCAAATCTAAACTCAGGAAGATGAATCTTCGTAACTGCAGGCCTGGCACTATCTACTGTGCCATCTAGCTGCCCCTTTTATCTGCAATAATTTTACCAAAGCTTTCCTGGAAACGGCTAGTAAAGATTTACCTGGATGTTCCTTATTATAAATCAAGGGCTTTAATTTCCAATGATTTAAGTAAACTGTATTTTTCAAAAATTTAATTAGCCTCCAGGGAAAATTCACTTGTTTGGGTCAGAAATAACATATTTACATACAATGTGGCCAAACATGGAAGCAACTTAAGGGAATTTATAGTTTGAGCTTTCTGAATAGATTTTTATCAATGATCTACTGCAGAGATATTGAACTCCTAGCCAGGGTTGCCTGAACCAGATTAATATATAACTGGGACATGGAAAAAATACTCCAAATCACCAACAATAAGAGAAATACAAATTAAACCAATTCTGAGGTTCCTCTGTCATATTGACAAAAAGGGAAATGACAAATACACGTAATGTTGGTGGAGCTATGAACTGATACAAAGCATTCTAGAAAGTAATTCGGATTCTTCTCTCCACCCCTGGCCAAATTATTCAACTTTGACCCAGAAATTATTACTTCTAGGTCTGAAAAGATCAAAGAAGGGGGGAAAAGATCAGTATGTACAAAAATATTTATACCAGTTCTTTTTTGGTATAGCAAAAAACTGGAAACAAAGGCGATATCTATCAATTGGAAGATGGCTGAACAAATAGTTCACAAATGGTTTTTGGTTTATGAATATTGTTGTTTCATGAGAAATGATGATAGAAACCATTTCTGAGAAACTTGAAAAAACTTGTATGAACTGGAGCAGAACAAAGTGAGCAAAACCAAGAGAACAATATTGCACAAACAATGTTAAATGATTTTAAAATTCTGATTGTTTGCAAGATTCTAAAGGACTGATGAAGAAGCATGTTGCTCACCTTCTGACAGAGAGGTGATGCATGCAAGGTGCATCCAATGAGACATTTTCAAATATAGTCAATGGGAGAATTTATTTTGCTTCACTATGTATATTTGCTATAAATATTTTATTTTTCTTTTTTAAAAAAATTTTGGAGAGGAGATGGTTTGGGAGAGAGAAGAGAACTAACAATAGGGTTGTTTAATGAAAAGGAAAAGAGGGTCACTGAAGCATTTTTTAAATTCACAGGGAAACACAAACAGGACAACTTTGAAAGTTACGTGTTTAAGTTATATACTTAAAAGGAAAAGGAAGTTGTACATAATACAGATTCAGAGTTGCCTATACAATCTATCTTAGTTTGTACGCAGAAATGCTCATTTTATTTAGTGTTTGTTAAATTTAGAGTAAAAATTTTAAATTAAAAACAAGAAAGGAAAAATATTTTCTCAATGCCCTCTAAAGGGTGATTGTGAATTAAAAGAACCTGTAACTCTTTCATCAGTTCAAGAGCAGAAGTAGAGCAGATTTGCCTAGTACAAGAGTGGTGAGGAGCAGGTGGTCAGCATCTAGCAGAAAACAGGTTTATGAGGTACAGACTGTTCCTGAAAGGACCAAGGAAATTAGATCCTGCAGCCCAGAGCCATAAATGGCTATTTGGGCATAAGGATTTTCTTTACTCACAGCATTTCCTCCTAGGTTTTTGTAAGCAGGTGCTCATTCTTTCACATGATATATTGGTGGGATAATGTAACCCAGGACAACGAGATTTTGATTATTATTGCATTTGCCTTATACTTAATAACTATTATAATTATTCTTGCTTTTGCCTTATCATTAAGTAAATATTTTATGTTTAAAAACTATATGTATATATACATACACATATATATGAGAGACAGAAACTGAATTGGGAAATGTTTAACTAAATAAATAAAAATATAATTCAACACAGATAATGATAATTTGTGGTTTTCCAACTCAATAGGCCAGCATAGATCTGTTTTCATTGGAGTTTTACACCACTAATCTATTACATTAATTACTTGTACAGTGTGTACATTAATTACATGGTACAGTGGATAGAGCTACTGGACTTGGGAGTCAGGAAGACCTGAATTGAAATCCCACTTTAGATCTGTAATAGCTGTGTGACCCTGCACAAGTCACTTATCATCTGTCTCAGTTTCCTCAACTGTAAAAAAGGAATAATAATAGGCCCTACCTCCCAGGATTGTTGTAAAGATAAAGCAGGATAATATCTGTAAAAGAACTTTGCAAATCTTAAAATATTACATAATGCTAGCTATTAAGATTTTCTGAGCAACAAGATTATTGCCTCTCCATCTTTTTAATACTTCTATTAATCTCTATCAAGTTATCTGAAATACAGATGCAAAATGAAAAATATTAATAACATAAGGCATATTTCTTAAACACTTCCTACAATGATGACAAAATACTTAACAAACAGTGAAGTCTTATCTCACTTAATCCCTTTCTTTTCCTTTCCTCTTCTCTATGAAAATCTCTTTTAGACAAGGCTGCCAAATAGGTGGTTTTTCTTCCCCTCTTCTTTCTTTCTTTCTCTTTTCAAAAGACGGAGAAAGGAAAACACTTTCCTTCTTATCTCATATCTTTTTACATCTCTTTTCTGGAGTGATATGTTTTACGTTTATGACATCTTCATATTCTCTAATGAATATATAAAAACAGCATTCTGATTCTGCATTCCTGATATGTATATAATAAAGCTAATGCTCAATCTGGACTAATATTGATAAATAGATACTGTTTTATTAGTTAGGAATTATACTGGACTAATCTGGACTAATATTGATAAACAGATACTATTTTATTAGTTAGGAATTATACTTCTATTGTCAATTGAAATAATTTTTATACCAGACCTCTTTGACTTATTTCAGTCAGTACTGTTGTCCAAAAGATAATGTAGTTGAATTTTCTAAGTATACGATGATTTCATTTAGACCCTCTCTCAGTCAATGTATTTTTCAGAATGTAAATTCTAACTCTTAAAGTTAACAAATGATTTTCCACAAGAACTATAAGCAACATACCAATTGCTTTGCTTAGTTGTTTTCTAATTACATAGGTCCGAGTTCCCCACATGATGAATAAATACCTAGAATACTCAAGGCAAGTCAGTTAGGGCCCTTTAAAACAAAGCATTTATTAAAGTATAAAGAGATAAACATTGACTTATGTTTAAGGGACATACTTCTTTCTAGAGTAGAACTTGTATAAGGTTCTGGTTCATTTGTTGGCACTGGACTTTCTTCAACAGCAGTCCTTTCAGCCTCCCCTGTTTTGCTGTTCTGAGAACGACGATCCAATCCCTCATAATTCCCTTCCTGTGTACTCTGGTTCATACACATCAGTGATACGCCTGATATCAATATGCTACAAAACAGGGTGACTGCTGTGGTTATCATCTGTCAGAGTTAGAAAAAAGGGGTTATGATATTCTTTTCACAATAATATTAACAATGTTAGTATGTTAAGACAAAAACAAGTTCAAAATTAAATACTTATTCATGGTTCAAAATGATTTAGAATTTCCTTTTATGAATGAATAAAAGATTTTTGTTTAACTGGTTCAAAGCATAACATTTATGCTCTTCTGCTTTTCATTGTGGTGATTCAACTGTTTTATTGGTATACTCTTTTATCAAATGGGTATTTAAAAATATTGACTGATGAAGTTTCCTGTGACACACACACACACACACACACACAAACAAGCAAAACACCCAAGTTATTTGGCAACCGACCTTTTCCCTCTTTACGGATGGTTTTTTCAACACTGCAGACCTACCTTCTGAAAAAATGACATCTATTCACTCAGAAGGCACACAACTTGGCGGTCTTTCAGTCCCTCAATTCTTTTACATAGCCTGCTTTCGTTTTGCCTCTACAGGATTCCCCAAGTCCACTTTTACATGGGCTCTATTTCTCCACTTTCAAGCACCTTTCTCTTCCAAAAATTTTTATCTTTTAAATTCTTACCTAAAAATGACTTAAGAGTCAAGAACTTTGGTTTTATTACTGTTTAACTGTTGATGGCTTTACATAGATTATATTTAAATTATACCCATTTAAGAGAGTTAAATAATTGTTCAAGCATTGGAGAACCTCAGCTAAAAACAATTATACAAATGCAAAGTATTCATGACACTTGTTTTGACTAATCTAAGTGAAAGATGCTAATTAAAGTACAATTTACTTAATTCATCTGAGATGGCCAAAGCTGTTCATATTAAATGCTGTCAGCATTTTTAAGGATTGCAGGATCATAAACTGAGAGCTGAAAGGGACCTTAAAGATCACTGCATGTACTCCCTCATTTTACAGATGAAGAAAATGTGGCCTAGAGAGGTCTAGTAACTTGCCTATGGTTACACAGATAGCATATGTTTCAGGTGGTATCTGACCCCAGTTCTCTTCTCCCCAGGTTGTATGAGATTTTCGACCTTAAGCTGGAAGATGTTCATAAGATGCAAAGATTTTTCTTAAATACTCCTCTTACCTGATCTTTTCCATAAAAAAAAGCAGAATCAATGCTATCACCATTATGTTTTCCAGCTATCAAAAGAACACCCACGAGAAGAGCAGGAACGCTGCAAGACCAAGAGGAAAGAGGAAAGTGACAGAAAAGAGGCATCTGAATAGCAATTACGTATATGAAAAGGAATTAAGCAAGAGAAAGCTACCAACTCACCCCCATCCAGATATAATGATAATTCCTACAGGAATCTGTATTGTCTCTTTCTTCTTCAACAGGAACAAAGAAATTGACAGAAGCCCTATGAACAAGATGTTTCAAAAAACAAAAATTTGTCAACTATGTGGCAATTAGTAGAAAAACAAAGCAAGTATGAACACTGATTAAAACCACTTCAGTTAGACCAAGAGAAGTAGTAAGTTGTAAAATGAGCTTCCATTTTAGCATTCTGCTTTTTGATAACTTTCAGTACACAAAACAATTGCAACTAAAAATTAAATAACACTACTGAGTAAAGCAGTGGAGTTTTAAAATCCAAAAATGCCATGGTATAAATTGTAAGAAGCTTTTAATTACAATTGCTTTCCTATAAACTTGATTCTGAAACTATGTCATTCAAGGTCACAAGGATAAGTGATGTCCTATCATCCTTGGGGAATAGTGATCAGAGATGGTATAAAAGGGATTTTTGGTTTAGGTAGGTTTGGATTAGATGACCTTTGAGGTACCTTTTGCCTTCAAAATATGCATTTCATGGGCTGTATCCCAAAGAGATCAGACAAATGGGAAAAGGACCCATATGTACAAAAATACTTATAGCAGCTCTTTTTGTGGTGGCAAAGAATTGGAATTTGGAAATTGAGAGGATGCCCATCAACTGGAGAATGGCTGAACAATTGTGCGATAACATCCTGATGAACAGGATGACTTCAGAAAAACCTGGAAAGACTTATATGGTCTGATGCTGAGTGAGAGAGCAGAACCAGCAGCATGTTGTACACAGTAACTGCCACGTTGTGTGATGACTAATATTGATAGACTTAATCCTTCTCAGCAATACAAGGATCCTTAAGACATCTCCAAAGGCCTCATGATGGAACATGCTATCCACATCCAAAGAAAGAACTATTAAGTTTGAATGCAGATCAAAGTATAGTATTTGCTATTTTTTTTTCTTGTGTTTTGTTTCCTCTTTCTGGTGGTTCCTCCTATTGGTTCTAATTCTTATTTACAATATCACTAATGTGAAAATATGTTTAACAGGAATGTATATGTATAGCCTATATCAGATTATGCACTGTCTTAGGGAGGGAGGTGGAGAAAAATTTAAAACTCAAAAGCTTATGGAAGTGATTGCTGATAAAGCAAAATAAATTAATAAAAAAAGACTTACATGAACTGATGCAAAGTGAAATGAGCAGACCCAAGAGATCATTGTACACAACAATAGAAATATTGTACGATGATCTACTGTGAATAACTTAGCTATTCTCAGCAATACAATGATCTAAGACAATTCTGAAGGACTTATTATGAAAGGTGCTGTCCATCCCCTGATAAAGAACTGGTAAAGCCTGAGTACAGATTAAAGATACTTTTTCTTTACTCTTTAACAAAAAAAAAAAAAAAAAAAAGGACATGCATTTCATACACTGTCCAGGGCTGGAAAATCTAATTCTTAAAAAATTTCTGGCGCTACTTTTGGCAAGTGTGGGCCTTTGTTCTCAGCATGCAGTCTGTCATCCTCTATGGCTTAGAGATTACTTTGGGAAAACTCAAGAGTTTGTATCAAAGATGAAATTAATGAAGAGTCAACAATCTTTCAGAAGTAGTACACTAAGTATCACTTGTCGAGTGGGGTTGGGGGAAGGGGAATGGTAGTAGCTATTTACATGTTACTCCTCACTAAAGTCCACCAGCACAAGCATAGCTCCAAGCACTGGAATGAAGGGAAAAAATAAAAAGGAGGGGAACATCCTCAGAATACACTCTCACTTATTTTGCATAAGCCATTCTATGACTTCATGGTCACAGAATGATCTCCTAGGAAGTAAAGAAGGCCTTGCAGTCCACTTCCCTCAAATTATTAGGAGCATAAATTTGAGCTGAAGGAGACCTAGACGTCATTTAGTCCAACTCTCTCATTACACAGAGAAAACTGAGGGCTAAAAAAGTTAAATGACTTGCCCAAAGTCACACTGGTAGTAAATGAGAGCTAGGATTATTTGAAATAAAGTCCTCTAACCCCAAATCCAGCACTATTTACACTATACTAATAACCCAATTAATTCTCATTTTATATCTTCAGAGTTCCCTTTAAAAATTTAAATGAACCGAGAAGAAGGTCCCAAATAGAAACTTTGCCTACTTCACAGTTTTGCCTAAGGATAGCTTCAGCTGTGCCACCCCAATCATTTCACAGATCACCACTGGCATGTTTATTATAGGTTGTCAACTCAGAACTAGCATTGAGAGTCAGAAGGGACCTTACAGATCATTACTTTACAGATGAAGAAACTGAGGCCCAGAGAATTTACCCAAGATTTTATATTGTGTACAATAAATTACCAACTAAATGACCATTTAGAAGATTTTTACTTCTGAATATAACTCAACAAGTGAAGAAAATCTTTTTTTCTAGATTAAGTCACTTAATTTAGACTTAAGTAGTGTCATTTATAAAATGACTCGATTGGACTAGATTGACCTCACATCTTTTCCAAGTCAAAATAATTCACCCTGCTCAAATTGTTTTGGAATTCCTCCTTTGGAAATACTTTAGTAGCTAGTTTGTTAGCTGCATTTTATAAAAATCAGTCTTAATATTATTGGTTTCACTCCCCCCCCCCCTTTCTTCTTTTCTAGTTACTTGCTTGTAACTGTTTTGATTTTAGTAGGCCTCACATGACCTATACATTCCTTGGAGGCACTACCATACCTTACTAGCCACTCTCACTCCCCATTAGCTTGCTTTCTAGTTCTGGAACCAAAATAAAATCAACACTGCCAATGCTACTGTTCTCCTATAGCTACACTTCTCACCCTTCTAAATTTTCAAAGTGAACATCCCTTGTTGGCCACCATTCTCCTGAATCTAGGGAAAAGACTGTCTCTACTCTTATATTTGTATCCCCATCATTTAGCATAGTACTTGGATATTAAGTGCTTAATAAAAGCTTTTTATTCATTCATTAATTCAAAAAGTACACAACTTCCATTCATACTACAACTCACCTGTCCATAAGTAGGTGCTATAGAGAGAACTATATAACAGAACAAACACCAGAATTTGTCCAACAAAATTTTTCTCTTTAACAAAATTCCACATCATCATTCCAGCACAGACAATAGACTGTGGACAAAGATTTATTCAAAAAACAAAACAGTTTAGTCCTCATTAAAGAAAACTATAACATGTTAATACAAAAGAAACGCTATCCATTATGAATAGTCAGTCATACCTGTGCAAGTTTCATTAGCAGTAAAGATATTATGCACATTAACTTTTAATTACTATTGAATAGTGACTAAAATATTTATAGCTAAATCTCAGTGTGCTATAGAGCGTGATAAAAATCTATTATATTAATAGTATACTCAATAAAAACTGACAATGATCCTGGTTTTAACTGTCAACTTTCTGTCCAAATTCTATCAAATTTCTTCCAAATAATGCTAAAAAAAACTTTACATAGAAAGTGTTAATATTCCTTTAAGTTGTTGTTTATAACAAATCATTCAACTAGAAATATAAAAATTTTAAAGTTCTGTTTTTAACGATTCAATTATCTCACATATTATAATATGACCACAGTTATTTCAATGTTGAGGTACTATGACCTTTAACACAAGTATATGTCTAAAAGAATTATGAAGGCACAGCAGTCACCAACCCTGTGACACAGATTTGTTTTTTCCCAAACCCTTCAGTGTTCTCTTGCTCAAAAATTTAGGCAGCTCATAGCACAGTCTGGTACCAAGATTTTTTCAGGGACACACATCAGAGTGGGAACACTAGATCCCTGGAGTCATACTGTTCTGTCATGAAGAGATCTTGACACATACTTTCCCCTTTCAAGAAAACCAGCTCTGAAACGACAGTATAACACAAGCCACAAGGCTCTAACTGTCCATGCTTTTATTTGTTGCCTGTAGGCAGCTTCATTTTTGGAGAGAGAGAGGTTGGCAAAGGGTTTAGGAGCAACAGTTGCTGCTTACCACCCAGGCTGCCAAGCTACACTGACTTTCTTAATATGGAAACATTCTCAGAACCATTAGAGGAATTCCTACCTCATTTCAAAATATTCCATAAATACTGAAAAAATTCTTATCAGATAATAATGGGAGCATCAAATTGTAACTGGTTTATAATTTGGTGATATTTTTTTACTAGAAAAGATCTGGGAAAATATAACCAAGCAAATACTCTTCCTCCTAAGGGGATGATAATCTTTCACAGTAGTTAGAGCAATGCTTAAGAAATTCTTAATTCTAAAAACCTCTAAGCTTACTAACCTGAGCAATGAGTAAATTGGTTGTTAACATATGAGGAAGCTGTTTATATTTCTTACTCAGAAGTAGAACGGCAAGTGACCAGATCTGAAAGATTAAAAGGTTAACAGCTTATAACATGGTTTCAATTGAGTACTTACTTAGTAACTCATCAGTTAGTTATTTTAAAAAATTCCTACTTTAGTCTATTTTATTCCATTTCAGAGTAAAATATCAGTATCTAAAGCAAAAAATCAGAGAAATGATATAATAATGTTTTTACCTGAAATTCTCCCTTGAATAGAGCCTTTGAGAACTAATACCTAGACCAAACAGACATCCAGAGCCATTTTGAGATTATCCCTACACTTCAATTTTTTGTGGACAGAATGGAAGCAGGGGTAGCTGTGCGTTACTAAACTCACATGTTAATTAAATATCTGTAGGTAAAGCAGAGCTTCTACACACTTTGTTAAGTCATTTTCTATTTTTGCTCTTTGGACTTGCCAGTTTTGTTGTTGTTGTTTTGTCCTTCGTTTTTGAAGAGGACCAATAACACCACAGGGTGCTATCTTGACTCACAAGTGAACTAGATTTAAGTGAGTCAGAGTTACACAGTTATCAACCTCATTCTCTCTTCCAGAGTCATCCAAGTCCAGTAGCAAGACAAGAGTCAGGATGACTGGTGATGGCCCGGGATGCAGCTGATGACCTTGGTATCTTGGATGTCTGACCAAGCTCTAAGCAGCTTACCAATACCTTACCAATAGCTTACCAGTACCTTACCAATGGTTGGAACAATTTTTTCTCATCCGCCCATTCCACTGGGAGAAGTCTTCACATACCTGGGGGGGATACCTCCAAACTCACTGATTGGTTTGTGGCCCATCAGTTACCCTCAACCTGGTTTAGCCCATCTGCTGAGGTTTACCAGGGGGTCGCTGCACATGCTATGGCTTTTTGGAGCTACAGGTGAGATTTGAGTGCCAGGTGGACACTAAAGGTAGATGAACAGCCCTGAAAACAGCTCAGCAAGCCCTCATGTGAGAGGTGCTCATCCTCTGAGGTGCTTGCCAGGCTACCTTATGTATAGCTTTTCCTTCAAGGCCATATACACAAGCATATCAAAACACATATAGTACTAAACCCTAAACTTAACACTTCTCCATGCTTTATTCTCTGAATGAAGAAATCTCTAGTCCATCTCTTTACACAGCCTACAATTAAACCTTCTGGGTGCTTTCTTTGTTCCCTCTCACTACTAAGCAAATGGCAATGCTGTCCATACAGCCCCTATCCCTAAGACTCAGCACAGATTCTAAGAACCTCAATATGACAAAAAGAGAAATTTCAACATTTTGTCAATTATATTTCTCTGTTGACAAAACAGCAGATTCTTCTCTTTTCCTTTACCAGGTATTTAAAACAGGATTTAAAATCAGGACATTATGATTTATAAATACTTTTTTTCTTTTTCTACAGATGCTTGCCACATGTTCTGAGTTTGAATAACAAATTTGATGAACAATCTTAAATATTTCTAGAACTTACAACATTCAATCCTCTAACTTTACCTAATGGCATTCAGCTTAAAAGTATATCTCAAAACCCACAACAAATTAAGATGAGGAGGTTTATAATGCCCAGTAAGCAGAGTTGGCTTTTCTAAGCTACTACAGATTTTAAACTCTTTAGGATCACAGGCTTTAGAACTGGAAGAGACCTAAGGAAACCATCTAGTCCAAGGGTGGGGAACCTGTGGCCTCGAGGACACAAGTGGCCCTCTAGGTCTTCAAGTGCAACCCTTTGACCGAATCCAAACTTCATAGAACAAATCCCCTCAATAAAAGGATGTATTCTATAAAACTTGGACTCAGTCAAAAGTCCACATCCAAGGACTGAAAAGGCCACATGCGGCCTTGAGGCCGTAAGTTCCCCATCCCTGATCTAGCCCAACCCCACCTTTTTACCTACAAGGAAAGTGAAACCTAAAGGATGACATGACACGTTCAAGATCAGACGGACTATAAACAGTGAAATTTAGATTCAAAACCAGACCTTCTATTATAAATCTGGGGCCTTGACAGGAAAAAAACAAAACAAAACAAAACTGACTTTATTTTCAAACTCCTGATTGCTTTCTATAATAAAGTTGCCTTTGACATCATTTTCTGCTTGTCATTTCATTTTTACTTTGTTACTTACCAAAGAGACCAAACTGACGATACTTATATCAAAACTAACATTCTGGATGGCATATGCCATGGGTTTTGGATCCATGGAGGGAATGGTTAGTAACCATGCAGAAACATACATGATTGGAGCTGACACAAAAGTACTTATCACCATCCCTGAGGTTACCTGCAAACAGAGATCCAGATGGGGAAAGATTCACAATTCTGCTTAAAAAATCAAAGCAAACTTTGTTTCCAGAAAATACCAAAGGTAATCTAAAATAAATATCAAATTTTTTAAAATGCAGAATACAGATACTAATTCAATAATCTTTTCTTCAGTTTCCTTGAAAAGATAACAGATAAATTCATTTTCTACAGTTCATTTCTGTAATCTTTATTACTCAATTTTCTATCTAAACATACAGTATAAAATTTCACTTTTAATTGCTACTACTCCCTATATTTTTTGGTACACACCAAATATCTTAAGAAGTTTCTAAGTAGTTTTCAGAACTTACATGGTAATTGAAATACAGACTTTAGACATCACGATTTTAAAAGGAAAATTACCTTTTGATAAAGAATGTTTTTTTAAAAAAAGGGATATTTCCAACATTTAATTGTTAAGAACATTATCTGGTATATTTCCTTAAAGAGTTTTGTTCATTCATAGTATTTCAAAACTTTTCTGACCAATGTTTTAGAAGGTGACAAGTTCATATATATATATAGAGATATACATATATATGTTACTCTAGATCATTGATAATAATTTAATATTAGAACAGCATGATTGTTAGGCATATTTGTTGTATTATACTGAATTTAGGAGTTTTGTATCTAGTAAACTGAATCATATTGGTCATAATTTACATTTACACAGTATTTTGTGGTTATAAAGCACTTTCACATACATTATGTTTATGGAACTGATATCTCAAATACTGAAAATTTTCTTTCCTATAATGTACTTAAGTATAATTATCAAAAATTCAAAACTAAGAAGGTAAAAACAAAATTCAAAATGGCTCAAGATAAAAGATGAATTATTTAACAATGTTTCTTTTTCCACATATAGGAAAAGGATACTATTTCTGTATATATAATGCATATACATATTTAATATATATCTAAATACTTGCTACATCAGTATATATATGTTAAACCAGAGGTATCAAACTCAATACCTAAAATGTAATTGGAAAATGTTTAACAAAACAAATAAAAACACATCACAAATGGTGTTAATTTGTGGTTTTTTAAGTCAATATATGGCCCACAGGGATGTTTCTATTGACGTGACACCACTGTTACACAGTCATGAAAATAACTTTGATTTCTACATTGTAAAAACTACTCCAGTATTATAAAGTGAACTATTTCTGAAGCAATATGTACATACAATCTCTACTTCCATGTTGAACTGTGTTGCAAAGATAGCCACTCCTGGTGCTACTGGAAAGACTCCATATAAAAATGCATAATTGGTTAAGCTAGTATGGTTCACTATACCACCAGTCTTGTCCAAGAGCTCCACCATTTCTCTACACAAAAGCGGCATCACCAGGCTGAAAAGAAAATAAGTCATTCATATTGCAATTAAAAAGTGCTAGTTCCTAGTTCACCCTCATTTTCTCTATTTTCTTAGTAGTAGCTATTTTCATGAATCTGGACATTGTTTATTACCTCTCTTGCAAACAAACATACCCTTACGCATGGAGAAATGCACATATTTTGTGTATGGACACCTGGGTATATTGTTGAAAACACAAAGCATGTATCCTAAGACCACTTTTTAAAAGGATTCTGACTTTATTTTTAACTTAACTCATCACAGGTTCTTGATGTATTTAATTAACTTGGTAAAAAAATTTCAGGCACAAGATTTGATAGCACCTCAATAACAACTCTTTTATTCCCCAATTTCCTTATTCTATTGGTCTACTTGAATGTTTATGAAATGTTTATGGTGTGAAAGTTGACAAGAAATTTTCAGGGAAATTATTGAAATCCTTTTTAGAAAATCAAACTCTTCAATAAAATTTGGTAGGCTGTTAGAAAACAGAATATTAAGATATTATTAATTATAGAAAAAGCCTGATAATAATTTAACCAAAAAGTTTTTTAAAAATCCTTACAATTAACTCCATCTTTATAAAAAACATAGGGGCAACTAGGTGGCACAGTGGATAGAACACTAGCCCTGGAGTCAGGAGTACCTGAGTTCAAATCTGGCCTCACACTTGACACTTACTAGCTGTGTGACCCTGGGCAAGTCAACCCCAATTGCCTCACCCAAAAAACCCACATTTTTTTTTAAGAAGGAGATCTGTCTGATACATTTGAATGCAGGGCTGTTGAAATTCAGTACAGCTAAGAAACAATTAATATACAAACATTTCTAGATCCCACTCATTTCCAAACAAGAAAAATAGCAAATAAAAGTGATACTTCCATCAAAGTTTAAATAAACCTTCAATAAATATTGATATAAAAACAGCACTACAACACCAATACATATGGTACTTACTGACATGGCCTAGACATAGATTCATAGTATGTAAAAGCTAAGGAAGTACAGAGTTCATCTAGTCTAACACCTCATTGTACAGATGTGGAAGAAAACAGGAAGAGGTTAAGTGACCTTCCCCAAAGTTACATAGCCAGTAAAGTACCACACTAAGATCATAACCTACGGTTCCTGAATTCCAGTCCAATAAACATTCCACTAACGATGCCTCTTGACATTTTAAGCAATTTTTTTTTGGTGAGGCAATTAGGGTTAAGTGATTTGCTCAAAGCCACAGAGTTAGTGAGTATTATGTGTCTGAGGCCAGATTTGAACTCGGGTCCTCTTCACTCCAGTGCCGGTGCTCTATCCACTGCGCCACTTAACGGCCCCCATTTTAAGCAATTTTAAAAAATCTTTTGCTTGTTAGCCTAAATGCATTTCTCCTTTTCCAGAAAAAAACTACTCCATTAGAAAGTTTAGGAGAGTATATGACACTCCTGGATTTTAATAATCTAAGGAAAAAACAATGATAATGAGCCAAGTTAAGGAACAAAGAAGAAAAGAAGGTCTAAATCATCAACTGATGGGAAGAACAGTTATATTTTATATGTAAAGAATAACTGATAGCACTACTACTGTTAGGACAGTAATTATTATATTGTAGCAATATTAAAATATATTTTCCTTAATGGGAGTACACGAATCACATAACTTTCTAAATTTTTACTATTATGAACATTTAGATACTACATAGAACATGTTATAAGTCAAATTATACTGCAGTTATATTCATCCAATGAGTTTAAAATATTCAAATAAAAGTACTATACATTATCCATATGTCCCAAGCTACTTTGTATAATCTTTCAGTAAATCAGCTGGACTGAATTACAACTCCACAGCTAATAAGCTCTAAAAAATTTACTAAGGAGCTACACATTTTTTTTTTTTAGATATGCTGGGATCAAGTGATGGAGGTGAGTGTTCATCAGCCTCAAACATAATTTTTTCTTTTCTAAATCCACAAAACAAATTCCATTTAAATTAAAATCCTTCTAATTAGAGAAGCACTGTGGCACGGTGGATAGCGGGCCTATTTTGGAATCAGGAAGACCTGACTGACAAACTACATATGAGACCATGAGCAAGTCACTTCGAGGAGTTTCTGGTCAATATTGGTATTTGGAGTTTCTACAACACCCACACCAGTGAAATTACAGATCTAGACCTCCCTCAAAATCTGAAAGCTTCTTACATTTCAAGGTTTCAAAATATTTGAAAACATGAAATTCATGCAGAACACCTAGGGGGATAAATAGCAAATTATACTGTGCTAAATAGAAGTGAAATCAGAAGCCTCCAAGAAATGAAACCAAGAACATTTTTATCCTCATTCAGTGAAATGCAAGAGAGTAAGGTATGCAAGTAGAATGAGGAAGTAACTTTCTAGAAAAAAATACATTTTCCTTTCATTTTAAGTATCTTATAAAGTAGGGACACTATTCCTAATGCATTTAAGTAGAAGAAACCAGCAGCATGAGGACTTGCTCCAAAACCATGGCTAAGGCTTTCCTCTAAGAGTGCCCTTCTAAAGTGTTGGAGCTTCCACAAGATACAAACCCCACATTAAACAAAGGAAACTTACAGTTTAGCTGTGACGAGCAGAATTATTGCAACAAATGCAGATTTCTTTAGTTTCTTTATTTGTCCCACCATTGTGAGACCAAGATAAAATAGGGCTGAGCCAGAAAAAGAACTCCCAAGCCCATCCAGAAATTTTTCCAAGTAAACTGGCACCTTCTGGCCAAGAATAAGATTGAAGGCAATTCCAATGAAGACCATAAATACGATTGGGTTCTGCAGCACACGCAGAAGTCCAAGTCCAACTATTTTCACTTTGTTTTGAGATGTATCACGATTTTCTCTGCATTTTTGGATTTCACAGAATATAAACCCTATAGGGTTTAACATCATAAGAGATATTGGAGCCACCAAATAAATGTACTCAAGGTATTCTGGATAAGTAGTTTGATATAAAGCTTCGACTGGAAAACAAGAGTTAAAATTGATTTATAAAATGATGACATTATTTAAATACAATTTACATAAAACACTTCCATGTGCATAATTACAGAATGTTTCAAAATAAATCTAAATACAAGTTGATCACATTAGCCTTTTTTGCTCAAAATACTTTTAGAGGTATCTGGGGATGAAGGTTAAAAAGGAAGCTATTCTGAGCATTTACTACATTAAACACTGCATACAACTTTATTGTGTTAAGTAATTGTTTTTAATAGATAAAGGAATACCCTATTAATTTTAACTAACAGGTAGAATACTGGCTGGGGAAAGAATGGGTTTTAGTTTCCTACAATACAGCTTTAAGATACTGAAATGATAGGATCTGGGTTTAGAATGTAATGCATCACCTGAGGCACCTGTTGGGACAGAAATATCAGAATTTAAGATACCTCAAAACTGAAAGTAGAGAGAAAAAATGTTTAAACAAAAAAAGCATCTATTAAGCATCTACTATGTACGATTATGTGCATACAAAAACCAAAACCAAAAGCATTTGCACTCAAGGAACTAGCATTCTATTGGGGGATTACAAAATATACACAAATAAATAGAAATATTCACATAATAGTTTTGAGATTGGATGGGAAAGCACTAACAATTGGAGGGGATCAGAAAATGCCTCATACATGAGGTGGTACATGAATTCTGAAGGGAGTCATGGATTCCAAGAGAAGATGAGGAAGGCAAGCATTTCAGGCATGGGAGATCATTTGAGTAAAGGCCCATGGGGAAATAGAATGTTGTATAGTGGGTATGAAAATGGTACAGACGAAAAAAGAATAGAGTCAAGAAAACTAAAGCCCAGAATGATGTGAGATTTGCAAAAACCAGACAAAAAATATGGCTTCAAACTATGTTTAACAGCATAAGAAAGGGAAAGATCTGTTCCTTGGAATAGACAGAATAGGTGAACAGATACCTGAAATAAAATGGACTACTTATTATCTTACTTGGGTTTCATCTTCTCTGTCAAACAGAATGCTCTTTTGATTACAAAGGATGGCACAAACATAATCATTCAACAAGCATTTACTAAGTGCCTAGCATGTTCCAAGCACCTATACTAGGGACCCCCTACCCTCAAGGAGCTTACATTCTATCAGGAAAGTTAACAGCTACATATATCACTACATACAAAATAGACACAACATGAATACAAGACAATTTGGGGAAAAGCATTAGCAGATGGGAGGGTTCAGAAAATGTTTTATGTAGAACCTTAAGCTAGGTCTTGAAGGAAACCAAGGATTCCAAAAGAGGCAGAGGTGAAAAGGTAGGCCAGGATAGTTGGACCACAAAGAACATAGGAAAGAGTAATGTGTAAGAAGAATTGAGAGGAAGGGGATTGTGAAGAGCTTTAAATGCCCAACAAAGGAGCTTATATTTAACCCTATTACCTAATATGGAGCCACCAGAGCTTAGTGAATATTGAGTAGAAGGATAATGTGGTCAGAACCGAGCTAAGAGGAAAGTTACTTTGGGAGTTGTGCGGAGGACAAACTTGAGGCAAGGAAACCAAATAGGAGACTATATAATAGCCCAGGTGAGAGGTGATGAGGGTCTTTTTTTCCAATGAGGGTGGTTTTATGTGAGGGGAGAAGAGGGACTGTAGGCAAGAGATGTTGTAGAGACAAGACACAAGCTGACAACTGTCTTAAACATTTGAAAGGCTATCAAGTAAAAGAAGGGATTAAAATCATTCTGCATGGCTCCCAAGAGCAGAACTAAGCCAACAGGTAGAATATACCAGGAAATAGAATTCAATTCAATGTAAGAATTTCCCAAGAATGAGAGCTGCTTGAAAATGAAACAAGCACCTTTATCATATCCCTGTCACTAGAAATATGCAAGTAGAGGCTGGATGAACCATTTGTCAGATATTATAAAAGAATTTCAGGCATGTGGCTGGGAATACGATAAATAAGCTTCTGATTCTATGATTAATCTTAATTAGTAAAGAGTTTGCATTAGATATAATTTTAAGAAAAGATATTTGGAAAGTATTCAAATTGTACATTAGGAACATAAAATAAGGTACTTTAAACTGAGTAGCAAAAAACCTTTCATGAATGATCAGAATACTCTTTAATAAACAAACATGTAAATAATTCTTTCAAAAATGCTTACGGGATGTCAAAAAGTTTAAGCAAAGTATTTTAAACCTTCCTTCTATAATTGTATTTAGGATATTAATTTGTATTATATGTGGGCTTGCTTTTAAAAAATTTCAGCCTAAGAAAACTGAAAATAACTAAGAATCTGGTGCTCCTCAGTTCTAACTTCTTTCCCTATGTCCAAGCACCTACTGTTCTTAGGTGGCTTCCCCTTCCCGTCACGAAGGTCACCAAAAATTTAATATGAATTAATTTAATGTGGTTATCTTTCCCAGAAAGGACTGTATTTTATTTTCTTTTTTCTTTTTTTCTTTTGCTTTTTTTTGGTGAGGCAATGGGGATTAAGTGACTTGCCTAGGGTTACACAGCTAGGAAGCGTCAAGTGTCTGAGGCCGGATTTGAACTCAGGTCCTCTTGACTCCAAGGCCGGAGCTCAATCCACTGCATCACCTAGCTGCCCCGAAAGGACTGTATTTTAACAGGAAAAAACACCAAAATAAAATTTCTTGTAGAACTACACGTACAATGAATGGCAGTTGGATGAAGGACATATTTGCAGGAAATACGTGTTATGGTAAACTATCATCCTAACTTCAATCCAGCCTATCTTAACCATCTTGCAATATAAGATCATCAGGTTTTACTATCTTTCCCAAAGGATTTCATAAAATATGATGTTATCCCCAATTTATTCAAAAGAATAAATTAAAAAACAAGAGGATGCAAAGATCTGCCCAAAATTGCATCTACAGTTGGGGGCAGAAGCAGCATTTACATCCCATGAATTGTGGAAGTCTCAGGCTAGTACTTAATCTGATGTATGGTGCCCCTTTGCATAAGACTCCAATACTACTCTGGTAGACAAAGGTTTTAATGAGCTCTGAAAATAACCCTTACTCCACCCACCAAAACCTATGCTTCTCAACCAGCTGTGTATTTTGTGAAACAGTCACACTACTTCATATGCTAACTGTAAAGAACTTAATTGTTTTGGGTGCTATGTAAATTAAATGAATGTGTGTGGGAATACAGGTTTATAGTTTATTTGATGTTACAGGTTAAAAGAAAAGAAAAAGTCACAAGGATCAAGACAAATATTTAAAGAATATGAAAGATTAAGTTTCTAAATTTACATTAGGATAACATGAACTGAGACAGGTAAATATTTATCTACCTAATCAGTAGCCCACTTAGGTATTAATAGATAATGCATATTCTAAAACTTATATAACTAAGTTATATAACTTTTACAATTTCACCTTGTTTCATCAAGATAATGTGTTTGGAGAATATAATCCTGATTCCCTGTTTTTCATATAGGTACTTATTTAGCAAAATCTACACTACACATGGAGGAAAAACACTTAACTGAATCCAACTCTATTTATTATTTCTACTTCTTCCATACATACTAAACTGGATGTGTCATCTCTTCAATAAGAGGCAGTGTGTTCTATTGTGTAAAAAGCAATGGACTTAAGTATCAGAAAGGCCTGTGTCCTAGTCACCATTCTAACAACTGTATTACCTTGGGCAAATGAATCATTTAACCTCTCTAAGTTTATTTACCTGGCAAGGAGGGGTTAATAATAATACTTTTACTACCTATTTCACAGCGATAATATGAAAAACAAATGAGATCATGTAAAGTACTCTGTAACCATAAATTACTATATAAATGATCACTCCATTTTTTGCAAAGAGTTTCATCTTTTAGGTAATAATGCAAAGATAACATTTTAGATAGCTAATTGCTTTGGAAATTAAAGTCTAGTAAGAACTCTTTTTAAAGCTTTACTATTCTCTTGAAGCACACTAGCATTAACCTTATATCATCCCCTCCCCTCTTCCACCTAATTTCTAAAGCTGAAAGAAGCAATGACTCTGATACTGTGAATTTGGAAAAAAAAAAATCTGTGCTTTGCAAATGTAGACAAAACATGACTTCAAATAACTCCCTAATGCAACAACTCTACATTCTATCCAAAACATCCTAAACTTCCAACCTGAATTGCCCAAACACATCAAGCATAATACCTAACAATGGAGGAAGAAATCTGTTTAATAGTTTATTAAAATTTAGGCAACATACCACTTTCCGTAAAGTTCACATATTTTGATATTTTGAAACATCTGATTTTATCAGTGCAACATCCCTTCACAAGGTCCTTATCTGATGCCTCATCATGGTGTGGTTTCTTGATGGGTATGCCAGCAGAGCACAAGTTCTAAAAGGTATTACCATACAAAAAAGGCTTCAAAGATGGTCCTAACAATAGACATCCGTTTTTATGGACCAGCATATTTAATACTGCAGAATCGAGTCACTACTAATTTGAGATTCCTATAAATATAGGATGGAGGGGCTCATCACCAATAGGTTAACCACTTTGTGATGAATTTTTTGGTCATGGCAACCCATAAAAGAAAGAAAAATATAATATGACTCTTGGACTTCCGCAGTTCCATTCCATTTCAGTAGTTAAGGTAACAGAGTGGTTGAAAAGAGGATGCTAACAATGAGTTTTCAGACTACCTATAAACCTCAATTCAGCTGCTACTATTCTAGATGTGAGGTTGTTGCCCAATAGACAAGTGGTAGCTAGAACTTAGAACATTTTCTTCAGAACCAATAAGGAATACTTGAAAATGTACATCTTCAGTTTTTTTGAAAGTGTTATCTTATATGTCATAACTAGTAATTATCTATTCATTAATTGAAACAAATTAAATTGTATTAATCTTGACAAAATGAAACCATAACACAAAAGGAAGGATGAATCATAGGTTCTCCTTTGAGGGGCAAAAAAAGTAGTTATTAGCATAGCTGGTTTTTATCATGCATCCAAAGGCAACAAGATAGATCATTTCATGGAACATTTGTTCAAGTTATATTGCAGTGATGAAGATAAATATCTGCAGAAAGACTTCCTTAAAAATGATTACAGCTTATGTACTAACACCAGTTAAAAAAGATGAGGAAGTAAGAAGTTCTACAAAGAATGTATCAAGACCTTTCTCAGATTATGAGGCAATATACTTTGTTATTTAATTAATTCAATGCAAAGTTAGGTATGGGGGAAGATGGTGTAAAATATGGTTCAAGAGTAGGAAATGGGCTGCCAAAGGCATGTATATTATACAAACTTGCAATTATAAATCAAGAGCCATTGTATGTGGTAAGTAGCAAACATTAGAAAAAATGAAATTGATTATAATTTAACAGTTAGGAAATAACTTGTTACTGATGTGGGAGTCACTGCAGAATCAAAGATCAAAATTAATATAAAACTTGAAATAAAAATGAGAAAAGCTCATGGCATTCAATTAAAATAACTCCAACTCAACTTACTTAAATGTTATGTTCAATATTATTTAAATGTTATTGATGCTAAAAAATGAGAAATGAATATATAAAGCATATATTCAACCATTATAAATCAGTTGATCTGAGACTAAAAGAGCCTAAAAACTATCTCACCCACAAATACTTGATATCCTTGTAAAGTGGAAAGACATGGCAGTCAAGGGTAACGCCAGCTTTCAACATAAATTTACTTGTAACATCTTACAAGAGAAATGGCTTAAGATTCTGAGCGATGTTGCTGCATATGAATGAGAAGCAGTGGAGGTAAAAATGAGTTTTTTAAAAAGTTTGGCAAGCAACCCAACAAAGCAAGGGCATCCCAGAGGTGACCTAGAAAGAGGAAAACAGAGGAAACCTGGAAAAGACCTTTAATAATTTTTATAACAAACTATTTTCACTACCAAGGACAACTGAGCCACCACATTTGGATGCTAATATTACAGTGTTGAATGTGCTACCAAAAGAAACAGAAATGACAATGAAGAAAACAGATGGGAAAAGCAACAGGATTAGAGCAAGTATATAGAGAGGAGGTCCATGCTGGAGATGACCCAATTTTGAGGGCACTGAGTAATGAGTTTCAAGGCATATAAAAACAGAGAGGATACTAAAAGAGTGGAGAAAAAAAGTTCATGTCTTGGTATTAACCATAAAAGGCAACTAAAAAAATACCAACTGCTACTAACTCAAGTGCCTACTTTCCTATGTATGCCAATTTTTTTAATATAAATAATCTTCACTTGCAACAAGAGTATCTTTGATGAGGGTCTTAGAAGAGAACAGTTAGACATACATAAACAATATTTGACAGCAAACATCTCTTCCATCACACAATAGACTGAAAGACGCAAAACACACACTGACTATTTTTACTGTTTGCTGATTATAAAAAAGCATTTGCTTTGGAAGGGCACAATGCCTCCTTGAAGACTCTTCTCCAACAAGGTGTCTCCCATATACCAAAATCATGTAAGAATTTGAAACAAATTCTAGATTCAAGTCCTACTGCTAGTCTACTAAGTAGTCACGCACAAATGACTTATAACCTTTCTGAAACAGCTTCATCTGTAAAACAGAGATAAGACCTGTGGTATCTAATTCAGAGTCGTTGTGAGCTTACAATTAGATAATCTAGGTAAAGCACTCGGCAAACTTTAAACTATGAAATAAGTGTCACTTCTTTTATAGTAACATGTAATATTTTATAACAACATTTATAACAATATTTATAATAACATTGTAAATATAAAATTTGTAATATAATAACATAATAACATTTTGGTTTAACTTGTACCTTATCAGTTTTGTTAAATTCTAATTAATTTTCTTTAAATATTTAATACTGCAGAATCGAGTTACTACTATTTTGAGATTCCTATAAATATCTTGATCCGTTTACACCACTATTGCTCTTGTAAGGACAAATACCAATTCATGTTTCCTCATCATTCAGACTAAAAAAGTAGGGAGGAAAAGAAGAAATATGGACATTCCAGTCTATCAGATTCCTTTTAGCATCTATGGGAAAATCTGGTGGTAAAAAGTTAAAAACATCAGAAAAATGGAATTTGGGGATTGTTTCATTTATCCACGCTATCCATATACCCCATTAGCATAGACTAAAAACTTTAATTTGAAAATACAATATGCATTAAACAAAAATCTGGTCTTGAGATCCACTAACTTTTGCTAGAAACAGGATATATTTACATTGAAAACATTATGATATCCTTTGGTACAGTTACCAAACGTTCAATTATAAACAAAAAACAGCAATGAAAATTTGGTTTCCTAAATATGGCAAAAGTATCAACTTTTTAAAATTAAACCTATTTTAAATTGTGATGGCTGAAGAAGGAAAAAAATAAGATTTGGAAGTAATCAACATTATTCTAAAGGTCAATTACGCTCTTTTCAAGAAAAAATCAGATTAATATGGAAATACGTTTTGCATGACTGCACATGTATAACCTGTATCAAACTGCTTGCCTTCTGAATGAGGGAGGAGGGGGAGGGAAGAAGGGAGAGAATTTGGAACTCAAAGATTTTAAAAAATGAATGTTAAAAATTGTTTTTATGCGTAATTGGGGAAAAACCAAAATATTAAAAAAAAATTTTTAAATGTACATTTAAAGGATACTTTAACTTTGAGATTTGGAAAAATATATGATCTAGCTCATTTTAACATCAAAGTTTAAGGAAAAACATAATTATGAAAGAGATCCTAAATATCCCAGAGAATGAAACTCATCATACTTTTAAAAATCTCTTTAGTATTTTTAAAGGCTTAAATTTTCTAACACATCTGGATGAAATAATAAAACAATCTGAATAATAAAAATGTGGAAAAAAAACTTACCTATAGGATATCCCAATGCAAAGTCATTGCTTTGTGTAGCAAATATAGGGAACAATCCAGCTTTGCTAAATCGACTGTCAGGACGGGCAACTAGTAATGTTAACACACACACAATAAAAAATACAGTGGCTTTGGCAATTAAGATACTATAGAGGAAGGACCAATTAACGTTAGAAAAATTAAGTATAACCATGTTTTTGAATAGTAAAGCTGGAAGTGCAAAATGGGAAACAAAATTCCCTAGTCCTTTGGCCTGTGTTGATGTTATAATGTGGGCCCTTCCTGCTATGTATCCACAAAGGATTATACCAAAACATTCTAACAAGGCTGGGAAAAGACTAGTTATTGACATTGAAGGAGGACTACTGGTAGAATTGAAGTGATAAGCTACTGTTGCAGGCAAAGAACTGGTCATGTTGACTGATGAAGTGAGGTTACTTGAAGTCACATCAGCAAAGAAATCCATTTTTCTCTCACCAGACTACTCCAACTAAACTTCTGGAAAAAAGTAAACAAGATTCAGTTATGATTTGATAAATCTGAGTACTTCTGTTGAAAAAATACATTCTTCACTCCCTTCCCCCTGTTCCTCTGTCCTAATAACAATGTTAATAGGACAGGTAAATAAATACATTGCCCTTTAAGTACTATTAAAGAGAAATTGTATTAAAGAGAAATACAATAAAAAGGTTCATATTAACTTTGTCCTTCAAAGATAAGTTTATTTAGAACAAAGTTGCATTTGCAATTATTACATTCTGTATCACACAAGTCGGATAAAAAATTAGAGTAAAATAAGGTATATACCAAACAGTGCCAATTACACAGGTGCTCTCCCTGCAGAAGAACTTTCCTGCTGTTCCCTTCGGCCCCTTGAAGTAAGCCGTAAGTTGGCGTAGTACAGTTTGAGAATTATAAAGTGACCATATGATAGCGTGTTAACATGATCATACATCTGGAACTAGAAGGGATCAAAAGTGATCTTGTCCAACCCCATAATTTTACAGATCAGGAAACTGAGTTATATCTCCCTACAGCCACACACATTCCCAATGGCAGCCTCTGATATCACTAGTACTACTCTGTAGGTTCACTACAGAATCATTAGTCCCACTCTAGCATGTGACCATCTTAGAGGTCTAGGAGAGTCTCCTGGGCAATGGACACCATCTGCAAGCAGACTGATTTTTAGGACTGCCATAAAAGGTTCCAACCTAATCCCCAACTGAGCCCAAAACAAATCCTTAACGTACCCTAAGCATTTCTCAATCTAAATGCTTAGCATCCAAGTCAATGAAATAACTAATATTTATTAGCTAGTGAGGAATCTCAGTAGGAAGTTTCCAAGCAGAAAAGGGGCACAGAAAAGGAGTTAAGAAGAGAATGGAGAGATACAGGTAAAGTCTAGTTTCAATATTTTTAACTTCAATATTTTTTTCTAATGTCAGCTTCTACTTCCTACTGAAAGTCTCCTATCTAAGCCCAAAGCAAATAGGTTTAAGAGGAGAAAACTGATTAAAATACAACAGTGAGGCACCTTGGGGGAAAAGGAGAGAAATATGAAGGTAGCAGCTCCTAGCCATCCCTGTTACTATCTTGTGAGAAAGAAAAAGAGCAAATTAATTTTTCAAGTTTCACGACAAACCCTCACCATGAATTAAGTCATCTTTGCCCTTCTATCCTACTGCCTTATGCCATGCCTTATTTTGTATCTCATCAACTCTCATATATGGTTTTAGTGCAGAAAAATACAGAAGGATGGGCATGCTACATAAAAACAGGTCCAGAACTAGCTTCCATAAGCTAAATAGAAAATGTGACACTTTCATGAATCTGACTCTTTTTGAGCTCAGCAAAACAACTGTTTGTAAGCCTGAAGAAATTTCAGTACTCCAAGGAGCTATAATTCCACCAGTATGGACACTCACTCTCTCCACTATATAAACAGCAATACTTCTAGAACTCAGTAGATTAAGTGCTTAGCATAGTGCCTTGCACATAGCAGACACTTACATCAACATTTGCTGAATCAAATCAATGATAATCTCAGAGAATTACAGGGGCCAAAGGGGGGAAAAATGACCTTGAAGACAACCTGTTATTGTACCTCTCTGAACTTAAGGGTGCTCAGACAGATATACTTTACTGTATATCTGTAAATACACAGATTTTTCTGTAAATCTGTAAATAAGTTCTTTGTCAAAGTCCATAAGGGTCTTGATAGGACTTCCTATAGCTTGTACTTTACTGGTACAATCCTCAAAAATTCAAGGTAACCACCAAACTATGGGGATGTATCAGAAAAGGACTTTAGTTGAAGAAGAAAAAGAGCTAGCTAAAGAATTATCTACAGAGCTACTATTGCTGTGATTTTTATACACTTCTTGTGGCAGTAGATAAGAGAGGCTGGCTTGGAACCAGGAAGACCTCAAGTTCCATCTGACACATCCTGGCTGAGTGACCCTAAGGGAGTCACTTAACCTCTCATATTCTAGGCAGCTGCATCACTGTAAAATTGCACAGAAGGTGCTGACTTGAATAGGTAGCGGGAGTTTCTTCTTCTTGAAATTTTCCATACCAATAAAATCTCAGTCACTATCCCCATCCTATCCTATTCTGTGTGTTATGGTACCCAGATTGGTACAAAAGCAAATTAAGCAAGACAGTTCTTGGGATTAGGTCTCAGTTACTTCTTCTACATATACACTAGCATGTCTACTATTTGCATTTGGTAAAAGAATGGAACAGGCTATGATGAATGCTCAAAGTTACTTAACATGTTTAAGCACAATAATAACTAACAATAACGCAGAACTTTATTATATGTTTTCATTAGGACAGAAGTAAGATTCTGGCAAAGTTTATATAGGTCTGGTAAGTCAGACTCCACTATATGCAAGGGAAGAGTTGTCCTTATGAGGTACAACATAATGTATATCAAAGCCCTCAACCTAATTATGTACACAATCAGGAACCAGTGTGGTAAATTTCCTTTTCACACATGCAAAAATATTGTAGTGGATTTGATACAGCTGCACTGTGCTACCCTTGTTTCTTGTTTGTTTTTCATTTAAACAGATGAAAGTCAAGGAATTCAGTTTTAAGCTTTTATGTTTGTTCTAAGTCTCAAAAGGACTAAATCTTGGAGTCTCAGAAATAAGTTTTCATGAGAAAATATTTTATGTAATTACTGACATCTCAGAACACAATTTATAAAATGTACACTTAAAATGGAATTTTTTACACTTTTAGCTAGCAATACAAAAAATTCTCTAAGCTATTCGAATGGAGAATAAATCTAACTAAAGTTGGTAGACAGAATTCACAGAGCTTCCAAAAGATCATAACTGATAGCAGAATACATTAAACTTGTTTAGATAATAAGAAAACATGGCAGGTAAGTTATTCAATAACAGTTAAGAATGATTACTGAATATAATCAGTACTAACTCTAAATGGGCAATTTATTTTGACAATGCAATAGTGGTAAAGTGGAGAAGGAAATGGCAAACCACTCCAGTATCTTCACCAAGAAAACCTCAAACGGCATCACGAAGAGTCAGACACGAACTGAAAACGAATGAACAATAATAACAATAGTGGTAAAAGAAGAAGATAAAAAAGGGCAGCAATAATGTAGCAGCAAGAATCTTTACCATTTTCAAAAAGAAGGCAACAGAACTAAGCACTTCATTAAGTATTGGTTTCAATATGTTAAAAAATGGAATAATGGAAGTGTTATTTACTCAGCCACAATCTGCAAAATACTTTAGAAGGATAAAGAGAAGAATGTATATTCCAATGTAATCGAACACATACATACACACACAAATTTAAAACATCCTGAGTGTTAAAAAGCAAAAAAAAAAAAAAAAGTGAACAATAATCTATTGACTACTAGAAGAAAAAAAATAACAACAAATGTCACTTAGCAACAATTTCTTTCCCCAAACAGATAAGCTTTTTTCCAAATTCAGGAATTTAGGGAAACTAAAACAAAACAAAAAACAAAAACCTCTAAATTTCAAAATTCAGACAGTATTATCATCTATTCCATGTGTAAGAACTTACATTTACATCACCTATAGAGCAGTCTTAATCTTGGGAGGAAAAGTTTCAAGAACTGACCAACCAAAACAATAAAAATATATACTGTAAATAACGAGAAAAAAAATCCCCTATCTATGTACATACAAGCATGTTATACTTCTGTTAAATATTATTATAGATAAATGAGAATTCTAATCAGTACTATAGCAAAACAAAGAAACCAATTACTAAGTGGATACTCATAAACATAACATTTTTTAAAAGCTGAACAGAAATAATGAACTGGACTTCTGGAAAGTATCCAATTCTCAATTAATCCATTTTCTTTTTAAGAGATCAATGTTCTTTTATCAGGAGCCATTAATAGAGAATATTTTTAGGCCATCAGAGAGTACTAAATTAATTCACTTTCAGAAGGTGAATGCTTATTCATTGTAACAACACCTTTAATAGTTCTTTCTCCCTCCCCTTCTCTCCTTGACCTCCTCTGCCCAACTTCTAGAAAAGGGAATCTTTACCTGCTGTCTCCACAACCTCATCAGTCACTCAGTCCATACAAATTATACATCCTTCAGAATGAGATCTTTCTAAAGTCACTGATGATCTCCTTATCACTAAATCCAAAGACTGTCCTCCTTTCTGCTGCTCCTAAACCACTCTCTAGCATTTAACACTCTGGACTATGCCTTCCTTTGACTTCCACAACAATGAACTGTCACAGTTGTCCTCTTCTTTGATCAGTTCTACTATCTATACCTAAGGGGCAGCTAAAAAGCAAAAGGGATGTAGAGCTGGGCCTGGAGTCTGGAAGACCAAAGTTCAAATCCCACCTCAAACATGTCTTAGTTTATGTGACCTTGGGTTACTTGTCTCAGTACCTTCAACTGTAAAATGGGGCACCTACCTCCATGGTTGTTGTGAGGATCAAATGAGATATTTGTAAAGCACTTTTCACAGTTCAAGGCACAGAGTAGGTACTTAAAAAACACTACAGCACCTATAACACAGGGTAGGTACTACAGCCTTATTAAGTACTTACACTGTGCCAGGCACTGTGATAAGTGCTTTAGAAATATTATCTCATTTGATCCTCATGATGCCCCAAGAGATATGTGCTATTATTATCCCCATTTTACAGTTGAGGAAACTGAGGCAAATAAAGTGAAATGACTTGCCTAGGGTTACACTGATAGTAAGTATCTTGAGGCCATATTAGCACTCAGAATTTTCTGATTCCAGGTCCAGTTCTCTATCCAGTGTGCAACCTAGCTGTCTCTAACAAGAAATAAGTTTGTTGCTTCCTGAAAAAAGCTACAATGATGAGGTTTTTAGCAAGCAGAACAAGCAGTTGAGATGTCTGATGACAATACTAGGGAAAAAAATAACAGGTATTTCTGGGGACAGGGTGTTAATTAGTCATGTCTAAGGCTACCACGAGTATAAATAATGGCTATTACACAAACATTGGATTATAATCTAGATTTGCACAAGTGTTTAAAATCACATCACTTTCTCTATAGGAATGAACATATGATACATGTAGGTTCACAAACAAAAACAAACCAGTGCCAGTTTCCATCTTGGAAGTTACTGGTCAATAGATAAATGGTTACCAGAAATAAAAATCCAATGAACAACTAATCAAAGCAGTTTGGGTCTCTTTATTAGACATGTTATTTCATCAGCATAGAGAGTTTCCAGATAGGCACCAGTTCTTTAACTTTAATAGTCTTGAGAAAGTTGCCTGAGGCACTGAGAATTTAAGTAACTTGTTTGGCCCCTATCCATAATCTCTGTTAGACTTGAACACAGGTCTCTCCTACTCCCCAGGCAAGCTATTTATCCACTATATAATGCTGCCATTCAAATTATCAGTTAATAAATGGTCTAGACTAAGAAAAGTTAGGAGAATAAGGTGGTAAAACATGTCCACTACTTATTTTAGATTTTATTTATAGCCAGTAACACACAGGAGAAACTATTTCTATTCACTTGTACTACCTTAGTATTAACTCAAATAACCTAATTCAGTAGTTCCTTAGATAAAATCTGATGTGTTAAATTAGCTGCCTACAAAATCTGAAGATACATTTAGCACGATAGTTAAAATGAAAAGAAGGCATATGTCATAACCCCATAACAATAACTCGTTTAATTAATTTTGATGTAAAATATGAATTACTTCCTTTGGAAGTCATATTCTTACCTATTTCAATGTTAATCAATGGAGAGGGAAACTATAGTAATTATTTTCAAGTTGACTTTGATAGCCTCATGGCAAGTAATGTACAAAGTGGAAGAAAACATTATAAAAGGCTTAAAATGAAATAAGAGTTTTAAGTTTTAAAATAATAATAAAAAAAAATCAAAAAATGTTTGAAAAAAAGTTACACGGAGTATTTTCACCTACTGGTCAAAGCTAAAGTCTGGATTCTGGTACCCTCCTCAAAAAAAAAAAAAAGTTGGATGTCAAAAAAAGGCCTTCCAGCCCTTAATCTTTCAACAACAGAATACATACAATGGAAAAGGTCGCATCCTCACTAAACATTTATCAAATCATTAATTTCTTAAGAAATCGTATTTGGTTTAGCAGAAGTGAACCATTTAAGGCTTAAAACAACAGGAGTTCATATGAAATGAAACTGTGAGTTCCAACTGGCTATCTCCCGAGAAAAAGGTCTGCAGTCTGTATAAAAACAAAAAAACAACCCCACATCTTCCACTCGCCTGTAATCCATAACAACATTCACGCGCAGAGGCAACTCTCCACCAACTCTTCCCGATCTAAATACTTACCAAGCCCCTTCCTACTAACCTGCGGGTGAAAGGCAGCCCCTGGAGTCCAAGGTGGACAGCGTCCAACAGGGCAGAGGCTCCTTTCCTCAATCTGGTTCAAGAAGCCGCTGCGGACATGGGTCTGTCGGGGGTTTGGAGCCCGAGGTGAGACGCTTGGGTCCAAGACCAGACGCTACTCCATCCACTGGCCTGCAAGGTGGAAGGGGTGGAGAGAAGGGACGGAGTGACCGGCGGGGCTGGGGTGCAGGAGCAACACAAGCCGTGGCCCCGTCCCAGGGTGGCTGCGGGAGGGGGGAGGGAAGGACGTGGGAGGCACACAGTCATGTCACCGCAGCTGGGGGGGGAGTGTCCAAACCTCCGGGAACACGGAATTCCCGGGAGCTGGCGCGTGTTTGCTTTGAACGAGAGGGCAGTGCCCGCGCCTCCCGAGGGAGAGGATGAGGAGCTGACCTTTCCGTTTCAGACCTTGGCCCGGAAAGAGGGCTCGGGGCTCCCCCAGCTCTCCCCCCACGCTCCGCGGGTCCCGAGCCCGCTTTCTCACGGGCGTAGGAGCCGCAGCGCGCGGGCTGCGGGCCAGGGCGCAGCTGGGGACGTCGAGGCAGGGGCAGGGACGTCCCTTCCCCCTCCAAGGTCTGCGCCCCTGACCCCCGGGCTCGAGGCCGCGGAGCCCCGGGCGTGGGTGGGAGCGCATGGGCACCACACACAGACACCCCGCGAGCCGAGGCGCGGGCTAGTCCGGGGCTCGAATGGAGACGGCGAAGGGGGCAAGAGAGCTCTCACCTGTCGGGACCGTGGCCTCGGGGCCGCCGGCCGGGCCGGGCCGCCCGCCAGAGCCTCGGGCTGGGCCGGAATTTGCGGAGCGCCGGCCGGGGAGGAAGCCCCAGGCATCTCCCAGCGCCCCCGAGACTCCCCGCAGAGCGCCGGCGGCTCCTCCAGCAAGTTCCCGGAAAGGGAGAGCGCAACCTGCCCACCCTGGCCCCCAACCTCCCCGCGCGCGCTCCCGACGGCTCCGCCGCTCCGCCCCCTACGGGGCGCCCCTCCCCAGCCCGGCTCGGCCCCGCCTCGGAGGGCTCGGAGCCGGGGGAGGCGGAGGCGCCCGTGCGCCTCCGGGAAGGGGGCGGGGGACGGGGTCGGCGACTACTTCCGCCGGGACCCTTTTCCTCAAGATGGCGGCTGTGGCGCCGAGGGTATCGGGCGCTGTGACCCTCCCTGCGGCCCCGAAAGGACCCCTCCCCCTCTGCGTTAGCCACGCCCCCGGCCGCAGATGTCCCCGCCAAGGGTCAGCTTGAAGACCCGCTACGGCCTCGGCGGTCAGACAGGGAAAAGGTGGCTGGCCCAGCGGGCGGTCCGTGGCTGAATGGCCATCAGCGCACATGGGGCTTTAAAAGCCTTGGGTCTCACCTAATGGCAGCATAATAACGACGCCAACCTTCTATAATCATAAAGACCTTCCCCGCTCCCTTTACGGAAAAGATTTAATTAGTTTATTAATAGAAGGACGAGTGTGGCAATGCATATCACCTTCAGAAGCCTTGCAATTAAGCATCCTCAGACGCAGAGAAGAGCTAACGGATTCTGAACAATTCTGAACACACAGTCTGAACGATGTTCAAGCAACCTTACAAAAATACATTTTCAGCATTATAGTCTACCCCCAAAATAAAACCACAAATTAAATATGACCCCCTCTGAAAATTTTCTCCAAGACCCAGTTGAACTAAGAGGAAAGCACTTTTTTTTTTGGTCTTGACAATTGCACATTCCAATTCAAATGCAGGGAGTCTTAGACGCCTTAGTTCAGTTTTAAACTGAAAACTAAGCACCAACTTAAGCCCTAAGCTTAAAACTGCAACCAGACTTTTGGGACACTGTCTGAAGACACAGGAGCCTATTCATTTCATAAGGAACAAAATGCATGCCTGTAAGACAAATTGGCCGTTGCGAAAATGTTATTTCTCTTTGGACACCCAGCTCCCTTTTCCATAATTCCCGAAACCTTACCCAGCCTTCCATTTTTAACCTTCACCACCCCTGCTGGCAGCAGTGACACCCCCGCCCCAAACACACACACCTGCCAATCAGGGTGCTAGGTGGTGCACTAACCCTGGAGTCAGGAAGGACCTGAATTCAAATTTGGTCTTAGACACTTATTAGCTGTGTGACCCTGGGCAAGTAAACATTTCCTGACCCTGCCTCGAAGTCCCAATTCACTTGGAAACCTGAGGTTCAGTAAATGGATTGCAGAGGCTTCAGGAGGAGCTGAAACTAACCAAAGGACCCACACCCCCCCCCATGGGGAAGCTGAAACTGAAAACAGAAATCATGACATTTTTCCATTCAAGTGATCATTCTTCTCTTTTCCTTTCTCCTCTCCACTTCAGCCAGCCCTCCCTATTTCCCTTTGAACACTGTCACTATTCCCTTCCAGTTTTCTCCTGACTGGTTATGAAAGGGGAGGGGAGGGGGAGAATCCAGGTCCTATAGCTGAAATGATTTAGTTCAATTAAATATTTAGTAAGTCTCTACTGTTCTATTATTAGTAAAGTTGGAAAGTTTAGTCTGTCAGTCAGTCAGTAAGCATTTATTAAGCACTTGTTAGGTGCCGAACTGTGCTGAAACCCTGGAAATTCAGTGAAAGGCAAAAGACGGTCCCTGCCTTCAAGGGACTCACAATCTAATGGAAGAGATAACGTTCCAATAAATATATACAAACAAGTTATGTACATGATAAATAGGAAATAATTAATGAAGGGAAGGCCTTAATTTTAAGTAACAGTAAGGTTGTTCAGCACCTTGAGTTTGACCTGACCCAAAGGGAAAAGCGTATATTAACAGCCTATTATGTGCCAAGTACTCTAATGGCTGCTAAAGATACTGAAGACAAAGATGAATACCATCTTACAGTTTTAAATCCAAGTATATGTGTGTGTGTATAAGTATATGCACACATATATTAAGAAAAACCTGGTTTGCCTCTGTTCCTCATCTGTAAAATGAGCTGGCGAAGGAAATGGCAAACTTTACCAAGAAAACCCCAAATGGGGTCATGAAGAGTGAGACACAACTGAAACAACTGAACAACAACATACATATATACAAACACACATATAGTATACACATACATATATACATCTACACACACATATACATATCAGAGGTAGCTTATGGTGTGGTGGATAGAGGGCAGTAGGCCTGCAGTCAGGAAGACACAAGTTCAAATCCAGCCTCAGACAGTTTTTAAGTAAGGGACCATGAAGTTTGGGTCTTTTCAATTCATGTAATCAAAAATACCCTACTGCAAAACACATGATGAAAACAATGTACAAGGGACAGAAACAATTGATATACCTATTCCTGCTGAAGTCCTATTGTCAATTTTCCTTGAGTGGATAGATCTTTGAATCTAGAGTCAAGAAGACCTAAAGTTCAAATCCTGCCTCAGATACTTATTAGTTCTTTGATCCTTCACAGGTCACCTAATCTCTGTCTGCCTCAGTTTCCTCATCTGAAAAAAGAGGGTCATAATAGCACCTACCTCCCAGAGGTTATTGTGAGGATAAAATGAGATGATATTTGTAAAGCATTTTACACCCTTTAAAGCACTGTATAAAATGCTAGCTATTACTGTTTGGCTATTAGAATAAAATAGTTTCGGCATCCATGTAATTTAAGAAATTAAAAAAAAATCAGTGGAAACATATTTTAAACATCCTTTCTAGTAGAACTATTTTTACTGGTCTAAAACCCTTTCTAGATTTTTCCCTTCAGGAAAGTGGGTAGAAAATAAGCTAAGGCCTTTCTTAGGGAAATGGATGAATGATGGTAACAGAATTTAGCTCTAGTCTAAATAATACCATTGCCTCCCTACCTGCCCTGAAATGACTGGGGTGATGACCTACCTAAGGGCAGTGGTCTCTTTGCATTCAAGGTTAAGATATTAATTTGCACAGAGGAAACCTTTCTGAATCCTTGCAGAAGTAGAGGCAACTGAGGAGTGACTGTTGTTTTGGAATGTTAACCCAAAACTGAATTTTAAGAGATTGTGGTCTTTTTCTTCTTCAAGATTCCTGTTACCTTAAACCATCTAAGGATGGAGTTATTTCCAAGGGCATAGGGAAACTCTGCCATTTGGGATATCTTTCTTTCTCTAGGCTAGAAATGTTTTTGATATAGTAATAATAATAGTAATAACTAACATTTAGATAGTACTTTAAGGTTCACAAAGCACTTAATATAGAATAATGTTAAATGAAATAAAATTGTTTCTGTCTGACGTGACTAAATGCAGAATACAGTATGCATATTTTTTCTTCAAAAGCAGTAAAAAAGGGAAAACCGAAGTAAAAGTTTTCAGGCACCTAGAATAACAAAAATTACTGTCAGAAAGTCTCTATGGAGAATATTGAAGGCACATTGATTCTAAAGGAACTATAAGTAATAGTTTTATATTTGCTAAAGTACTACTATCTGGCACAGTGGATAGAGCTCTGGGGCCTGGAGTCAAGAAGACCTGGGTTCAAATATGGCCTCAGACACTAGCTGTGTGACCCTGGCCAAGTCACCTAATCCTGTTTCCCTCAGTTTCCTCATCTGTAAAATGAGCTGGAGAAGGAAATGGCAAACCACTCCAGTATCCCTGCCAAGAAAATCCCAAATGGGGTCAGAAAGAGTCAGACATGGCTGAAACCACTGAACAACAACAAAAAAGTACTACTAAATCAGGTAAATTGAGAGTAATGCTAGTGCTTTCCCTCTGTTGATTTTTTCCCCCAATTTATCCTGTGTATATCTTGCTTGTTGTTTGCATATTTTCTCCCCCATTAGAATGTGATCTTCTTGAAGGCAGGGACTGAATTTTTTTTTTCTTTTCTTTGTAGCCCCATAGCTTGGCATAGTGCCTAGCACATAGTAAGGGCTTAGTTAAATGTTTGTTGACTAACTGATCCATAATGCTGGAGTGTTAGGTAGATTCAGAACAGGGTGAAGGGTTGGACTCAAAGAGCAGCTACTGGTGGTAAGTGGCCTCTAATGAGATGTACCAGGGATATGTGCCTGGCCATGTTTTATTTGACATTTTTATCAGCGGCATGGCTAAAAGCATAGATGGAGTGCTTATCAAATTTGTAGATTACACAAAGCTGTGAAGGATTGATAACAGTAGATAACAAAAAGCTCTTAACAGGCTGTAGCATTGTACTATATCTAATAAGATCAAATACAGTAAGGATAAATATGTCTCACTGGTGGTTCAAAAAAAAAAGAACAAGTCTGAGGGAGACATAGTTAGATAACAGTTTGTTTGAAAAAGACCTAGGAATTTGGGTATACTAGCTCAAATATGACTCAGCATTAGGTTATACAAGCCAAAAAAAAGAAGAAACCCCCAACCCCAATCTGAACTTTGGCAGCATTAAGAGAGGCATAGCTTCTGTGCTCTCCCCTCATCAGACCACATCTGGTATATTATGTTCAGTTCCAGGCACCACAGTTTAGGAGGGAAGTTGATAAAATGGAGAGCATCCAGAGAAGTAATAATAATAATAGCTAACTTATAATAATATCTTGCTATGTGCCAGGCACTGTGCTAAGCACTTTACAATTATTATCTCATTTGATCCTCACATCAACCTTTATTATCCCCATTTCACAGTTGTGGAAGCTGAGGCAGACAGAAGTTAAGTGATTTGCACAGGGTCACACAGCTAGTAAGTGTCTGAGGCTGGATTTGAACTCAGAGCTTCCTGACTTCAGGCCCGGCACTCTATTCAATGTGTTGCATGTAGAAAGACATCTAAGATGGTGAAGAGCCATGAATAATACTG